CATCCCTGAAACATGTGACCGCAAAGCCACCGAAGCCACAGTCTACAATCTACATTAGGTACTTATTAAGGAGCTAGCAAACTGGCAGGACTGGGCAGTTTATTACTAACCTGCCTAAGCAAACGCTAAAGCGTGCAGCTACATACAGCTTAGAATGATCCCGCCTAGATTCACTCCCCCCACCCCCGAAATCACCGCGCTCGAAAACGCGTCGGCTGTACATTTTACGTGTCAGTTTCGAGGTTTAACGAACATTAATGAACATTTCCTAGCCTATGTTATCGCAACATTCGCAAGCCTCTTTTTAACATTAATACTGTCCTGCGACAATAATTCTGACACTATATTCGAGCTGCCCGATCGGCAGCGCCTACCGCGACCATGTACATAAAACAGATCATCATACAAGGCTTTAAGAGGTGCGCGTTGACAAATCATCATAACCCCCCGTGGATTTCAGTTCTACCATACTAATGCCTATTCCCTATGCAGCTACAAGGACCAGACGGTCATGGAGCCCTTTTCGCCCGGTACGAATGTCATCGTGGGTCGCAATGGTTCTGGAAAGAGTAACTTTTTCGCCGCGATACGATTCGTCCTGAGTGATGCATACACCCAAATGAATCGCGAGGAACGCCAGGCGCTACTACATGAAGGCTCAGGCTCGGCAGTTATGTCTGCTTATGTCGAAGTTATCTTCGATAATAGTGATGACCGATTTCCGACCGGAAACAAGGAGGTTGTTCTACGTCGTACAATCGGTCTAAAGAAGGACGAGTACTCGGTCGATAAGAAGGTCTCTACCAAGGCAGATGTCGCAAATCTGCTCGAGGCCGCCGGATTTTCGAGGTCGAATCCCTACTATATCGTACCACAGGGACGTGTCACGGCCCTCACCAATATGAAAGAGTCGGACCGGTTGAATCTACTCAAGGAAGTTGCTGGAACTCAAGTCTACGAATCTCGCCGCGCAGAGTCGCTTAAGATCATGACGGAAACAAATAATAAAAGGGAGAAGATCGATGAATTACTAGATTATATTAAGGAACGTCTAAGCGAGCTGGAGGAAGAGAAGGAAGAATTACGCGACTACCAGGACAAGGATCGCGAGCGTAGGTGCTTAGAGTATGCGTATTATCACAAGGACCAGGTCGCTACGCAGGAGGCTCTAGAAGAATTAGAAGAATCGCGTCAGGGTGGTATCGAGGATACGGACGAGAACCGCGAGGCATATAATTCAGGTATGAGAGTCATCGCTACTCTAGACGCCGAGATACATAAGCTTCAACAACAGATGGAGCTTCTTCGTATAGACCGTCGGCAGCTTGACGAAGACCGCCGAGAAAGTGCCAAGGCGATGGCGAACGCCGAGTTGGTCGTCAAGAGTTTATCGGACAGCATGTCAGCTCAAGAACAAGCCAGATCCCATCATGATGCAGAGCTAGACGAAGTGAAGATGACAATAGCACAGAGGGAGGCCGAACTAAAGAAGTTAACTCCTGATTTTGAGAAGGCGAAACGGAAAGAGGCAGAAATCAAACAAACTTTAGATTCGGCAGAAGCTGGACGGCAGCGCCTCTTTACAAAGCAGACCAGGGGAAGTCAATTCAAAAGCAAGGCAGAGCGGGACGCGTGGTTGCGAAAAGAAATAGATGAACTCAACGTAACACTGAGCCAGCAAAGGGCGAATCGTCTCGACGCTGATGAGGAAGTTAAGACTATTCAGGCTACTATCCAACAGCTTGAGAACGAGATTGCGGACCTGCGACAGAGAAACGAAGGATTTGGTGGCGATCGACTCGCTCTTGCCGAAGAAGTCACCAACGCGAAAGATGTCCTAGACAAGCTCAACGAAGAGCGAAAACTACTCCGCCGAGAAGACGACAAGTTGGAGACAATTATCGCAAACGCTCAAGGCGAGTTGGCCAATGCCGAACGGGAACTATCTCATACCATGGATCGCTCTACCTCTCGGGGTATAGCATACATACAACGAATGAAGCGCGAAAATGACATCCCCGGTGCGTACGGTACATTAGCTGAGCTCCTGGATGTTAATGAGGCGTACCGGTTGCCGGTAGAACAGGTCGCTGGTGCCAGTTTGTTTCACTACGTGGTCGATAACGACGACACTGCGACATATCTGGCCAGTACGCTCCAGAAAAATTATGGAGGAAGAATCACATTCATGCCACTCTCCAGATTAAAGCCACGGATGCCGAACCTTCCAAGAGCTAACGATGCAGTTCCGTTGCTCAGCAAGATCAAGTACAGCGCCGAATATGAAAAAGCGTTTCAGCAAGTCTTCGGCAACACAATCATTTGTCCAAACCTCACAATTGCCAGCCAATACGCGCGAAGCCATGGTGTACATGGTGTTACTCCAGATGGAGATACCAGTAACAAGCGTGGTGCAATGACGGGTGGATATATCGATACGCGAAAATCACGTTTGGAAGCCGTACGAGCTGTTAACAAGTGGAGGGAAGAATACGATCAGCTAAAGTCTAGGGCAAATGAGATACAAAAGAGGATAGAGCAAAAGGACCAAGAGATCACCAACGCGTTGGGCGAGGAGCGCAGGCTAGCGCAGAGACTCCGACAAATGGAAGATGGCTATGGACCGCTACGAGCAGAATTGAATGCAAAGAATAACCAGGTAGACCGTGAAAGAGATCGACTTGAGGCTGCGATCAAACGGCGAGATGTTGTCGAGAGGAACATGAAGCAGTTCCAAGATAACCTCAGCGCACATGAAGCCGAGCTGGCTTCGGACTTTAAGAAGGTCTTGACAGCTAACGAAGAGAAGCAACTCGAGAGCCTCGGTGCCACCGTTCAAGAACTACAAAAAGAGTGGAATGAGGTCAGCAATAAGCGCAGAGAGCTTGAAAGTCGCAAGCGAAAACTAGAGCTGGATCTGCGAACAAACCTCCAACTCAAACTCGACCAGCTCACTAGTCAAGCGTTCGAGACTGCTTCCAGTGGTACTACTAACTTAAAGGAAGCTAAGCGAGAGCTCAAGAAAGCACAAACGACGACGGCTTCGGTTCAGAGCAAGATTAAGGCCAACGATCAACAAATTGAATCCGCCGAATCTAAAATTACGAGCCTAGAAAAGCAAAAGGCCGAGAAGGAAACACAACAACAGGAGATTGCAAGAGAAATCAAGAAGCAGGAGAAGAGGATGGATAAGAACAGGCAGATGAAGGCTTTGTTGACAACAAGGGCGACAGAGCTAGCCAAGAATATTCGAGATCTCGGTGTCTTGCCAGAAGAAGCCTTCGAGAAATATGAGAGGTTCGATCATAAGACCGTACGTCTAACCCTTCGTAAGAAGATATGTTCGTGGCCAGCTAACTCTGCATCATAGGTTGTCTCGCGTTTAAAAAAGGTTAACGATGCCCTGAAGAAGTACAAGCACGTTAACAAGAAAGCTTTCGAGCAATACAACAGCTTTACCAACCAACAAGACCAGCTACTGAAGCGTCGCAAGGAACTCGACCAGTCACAGGCGTCAATCGAGGAGCTAGTTGCTCACCTCGATCAACGCAAAGATGAGGCGATCGAGCGAACATTCAAGCAAGTATCCAAGGAATTTGCTACCATCTTCCAACGTCTAGTGCCTGCTGGCCATGGCCGTCTAGTGATTCAACGCAGAGCCGATCGACGAGTCGACCCTGACGACTCTGACGAGGAACAACGGAGTAGCGTAGAAAACTACACGGGCGTCGGTATCAGCGTCTCGTTCAACTCTAAGACCGCAGACGAGCAACAGCGCATCCAGCAGCTCTCAGGTGGTCAAAAGAGTCAGTCGCACAATCTTCCATCTAACATATTACCCTAGACTAACAAGTATAATAGGTCTCTGCGCTCTCTGTCTTATATTTGCCCTCCAACAGACAGAATCCAGTCCTATGGTCATCTTCGACGAGGTCGACGCCAACCTGGATGCGCAATACCGAACAGCCGTAGCTGGGCTCCTGCAGTCCATATCGGCCGAAGCGGGCACACAGTTCATCTGCACGACGTTCCGACCGGAGATCGTGCACGTGGCCGACAGATGCTACGGCGTGCTGTTCCGCAACAAAAACAGCACAATTAACTGCGTGAGTACGGAGCAGGCGCTCGACTTCGTCGAGGGGCAGGCACCGAGGTAAATTCGCTGCAAACCCATGAGTTACGCTAAGCCGAGGGGTGCGGTGCGGCGCGGTGCGGTGCGGGTCTATGTGTATATGGTCTTAGACGAAGGAGTTTACGTGAAGTCAAGTCATACTGCGTTGTATACCACGAGGCACGCGAAAAGCTTGACGCTGTTATTTATTACCGCTGTATGATGTAGCTTATGCTTCGAGGGATGCTAATGAAAATTATTTATTATTTATATCTAAGGAAAAGATATAAGTCATCGAGGCCTCTGATCTGACCAGACACTCCTTCCTACCTAAGGTAATTGAATAATGATTTGTTATGAAAGGCTGTAAACCTGTTCCATTTAAAACTATACCATTGATACGCCCATAAGCTCTTTATCCAAGGTATTCTCGTGCGGCACTACCGATCTCCGTTGTTCTTGGTAGTGAAACCATACCTCTTCTTGGTCATGTTCAACTGACTTGACCATTATCCGAAGACACCAGTCTAAGACTGCTATTCTTATACAGATACAACTAGATCACAATCACAACTTCACTACTTCAAAAAGCCACAGTTTAACAATAGTTTAACATGTTATTTTATTTTATTTTATTTTATTTTATTATACTACATTACACTATCCGTGTACCAAGGCAACTCTACAAGCAAGCGAGTACCAGGAAACGCCATCTAGTAAACCATCTCGGTCCGCAAGACCCAGGCCGTCCAACACACACACACACACACACACACATGTATATATATATATATAGCGCAACGACCTTGGATATCCCACGACGACAACGAAATGTTCTACTAGGTATATAGCGTCCCCGTCCCATTCTATTCTATCACTATAGCAGCAATACAGCCAGAACAGCTTACCGAAATCATCCCATCTCATCTCATCTCGGCTCCCGCCAAAACGCAACGCTGTGCGAGTCTTCGGGCGCCAGGCCGTCGTCCTCGTCCTCAGCGCGGATGCCCCAGCTATCCTTCCAGACGCGCTCCTCGTGCTCCGAGGGGGGCGCCGCACGGGTCCTTGACGAGCTCTGGCTCCTGGCAGTTTCGCTATGGCTACGAGCGCGGCTATGTCTGTGGCTGTGACTGTGACTATGACTATGGCTGCTGCCGCGGTCACGAGTATGGCTGCGATGGTGGCGATGGCGGTCATGGTTTTGGCCACGCTCGTTGCTGCGACTATGACTACTATCGCGATCGTGGCTATCGCCCCGGGGAGAAGGTAAGTCGGGCACCGAGGTCGAGAAGTGGCTCTGATGCGGCAGGATAGCCGTGTATCCCTGCGTATCCCTGTTCCCCGTGGTATTATTCCTCGGGCGGGTGCCCCTCGCAACCTCAGACTCGCCAGTCAGAAATCTTCTCAACAAACTCCCTCCTTCCGCTCGTTGGTCGGAGGAATACACCGACGAGCTTGTGGATTGTCTAGGGTTTTGGTTCGGGCGATGACCAAACGCGGTAGCAGGCCGACGGGTTGGCGAGCGAGCCCTTGAAGGACGGTCGCTGTCATTGTTGCGGTTGGTATTATTACGCCTATACTGCGAGGGGATCTCGGGCATAGGCGGCGCGTCCCTCAGATTGTCCGCGGTGTACACCGTAACGTCAGTCCAGACGCTGTCGGTAGCGGTAGGGTGGATTGGCGGCGCACTACGCGAGCGATGCCTCCTCATATTGAGGGGAGAAGGGGCAGCTGACATATGACTGAAATCTCCTGGAGGTCGAAATGCAGGATGGGCCATGGATAAGACCGACTTGGTGTCGTCCGGCGTCAGATCCGATTTTAATACCTGAGAACTGTACCACTGCGTTACCTTTAGCCTACTTCTTTCTTCTGCTTCAAAATCTCGATCGAGGTCTGGGTGGTCTCCCAAGTCATTCAGATCGTCCAGATCGTCCGGGTCTTCTGGATCCTCGTAGCCATCCGACAAATCATGCTCCTCATCAATAGATGGCAAAGGATCACCTGCAATTGTCGGTTCCCCAAACTCCGAATAGGGGCTCAGACTGTCAGGCCTGTAGACACTTTTCACATTGTCTTTTAAGCTATACATCGCAGCCCTCCTCTGATCTTCCGCGCCCTCTAGATCGGCTACAGCTACGGGAATCCCCTTCTTCGTCCTCCTCGTATAGTGCTTGTTTTCTGCAACGTACCTCAACTCTGTTCCACCATCGCTGGTCTTTCTTAATTCGGTATAAGCTGCATTGCTTTTACTAAGTTCTTTTCTCCGTTGAAGTCGCCACTCTTTAAGTTGAGGACGGACTTTCCTGAGCTCTTCGAGTACGCTATCGCTCATAGCTATGCATTGCGCTGCCCTCTCCTCCGTGAGTAGATTGATCCATTCGTCGACATAGCGTCTAAGTTTTGGTTCCCTAGTCCGCCGCTTAGCTGAACGTGATGAACGCGATGAACCTGGTGAGCGTGATGAGCGTGATGAACGTCTCTCGGCTCGGTCAATAAGGGTGGTCCGCAAGTCGGCAAGCACACGGGCATTGGCACCCATAGCACTTAGAATACAAGCCTCGCAACCAGACTGAACAAAGATCATGTGGCTCTCAAAGGGTGGTGTTCCATAGCACTCGCGGTATAAGTCTGCATCTGTCCACAGGGCAGCAATGGAGTCCACTCGTCCTACGAAGGCAGCGAGAATTGGGTGATTGGTCTTGCCCTTCCACGAGCGTAGCACGTCCGTATGAACCGTTACCTCGTAAGCGACGGCTAAGAAAAAGCGACGGATAAGCCAGGGGTTGAGAACAGAATGTGTCTTACACAGCACTGCCCTCGGGTCTATTGCGTCTGGGTTCACCTTTTCGGTGATTTTTATGAAGAGACGCTTTAATAAGCCCGAATGATGAAGCAATTCGTCCGGAAGATTTTTGATTTTCTCCTCCTGCCTGTTCAGCCATCTCCTCGACGGAATAGCAACTCCATACTCGGGTCGTCGAGATAGGAGCTTTGTAAGGCGAGTAACGTTCTCGCTGGACGGATGGTGAAGATCGATACTCATTCGTGCTGTTTATCTATGTATCTATAGTATCCCAAGTAGTGATCTTAATCTTAATATTTCTGATTTCGTCTATTTGGTCTGATAGTTCAGATAACTTTCTGTGACTAGCAGCAGTATAGTAGTAAGTAAGGAACCAATGGTTGTTGTTGTGTAAATTGACCGCGAAGCGTTAATGCTATGTACTTCAGATTTTCGAGCATTGTCCCTAATCATATCGAAAACAGGCAACATCTACGCGAACTCTCGAGTAGTTTTGCAGCAGGGCCATTGATTTACCATAAATAAGCACTTTTTTTGTTCCTTAACCGTTAAAAAGTCGGTGACTACTCGTTCGTAGGACAAAGACATTATTCTAGTCGCCGCTCGACTTGGATCGACACAATGTTCAAAGAAACTTATGACGCTGCCTTTAGTTTCCGTCAAAGGGTTAGGGGCTTTGAGCGAGTAGACTCACAGTAGTACTATCCTGCCAAGCCAATAACAGCTAAGGTGACTTTGTATTCTCTTTCAATTGCCTATGTCCGAGGCTCACGCTCCGAGGCTCACGTTCGGCGACTATGCGGAAGTGCGGAAATGCGGGAAATATCGCGTCTTCCGTAGCATAAGATGCTCCCTAGAGTTGGGTTCTATATTTGAGAAAACGTCCCAAAAGTCGTCCCGTCTACGGCGGCGTAGAGGCTATAGACTATTTTTTTAATGTAACGTATGCTCAATGCCATGAAAACTATTAGCACATTTTAAAATGCTGGCCAGAACGCCCTAGCCTCCCCCAACCATTGCCTAAGCAAAGGCAATTGCGAGTTGTAACTGCAATGTCTGTCTGTATGCTAGGCCTAAATCCACCCCAAATATACAGGTTCGCCTTGGTATCACTGCCGTATCATCGGAATATAGAGGAATCGTTATCCCATTACCATTAGCCCGCAGCCGGACCTCGAGCCGGGTGGTACTCGTGCTCCCTCATACGCTCTAACCTAATCTTCGCCGCCTCAGTACCATCATCTGGAATGGCTGGCTCTCGGAACCACTCGTGCTCGAGAGCTTGCCGAGCTGTGATTCGTTTCGCCGGATCATAGACGAAAATCTTCTGCAGAAGATCCAAGAAGGATCTGAGAAATGGACTGGAGGCCGGTATGATATCCTAAATACGTGTCAGCAACTGAAGTAGGAGGACAATGGGTTAGTAACTGAGTCTTACACTTAACCGTTTCATATTCTTCACGAAGCGCCTAGACGCTCGTGTAGTTTCTGCGGTAGGGTAGTCCAATCTTAATCGCTTGAAATATCTGTCATCTGGATTAGTGAAGCTGTACACAAATGGGGTGAAGAGGATAAACGTACTTGGATGCGGCGTTGCCCGTGCTTCGTGTAGCCATCTTATTGACAGCTTGTACGAGGTGACTGTCTATGCGACTATCACAAACATTCTCCATCATGGCCAAGTGCTCGAGATTATCGTGCGTCTGGAAGAGAGCATCGCCGGTAAAAAATTCCACCAATATACACCCAATACTCCATATGTCGCAGGGGAAAGACCAGCCTAACCCAAGTATGATCTCAGGTGCGCGGTAGTGCCTGGTCGAAACAACAGATGAATGATACTCATCCTGGAAGGTTGCGGACCCAAAATCGATGAGCCGAATCTCAGTGTCAAGGAGGACCTTGCGCTGAGTAGCCTGTCGGCTCACACCAGCTGATGAGGAAGGTATCCTACGATTGTAAGTGAACGTCTGATAAGCGCTATCACAAAGGAGGATATTCTCCGGCTTCAAATCAGTGTGGATTAGGTTTAGATCGTGGAGAACTGGGACCAATCAGTAAGAGTAAAATGGTGCCGCGAAGGTATGATTGCTTACAAGCGACGCTTGTGAATAGTTGTCGAGCAAAGCTTTGAATCTGGCTATTGGGGAAAGGGACAAAGTTGTTGCTCTTGAGGAAGTCGAATACACTGGAGCCGAGTAGGTCCATTACGATACAGATGTGCCCGCGGTAGTCAAAGCAGTCTCGAAGGTGTATACATCGGTTTCGGTTCTCCTCGTCGTTGGCCTTCAAAGTTTGAAGCACGCGTAGCTCAATTCTGGAAGCGTCCCGATACTTCTGCACGGCTCGGATGATTTTGATTGCAACCAGCTTGTTTCGTCTCCGGTCGCGGGCCTGAACAACTTTGCCGAAAGTACCTTGTCCCAACAGTTTTACCATTTGATCTGATAATATATTAGATGAGCAACGAGATGGGGAGGAGGAGGAGGAGGAGGAGGAGCTAGGAACGCACATTGTGATGTGAGGTCGGCATCTGGAACAACGATGTAATGACCGTCGTCGTCGTCGACTCTAGCACCGCTTTGGTGGGAACGCTAAAACGTCAAAGTTAATTATCAGTACGCACAGATGCAAGGACGGGACCGCTCACATCATTAACAACCCTAACAGTCACATCACCAGCTTTCTTGACAGGCTTCTGGGGAGGGCGGTACGTGACGAAAGCATCACCGAGAACTTCGACTTCCCTTCTCTTTGCTTCTTGGGCAATCTGTTGCCTGGTCCTCTTCCTCTTCTGACCAGTATTATGACTCTCGTAGTCATATTGGCTATTCGAGGACAAAGACCCGAGCGAGGTAGCAGCTGTAGTGTTGTGGGCCGACGTCGTGCGATCGGTGGAAGTAGAACCACTAGTAGAGGTTTGTTGGTAAGAACCATTTACGCTTGGTTCGTACAAGTCATCATTTTGAATAACATCGTCCTTTCTTCGTCTCTTGGCTGTATGACGAGGGGTAGCGTCGTTCCCAACACCATTCGCGTATGTCCGTGACACAGTAGCGACCGAATATTTTTGTTCCTCCGGCTCGGGGGTGTCGTGTATGACAATAACTTCTTTAGGCAAGCCGTTTTTATAGAAACTCTTCCAATCCGGTTCCTTGGAACGACGACGTTTTCTCGGTTGACTATCGGGGAAGGACTGGGCTACGGAGGCGGCGGAGGCGACCGAGGGAGGCATATTGGCGTGACTTGAATCTAATCTAGGAGTAGAATTGGTTCTCGAGGAATCTTTGGTTGATCTCGCAGTGGCTACTGATGCGGTTACCCCATTTGTAGAGGGTTGAATTGTTTGACTCGTGGCGTAGGATGTACTAGTAGTATACGAAGATGCCGAAGAAGCGGCGTGGTGTCGATTAGAGACGGTCGCTGTCGAGGCAGTCGAAGCCGGGGTGGGGAGGATAGGGTTTGCAGAAGTAGCAGAAGTAGCACCAGCAACTGATCTATACGAAGAACCACCGCCCTGTAAATTTGAATAGGGCGGATAGTGATGGGTTGAGTGATGATGGTGACGATAATGGGGAGGGAGTGTAGCCGTTGCAGTAGTCGGCGTTGACATTTTATTCAAATGTCAATAAATTGTGAGAAGAGGTGAAAAGATGCCGTGGAGAGAGTTCTAGGATTGGGATGGTTGGGAATTGTTTCGTGTGCACTTCCCAAGAGTACAACACGTACCGGGGGGCCAGTGCAGGTTACTTTTTCCTAGGTTACCTAGGTAGGTTACTGATGTCGCGCTGTTCGTGGCTGTTCGGGGCTAATTGCGCTGCCCTTAAGGGTCCTTTAGGTTAAAAGGCACTTGTTCGGCGCTGTAACTTAGGCGACGTTGGGCCTAGGATTTAGATCCTTACCGAAAAGAGTGCGGACGCTCTTGACAGTGGCCAGTAATAGGCTAGTAATAGACCAGTAATAGACCAGTTTAATCGCGAAGGGAATGGCAACCGCTGCGCTCAAATTCCAAGGTTTGTAGGCTGAGTTGGCAGCACCAATAGGCGATTGAGTACCTCCGTTTAGGTACCTAACCTGCTAAGCAACTTGCTAAGATATAGAGCCAGAGCCAGGTGGGTACGAACTAAAGAAATCCAACTATGGTGACTGTGATGTTAGGTAGGCCAGAACTTGCAATTCCAAAGCGAATAATTAATTATGAATATTTCCCCGGTGATCTTTATTTTCCTTTTCTTCTTCTATTTCCTCCTCAGTTGTTTGTTTTTGGCCTGTGGCATAGAGGGTTCGAAGGTCGGGGCTTCGGTAGCCGAGGATAATATGGTTGATCGTAAATTGTAAAGTTGAAGTGCAAAGCTGTGTTAGTGTAAGAGGGCTCCTGTCGTTCTGTCGTTCTGTCGTCGTATCGTCTTGTTTGTTGACAATGTGTAGATTTACACGTGATCAATGCCTTAATATTATTATTGAATCGGTTGAAGATGATTGTTCGATCGAGTACTATTGACGGTTTGGCCCTCGAAGGTGGAAGGACAAGACGTGCCCGTGACGAAGGTACTCGTTACAGGCGGTTGAAGTAGGGCATAGTCTTCGTGTTGACGACAGCATTAAAAACAACGGCCGAAAATGTATACTTGTCTACCTCTAGGAGACAAGCAAGAATAAGCAATAACACTCTTGGTGCTTCGAGGCAATTCAAAGCAAAAAAGAAAGGAAGAGAGGAATCCAATCTCGAGTGTGAATTGTGAATGTGAACGAAGTCTTGCGTTGCCGCAATGCAGGATGAGGTGGTTGTAATGATTTACTCGTGGGTTCTCTCATAACGCACCAGGCTGTGTGATACAGCAGATACAGGGCAAATACAGGGCAGATACTGGCCTGTGGTTGACAGATGCACAGACAAATGGAATATGTACATGGAGATACATTGGAAGTTAGGTGTTACCTAGGAGGTAGTTTTAGGTACATGGCGGATTCACGGGTTCTGCCTCTTGTTTCGGACTTCGCCCACTCTGTTTGGCTCTATGGTGAGAATGAAGTAATCGGTGGGTCTTTTTCATCTGCTAATTCGCCCCAGGAATTACTTATTACCACGCTATCATTACACCTTAAACCCATAGCGTCGATAGATGATATTAAGTACCTTTTATCTAATTCAAGTACCTGTATGATATGTAAATATACTGCATGTACTTTTTTTTTTTTATATAGTTCAAGGTACTAAAGATACCCCAATAATAATAGATTAATAAACCCTCCCCGCACGGTATGGGGGAGGAGCCAAAGATTGATTTTCTCAGATTCCGAAGGCAACAACCGTGGAGTTTCTACAGTTCTACAGTATATATTTTATAAGTTTCACTGTTTTTGTCTTCCCATCGCCTCCGACGGCCGAATGCTAACTTACTTAAGAGGGCATTAACCTACATGGTTAAAAACAACATTATCTTACATTCAAGGATACCTATGTACATACCCGATGTACCTGAACATTGAAATCAGGTATCAGGTGTCATGGGCAACGGATATTAGGTAGGTAGGTATGTATCTCCAGGGTATTTGCTATCGCTGATTTCTTCCCCGTCGAGACCCGTCGAGACGGCAACCTTTTACTTTGACTTACACATATGTACGACAACAATAGCCAGCCATATATATATCATGATACCTAGCATCAAGCATCAAACATCAGCTGCTTATCAAGATGGGGAAGGGGAAACAGTTGATCTCGACAAGTTTTTTCTTCTTAATTCGTTTCGCTCGTATCCCGATTTCTTCTCTTCCTTTTAAAGTAGACCATTTCCTACACAGGAAGTGATTGCGCTGGATTGGCTGGTCAGTGGAACCCCTTCGGGAATACTACCTCATTACCTTAGATACCCAGATACCTACCAGCCTATCTCACTATGTAGGTATGTATGTATGTATGTATGTATGTATGTAGAAATTCCATCGGGTCCAGTCAAAGGACCCCTAAGCCTTTCTGCCCAGCTGTAAACGACATCGTCGACCACACTCCCGAGGCGCAAGCGGCAAATATCGCCACATACTATTGGTACTGGACATTTGGTTCGCCCAAGTTTGTCTGCTTCTTTAGCGTCGCCTATGCATCTCTTGCATCTCTTGCAGCATTAGCTTTTTCCCCTCACCTCATCACCTCAGTACAACACAACTGGTATCCAGGTATTATCACGATTTCACTTGCAGCCTTATCGATTTCGATGGGTCCGGTCCCGTCTTTGCTTCCTAGCTGATGACTATTTGACTACTTGAAGGAACAAGTCCCCGTTCTGCCCGTCCCAAGTCGTCCCTAATAAGTAAGCAGAGAGGTTTTTTTCCTTGCCTGCGTGGCATCCCATGATTCTTGAGCACAAATCCCAGTCTAGGGTTATTCGGCCCATGGCTGTTTTTGAACGACGCGAGTCTTCCAATTATCAGCCGGCAACTTGAGACGTGCGCATTTGGCTTGATGATGGCCAGTTCTTCATAGGTAGATAGGTAGTGTGTCTACTAATAAGTGGAAGGTATCTTATAACAATACCTACATAACAATACCAGGTAGTTACTCAATAAGCCCAGTTTTGCTATTTCATTAGCACCTTGCATCACAAGTCTTTCCCACGGCCGTTTTCTTTTTCTTTAGTACCTAAGGAAATATTATTCGTCCACCGGCTGGACCTCAACCCTTCCCTGTTACCACGCTGCAATCCAAGGGAGTCGGGACAACGGGCCAACGTTTTCATCTGACGAGAAACTAAATTAAAATGAACCCACCGCTTGCCTGGCTTACACCAGGTGTATGTATGTACACCTACTGACAATCGTCAATTACATTCCAAAGAAATGTTGAATCCCGACTTGTTTTCAGCTCCCAAAACCTAGTGCAAAAATAGCAAAGCCTTTTTGATGGACAATTTTGAGTTATCGCTACAGAAAGAAGACGAGGACAACTCAAATAATAAGGTCGTCCGGCTTCGAGACTATAAGTATTTAACCCTGTAATAACATGACTCGCAAAGTCCGGTTTACATTTAAGTGGTTTGAGGAATTATTACGTTGCCTTGCACCTGTTTAATGTACAATTCTTACGCATCCCTTTGCGCAGTTGAGCATGCCCACGTCCTAATGAAGTCATCCGCTTCCCGACAAAAAGTCGTCCGCTTCCTACAGTACGGGTTATTTCGCGCCTCTTCCCATGTAAGTAGTTCCTTTAGCCCAGCATTAAGGCGGTTATCATGTCTTGAGATATTATTTATGAACAAGTGTTCAATGCCGTACCATCAATAATATATCTAGGTACCTACATAGGTATGTATATCTGCACCTAGGGAAAGTTTTATGTACCTAGGTGGTATATAGAATTCTCAGACCGGGACCTAGACCGAGTCAACTTCTAACCTACATAAGTACCTAGTCCTCCAGCAGTATTGGCCAGATAAATAGGCCTATAAAAAGGCACCCAGTTCTACATATGCGTTTTGTCGTCATCAGAATACATAGACGAGCCTTTTAACCGCATGCCGGGCAACCCGAATAGAATACCTACCTACATTTAGTAAGACGACTATGTCTCGCATCTCAAAATCGAAGTGTCTTTTACAAGCAGACAAGGTAGTAAAATGACTATCGAGACTTATTTAGTATAGTGGCAGCAGTGCCGCTCGTCAGCCCTTGTTAATCCTTCATGAGGCTCCATTGAAGACTTCGTATTTTCGTTCTATGCGCAATAAATAGGATACTATTCCCTACACATGACAACAAACCCATAATCCTTATCTCCGCAATCTACACTACCTACGGTCCTTCGTCTTCCCTCGCTATGCATGTATTCCTTTGTAGAGCCAAAATAATATCTACCTACACAGCTGTGTCGGTCGCGCTCAGACCGCCAGATCTTAAAAAGGATCTCTAGCTCGCCCCTGTAGCAAGCAAGCACTCCTCGTGGAATGGAAGGATACGTATTTAGATTCATATTATTAGGCAACATGTAAGAGAACAGCCCCCCCAGCGTTCGAACAGCGCATGCTTGCCCCTCCTAAACCCTGCCGGCCATAGACAAATCTTACCCAACTCGTCACATGTACCCCAGGCACGCGTCAAGAAGCACGCCAAGACAGTTTGACGATCGAAGCTGAGACCCGGAAATCAATTTCCTTCTCGCATCCTGAAGGAGGCAATTGCTACGAGCTATTTAATAAGAGGGTTTAATAACTGTTTCTATTTCATCTTATCTCCGCGTCTAGCGACGCTGACAGAGCCGCCATGCGTCTCATCTATGACGAGGCATAATGTCTTATAGGTAGGTACTATGCCATGCCATCGAATTATGTGATACTTGTTTGACGTCCTCTTCTCCCCTTAGACCAAATCATCGAGACCGTGTCAAGTAGCAAATGCAATGCCCCTCGACTTGTTTCGCTCTAGAAACGCTTAACGTGGTTGAACAATGATGCATTCCGTCTAGATTCCCCGATTAAACACGACCATCCCCCCGTCTCCTCCACGGCCGTGAAACTCCTCCTCTAAGCTCTCCGCGCTAATCTTCTGGCGCTGCGGGAACGCCGCCAACGCAAACGGCAGCGCGAGGCAACTCATACCGAGGATCAAGCCGAGGTTGAGAGGCAGTGTGTAGCGGGGGTTCTTCTTGAGCCACTCGGTGCGCTGGAGGCGCACAAGGATCAGCGGCGGGATGACCATGATGGGGCTGCTATTGAAGACGCGGCTGAGCGCCGTCTCGCTGACCGCCAGCGTCGCCGCCTTCTTGCTCTTGCCCAGGCTCGGCACGTCATTTTCAGCTTTGCCCTCCTTCGCCAGCCGCGCCTTGTCCGCCTCCGAGAGCACGGGGAACACGTCAATTCCCGTGCGCATCTCCTCGCCGCGCATGAGGAACACGTTTAGCGCACCGGCGGACGCCACGGCTGCAAAGGGCACGAGCCGGCCGAGGATGAGCTTCGTCGACGGCGAAAATCCCCTCAGACGGGGGATAATCGAATTCAGACCTACTGCCACGGAACAAGATGCGCCGACGGCAAGGAAGTACGATTGGGCGATTTTCGAGTAGGAAAGCGGGTTTGATTTGTTTGCGTTCGCGTGGTTGATAGCAACATTAAGAGACTGGTTGGTGATTTGCCAGAGAACAGTCCCGGTGTTCTATTATTGCGTTTTAGGTAAGTATCTCTTTAAGCTGCTTCTGCTCAGGTCGTGGTATAGAATGGTGCGCATACCTTTAAACCCGGCGTAAGCATTCCAGCTGTAACGATCAAATTCGAGAACACGAAGCAAGACATCCGGAAGGGGAGGAGGACTGGCTCTCCAGTTTCTAGGGATCCCGATTAACCCAGCAGTTCGAAACTACGGAACACGTCAAGTTCATCATGCAATCGTACCAGGATGTAGTGTAGAGTCGACGATCTGCTTCGCCTTCCATAATTCCGGTGTCATATCCTTGATATCGCCTTGTTTATATGCGACCAGCAGCTTTTTGGCTTGTTCAAGACCATGATTTCCAACGAAGAGGGTTCTATCAAAAACGGATACATGTTAGAAGAACAGTCACTATTAAAGGATTGGAAGCTAGTCATACCTCGGATCTGTAATCGTTGCCGTCTGCTTGACGCGGCCCCAATATGTGGTTAGGTCATATTGCGATTCGGGCAGCTCCCGACTTCCAGGCAAAGAAGCCGACATAGTGAAAGTTGCGATTTATACAACTCCTTTACTTAGTTACGCGTGACCAATTGCCAAAGTCGAAAGGAGTGGACAGCTGGTCCTACAAGTCTAGCCGACGTAAGAGGGTTGCCGGCATAAACAGGTAGTACCTGCCAACGGAATGTATGCGAGGGGAGTAGGAGTAGGAGTGGGAGTGGAAGCACTTATCCTCCGTTGTTGTTTGTACATATCCTTTGTAAGTCGGTCCCGGCAATAAAAGCCTTAGCTCACGGCTTCAAACGGCATTCTTTACAGGAAGGCACGATTCTCACAAAGCAATTTTTTAGTGGGCCGATCTCGGCCATCGTACCGGTACCTTTTCAAGTACGTATGTACAAGTAGATAACAGGGCAACGCGGGGCACTTAGACGAGATCTTACCTAGAGGAATGAATACCTACATGCCTCTGGGGTAATAAGAATAAGAAAAACATAATAGGATATTCCACGGAATAATATTATAGGATAATTATATATAGAATTATATATACTCCAGACCAAAGGTAAGAAAAATGCAAAAAATCAAACCCCAGAGTGGACTCTGGGTTGAAGAGATGGCTTGAAAATTCGAGCACAGCAGGGATCGAACCTGCAATCTTCAGAGGTCGTCGTAGAACCGAAATCTGACGCCTTACCATTAGGCCATGCGCCCCGTTGAAGACCGAGCAAGAAAAATAGCTTTATATTTCAGATAGTGTTTTACAGAGAATTCATCCAATCATCCAATCATTTCACGGACGTACACTATGTATGTGGAGACCTACTTAGCGTTAACTAATGGAGGAAGTCAAGGAGCAGCATTATTACGTAAGGTCTTTCACCTTTTACAGCAGCATCATTGTTCGAGCCTTTTGTAACATTACGTTTGATCTTCTTACTACGTAACCTAGATATTTCTCAGATATTTCTCACCAAACCACATAATACGAAGCGAGCATCAATGATTAATACCCGAGGGCCATATCTCCAATAGAGGTATGCATTAAGTATGATGACTATTATCTAAAACACATGCTTTTAAATATCTAATTATTCGCGTAAGCCATCCATGCTACGATACTCCAAGTATCATCCTATACAGCTTTTCTTCGACTGCCTCCAGTCGTCAAAGTCGCCAAGCCACTTCTTCACCGTCTTGATCTCCCACTTATGCGCCTCTCGGATGAACTGCGGCTCGGCTTCTACATCCAGGATGCCGTACGAGTCCCAATGGTGACCCGCCCCGGTGATCAGTAACTCCGGGTGTAGGTCAGACGACGTACGCGCGGGCGCGAAGTTGGAGTGGTAGCACAGGTCGTTCCACACGTCCTGGTCCCCGTCGATGAATGCTAGTCGGTCGGCTGTGAAGTTGAATGCGCCGAAGTCGTTGTATGCATCCACGTCTGGAGTGGACGGGATTGAATTGTATTTCCCCGGCGCAAATGCCCAGCGGCACCACTGTTGTTCGTAGTCGGTATCTACTACTCGAGACAACAAAGCCGGTCCCTCTTTTGGTGCTGCAATGTATGCACCCTTGGTTTGTTAGTTTCTGGTTCGCGCTTGGGAATCAAATGGTATGTAGCGGCATCCTCACCTGCTCTATACAGCTTGTGTAAAGATACGAGCGTGTAGAAGTGTTTTCTATACTAGCCCATGCCGATGCATTTTGAGTTCCCTATAGCGAGAATTAATTACGAGTGAGTTGATATTCTGGGTAGCTAGCGTAGAAGAGGGGATGGAATGACTACTCACCCAGCAATCATTGCTATTATAGTCTCCTGAAGGACACAGTGGGAGGGTATAACGCTTCACGTAATTGGCATAATTACCCAGACCGCTATAAAGGGAGGGAATTATTAGCTACTAGCACGATGGATAGAAAGTAATATGCTTTTTTCCAGTTCTTAAGTGGAATGTAGTAGACAGCTCGACAGGAAAGTGGTATATAGGGAATCTTACGTCCAGGGTTCACCATTGGTGTAGTTCGCCAATATATTGTCCACTTGAGTGATCTCTTCCGGGGCATCGATATCAGAGACGTTGCCGCAAAAGTAGAAGAAGTCTCTCGATCCGTAAGTGGAATTCCAATTCAACTCCTGCCACGTGTTTGAGTGGTAGAATCCAGGATTTCCTATAGGGTCCTATATACGAGTTAGTAGCTAGTCAAAGTAGGAGATGAAAGCCCCATGCTTGGGGCTGGGTTTTCTTAGTTACGAGGTAAGAGAAGGGAACTCACTGCAATAGCCGACGCAAAATCTCGGTGGTCCGTTAGAGATTCGAGACCAAAGAGAGCCTTGAACTGCTTGATTGCTTTGGTATGGTTCTTAGCCACAAGGAGGTCGAAGTTGTCCACGATCTGATTGATTCGTGTGACACAATCCTGAGGAGCGTATTTCTGGATGGGATTGTACCATTCAGGATAGCCCACACTCACCTTAATCGGGGCTGAAGAGGCAATTCCGCCGTAGAGGATGTCTCCATACACCTTAATCGATGCAGCCGTCTGCGCTCCTGCCAAGCTACCGCCGTACACTATCCACGGTGTGTTAGGTGCAGTGAGGCTTCCATTAACACCGGGGAAGACAGCATTTTGAGCAAAGTGGGCGTTGTCAGCTATAGTTTGGTTTGTAGTGAGGAAGAGTAGCTCATCCGTGGTGCTGGTCTTGAAGGGGTAAGAAGCTCCATAGTAACGGTTCTCAAGAATAACACCTTCAAACCTCGTTAGTACTAGTTCTATTCTCGTCTGCATCTTATCTCTGTTCTTCTATACGAGACGTACCTAAGCCATTTGTAGCTTGCATCAAAATTTGAATAATTCCAGTCTGTAGATTTGAGAATCTACTCGGACCGCTGGTCTCTCCTGAGATGTACAAGTAGACAGGCCCGCCTGTAAAGAGGTTAACATTGTTATATCAAGCATGGGACATGGTGTAAACTAACCAGGCTTATAGTAAGAGCTGTCAAAGTAATATCGCTGCTTAAAGGTGCCACGGCTCAGATTGGACTTGGAGAACAGCTCATTGTCGGGGAAGTGATTGACCTTCTGATCGAAGTAGTGGACACCATATTGAAGCTGATCCCGAGGCACCTCACGCTTTATTTGCAATGCCCCGGCATCCCGAGACAGGGCGGCCAAGAGGCCAATCGACAACCAATTTAGCTTCATGTCCCTGGCTAAAAGACTATGCGATACCAAGAAAACGGATAGCAAAGTGCCAAGGTTGGGAATTATATGCTATGAAGATCCATGAAGATCCGGATCGACGGGAGCTGAGGGCTTAACCAAGTACACTAACCCAGGGACCATCTTCTAGCACGTCAGCTTGCGTGCGCTACCCAGTCGAGTTCGCCAAATACGACAGCACGATAAGAAGCAACGCAAACAATTCCTTAGTTAGGAAAGTTGCACGGCGTTGCATTGCATGCTGACTAGACTAGACTTGAGGGCACGGCACCCCTGCGGACTGCCACAATAGCCCGAATTTATTGCTATTATAGGATTTCCACCAGTTAGAAGTGGAGTACAAGAATCTTTACCAATGCAACATCCTTTTACACATCCTTTTACACATCCTTTTACACATCCTTTTACACATCATTCCGCAGTGCCTGGCCGCTTACCTAGATAGCTAACCCGCATGTAACTTCAAAGTGCGGTCAGATCCTAGGAATTGTCCACAAATCGTATTCTCGGTTCGGGTTTCGCCTCGATTTCATACAATTTGTGGGGTTTGTGCTGCCACGGAAAACTCGAGAGTCATCACTTATAAGGAGACGTCATGATTAGAGTCCATCATTATGAGAACTATTATGTCACCGCTTAAAGAGTTACGAACCTATCCGCCTGGGTCCCTAGATATCCATCTAGCCCCTCTCTGTCTATAATGTCTCAGAATAGGTAATCTTGAGTAGACCTAACAAAAGGCTTTATATGATGCTGGATATAGCATTCGGATTGATAGCCAGGGCTAACATATTTTCTAATTGTGTCAACCGGCGTAATGTGAACCCTGTAGGCATATGGACCAGGGAACTTGGGCGTGGCTCCGTGATCTATCACTATATAATTCTAAGGATTAAATACAAGATGATTCTCTTACTTTCACATATTATGAGAGATATATGCCAGAGGCTGCGCGCATCTTTCTTGGTGTATTAGTATATTTGCTGAGGCCAATACACATAATATGTCTATTATCCTTCATTGCTGTCTTAGTCGTAAGACATTCTACGGATACTATACTAAGTTATAATAGAGATGTAATGTAATACATGCCTCGAGGAAGAAGAAAAATGACCCCACGAGCGTTTTTAGAACTTGTTAGTCCGGTGTTTCGATCACCACTAACTAAGACAAGAAACTACATATGTTATCATCGTTTAGTTAACTACACGAGATAGAAGTTCTTATTATAAGGACATATTGCAATGATACTTGGTCAGTCATTCTATAACAGAGCCAAGAATAAATATATGTATGTACCTTAGATATATGCATTCATTTATATTGGTTCAGCCCTACCCATCTCGCAGCGCGCCGATGTTACGCTACGCCGCATGAGTGAAGAATACTGCCTATTTAAAGGAATGCCAAGGGTTTTCCCATTGCGGCGCAGGACCTCAACTTATTCTAACTAATACATCCAACCACTTCTTCTTACCCACGCCCTTTCCACTAGGTAACTGTTCACTAGTAATAGCTGTCTGGTCGATTACGTCTGTCTAGGGCGCCAGTACGGACTGAGACGCTTGCCCGGTGTAAGCATAAGTGCTACTTCTACTTCTGCGTAGATCCGCGTCATGCCGGCCTTGGTCAGAATAAGGCGGATAAGGCGGATAGACTTCCGGGTAACTCCGTCAATCTATTGAATTACATAGCATATCATTATTGGATACCCTCTACATCGGCGTCTCAGTGACCACTTTCGAAGGCTTGGCGCCGCCATTGTTGTCGACTACGTATCTGCGAATATGACGGCCGCGTCCGTACCTCGCATACGAGCTCGCAAGCCTAAAGTCCGCTCAGGTAGGTATCGTCTCATAAGTCTACTTTGACTCTCCTGTCTATCATAAAGACCTACTTCGTTAACATGGGCAAAAGGCTGTGCTACGTGTAAGTCCCGGAGGATCAAATGCGATGAAGGTCGGCCGGCCTGTGCTCGTTGTCAGAAAAGTCGGCTGTTTTGCAGATACGACCATGGCAAGACTCAAGATGGCAAGGCTCAAGATGGCATCCTACTGGTGTCTGATAGCGGCGACGCCGGTTCGCAGTTGGCCCCGGTGATTCGTTCACATGATTTTGAAGGGTATGAGGTCTTATACTTCGACATATTCCGCAACGTCGTCGTGCGCAATCTCTCTCAGAACGGTTATAGGAATTTCTGGGCTCGGACTGTGCTTCGCGAGAGCCTCAGAGATGAATGCGTACGGGATTGCGTCCTGGGTACCGGTGCGCTGTGCCGCGCAATAAAGGGCCAGATTTATCGTCTGAGGCAACCAGGGGCGAAGTCCCTTTGGATGGTCCCAGCAGATTCTCTCAACCCTGTCAATACTAGATATCATAGAGACGCACTCCAGTCTTATACCGCGGCCATCTCAAAGTTTCGAAAGCGGATGCTGCTTGAGGGCTCGTCTATTACGCCACGAACGATCCTGATCGTCAGCATTTTGTTCATCCTGTTCGAGGCGATACAGGGCAACACAGAAACCATCGACCGGCTTATGCACTCTGCCATACTCGCCTTGGAGAGTTCCATGTCAGGTAGTATGGCGTTTGGTTCTAGGTTATCACCGACTCTGGACGACGAGGGCGTCCGCGAAGCAGACTATTTCCTCGCACGCCTGTCTGGGTTTAACTCCTTGCTGTCCCCGTTCTATCCCGCCATGCTGAGAAACAAAGCATATCAAAGAACTTGGTTATGCAAAGACGCCATTCCTAGCAGCGACCAAAACACACAGCAGGTAGAGCATAACTTCGAAAGGCACACGACATACATGTTATTCTGGTGCTTCCGCATAACCCAAACCAACCTTTTCAACAACCCGACTGATTTCGTGAAATTCCACGAGGAACAGACGCTTGCTAAAAATCAATCAAAAATTTGGTGCGAATTTTTGGAAAGCAAAGTAGACCAGGAGAAGGATCCCGTCCAGTGCTGGACTTGGAAGAACGGCAAAGAGACGCTTCGGGGATCATCCCCTACCAGTCAAGATTAAGATGGAGTACATCATCGTGGAACGACGACCGGACAGAACTGCGGATGGTGCTCACGGGGGTTATTACCGGCCATCGTAAGGAATTAACGATTCGCAAAGATGAAAGTATCGATGATATGATTACGAATATATCTAAACTATCTGTCTAGCCATCCGGGGTGTGGCCAGTCACTAAAAGTACAAAGACCTAAGAACACACCACTCGAGCCGAATCTATGTTATACGATATGCACCGTGGGCCACTCGACGAAGTCAGATATATAGTCAGAAAGAGACGATGGAGACTCGATAGTTATATAGGATTAAACACGTACATAAACATTACCAAGCTCATAACTAGTTAATAGCTATCCAAAACAAGATTCTAAACATAACAGAAAGCATTGTTCTACATGACAAAACAACGCAGTAGACGACCAAGGAAAATATCAGCAGCAGCTTACCCCCAACAGGATCTTCCAAGCATCCACAACTCTCTGCAGCCCCTAACAATAGACAGCCTGCATGCACCGTATCATATTCGAATACCACCCCTCATCCAAGCCAAATCCCACCTTCTTACCATACTTCTCAACCTTAGCACGAGCCTCCTCAACCACGCGATCCATCTCCGCAATCTTTTCCCTCATCTCCCGTACTCGTTTCCGCTCCTCCTCCGCCGCCGCCGCCGCCGCCGCCGCCGCCGCCGCAGCCTCCGCAACTTTCTTGTATGCCTTTTTTGCCACCAGCCTCGCCCTGATCTCCCTGTCCTTGGCCTTCTTCTCCGCCCTAGCCTTCCTCCTGCTCATTCTCTCCGGCCCGTAGAACTGCTCGCGCGTTCGCGGGCTCGGCGGCACCTCGTCTCCCGTCTGGATGTCGTGGGCCACGCTGTCGAACGTGACTTTGCTGGGGGATGGTAGCTTGACGTCGATCGATAGCGTCTTTAAGATGCCCTTGAGACGAGGCTTAGGGGAGGTAGGACGATCCATGGTTTCTTACCAAAGGCTTAAAAGTACCTAATCTATCTTGGAGTTGTGACTTGATTTTTATGAATCTTGATGTTATGTTTTGATAAGTGCTGGTTTTTACGTCTATCGTCTATCACATGAAGACCACCGCATCTTTGGCTAAATACCTATCCTGCAAAACATTCCAATAATAACTTGTTATGCCGTTATATTACTTTGTTAATACTGCTTCCTTGTCGGGACTATCGTAGACAAAGAGTAGTATCAAAATCACAATGCCTTGTTCTTAGTCTTATTTTTTTTCCACCCCTCAAACAGGCTGCCAACTCCTTTATTCACCAAACATTACAGAGATAACCCTCTTGATGTTGTAATATCATTTCTGAACTCAATGCAACATCGTGCTAGACACGACGTGAATTAATTGGGGGGATTTTACATTATATGACATTCATACTTAATTTTTAATAATAGATACATTGCGGGCTTTTGTAACGCACGCCAATGTTGTTGCTATGTACAGAAGTCTAGATACCAACTCGTTCTACACAGTCTCTTGCCCACCGGTTTCCACGAAGCCCCCCTTAGTTTTGAGACTGTAGAATAGTAAGTATCAACACATTTCCGCTGTTAGCGATGCAATAAAACACATCAGTCCTCGTAGAGGCAAGGCAGAAGAGAAAGTACAAAAGTACAAGGTCCCACAGGAACATACTAAACAGGCGTATGTCCACATTCTAAGCTGGGCTGACTCCATAGAAAATGGAAATAGAGGTGACAGTTGCCTGTCGGAATGAAAAGAGTCGTTGGACTGTATGAATCTGAGGGTACAAAAGGAAATGCAGAGAATGCGTCTTATTGGCACAATGATGAAAAGAGGTTCGGGTATCTGTCGTAATCAAGGAAATTTTCGCCATTCGGAAGCAGGCCACTCGGGATAATAGGAGGACCTCGAAGAGTTTACTGTCTAAAGGAGCTGTGGCTTTGGTGTGCGTCTTGGAGAGCTATGTGTTATGTTAGTAAACAAGCTAGCTAGAAATGAGGGTAGATTAAAGAGCTTGCGTCACTTACCATGTAATATATTTAACTGACCGGCTCGGTCTTCGCAGGCGATCTGCAGACAAGAGCCTTCCACGAGATCCAAGACAACGCTGTTGGGGAGTTCCTGGATCTCGACGTCGGGGATGTAGGGCGGCGCGCGGAAGTCGCTCAAATGATAACGCTTAGCACCAACAGCAATAGCCTTATCCTTTCCACCCGTCGCGGCGCCTTGTATAGCACTCAAGAATAAAAATCCTTGAGTGTCTAGGGACATGCTGCGGCGCTTCCATAGCAAGTTGTCCGGAAACTGCACATTCACGTCTCCCATATACACCACAACTGCTTGAGAAGACGGAGAGACATCAGTTGTAGGAGTGACAAGCTGATCCGCATCTTCCTCGGCGACAGTAGGGGAAATATGCGGGCTGGTAACTTTCTTGTTTCCATTAAGAGAGTTCGACAAGCGCCTCATGAATCGAGACGCTCGTGTCTCGGACTTTTTATCGCTCTTCTTGTCATCATCTCCAGAACCACAATCACTCAGGACGGCGGGCGACCCGATAGGCGTCGACGTTGAGTTCTCCCGCTCGCGGCTGAAAGATGAACGATGGCTTGAAATTGACAAACGTCGCGCGAAACCGCCATTGCTCTGATGGGTTGACGGTGGTCTACTTGGAGACTTTGATCCGTTCGGAGACATTATTGCTAAATTATCAGTCGATTTGCTGGCAGTTGATGTTCGGCGGTCTTTGATAAAGTCTTTGACTATGCTCAAAGAAGAGCGCCGATGCTTCTTCTCACCATCATCAGGGGTTGGCTTTTTATCCCGTCTCTCTTGAATTGTCTCCTTAGACACCTGTACTAATGGGGTTGGCACTGGCTCAGGAATAGGTTGAGGTAATTCCTGTCTTTGTAGGTCTACAGTGAGTGGTGACTGCTTTAATTCGAGCTGGGGATAGTCACTAGGGCTTGCATTTACTTCAGGTTTCCTCGGTAAACTTTGGCTAGGATCGCGGACGATTCTTGCAGTGACTTGGATCGATTCGGGCCGCCCATAAGGTGATATCTGCGTTGGCATTTCAAACATAGATAATCGACTAGCCACCGAGCGAGACCTCTCACGCCTCTCCGCGCCAGAAAGCTTAGGTCTTTCCTGAGATTGTTCAGCCGTGAGAGTATGCTGCTCTGGAGAAGCGACATGGTCCATCACGGAAGGAGATCTCGGTGGTTCTCTAATGCTCTGCCTACGAACACTAAAGAAAGCCGAAGATGGTGCTGCGGTTTTTGGACGAACTTCTTCTGGCCCACCAGGGCCCGACAGCTTTTCTAAGGCTTTGATTCTCTGCGAAATGCTCGAGCCGAGATTGTTCTTCTTAGCTTGCAAACCAGCATTTGATGACTGTCGGGTAATATTATGTAGGAGAGCTGCACCACCCGCCGATACACTTCTGGCGCTGCTCTGAGATACATCACTAGGTGCCAGGAGAGGCCCACGCATCGGATTTGAAACTGCACGTGATAGTGGCGGTCCTGGTCTGACGGAACTGGGATGGGGGAAAACGGGAGTAATGGGCGACTTAGACACGAGCATAGGTTTAGCTTCCTGTAAAGTCGCTGACTGTAGCTCCTCCATCAAAGCATCGTCAAGAAGAGGATCGGAGGTTTCAGAGTGAGGCGTGGTCTTCGTCAAGTCAGTTCGAATAGTTCCGACGACGGTCATACGCTTAGCTAGTTTCGGGGGGACCGTGATCTCTGAGGCAGCCTTCGGGAATGATTCGCCTCCGGTCTGCTCACGGTGTTCTACGGATGTGTTCGGTAGAGCGGGAACGGGCTCTGCGGGAAGAGATATATCTGGTATAGAGAATTTTGATTTTAGACGGGAAGTTGTTGGCGATCTCTGCTCAGCTCGAGTTTGCGGTTCGTTGGAAGAGAATCTCGAAACGGGCAATCTCAAAGGTGATTTGGGCGTGCCCTCTTCGCTCGGGGGTTGCTCGTTACCCTTTGAATTGGGCGGCGAGATGATATCAGTACGACCATCCGCCTCGACCGAACTGGGGATCGAATGCTCTGTTGTTTGTGTAGGATGGTCTGGACTCTCTTGAGATTCCTGACAAACTTCAGTATTCTTCGCGTCTAAAGCATCTATGTTCGTCTCAGTCTGTTCTGGACTGTCTTCCATTCCTGGAAGACCTCTGGGCGCAACCTCTTCAGCCTCTTTCCTTATGTCTTTCGAGGCCTGGACAGTTTCATCAGTCGACTCGGAAAGGGAGGATGCTTTCGTGGATGCCCCTATTTCAGATGATGTTGCACCCGTCGGAGAATTTGGGCGGGAGTCGGATGTATCCTCTGTATTGATCGTCATCGGGGTGGGTGGGTCAATGGCAATACCAGAATCTGTGTTGGATACGGCACGGTGACTAGTGTCGCCCTTGATTCGTAGAGAATCTTTGGACTCGGTATCGCATCTTTCTTTCTCCTCGCCTGGAGGTGTATTATCTAACGGTGTTGTCTGCTCTGACGTTGTAGTACTCATCATCTTTTTCTTTTCCCTCAGCTTCATGGCCTTCATAAGTCGTGCTTTCTCAGGTGTGATTTTCACCTCCTTTGTTGGTGGAGGCGCTAGAGATTGAGTGGTTGATTTAATAGAAGCTCCCGAACTCGTTGCGGGTCGCGGGGGCAGTTGAAGGCCAGTGCCTTGTGGGACCTCAGGGATAAGATTAGATGGCGCGAGGGCGGTATCCAAAGCAACCCCTTCAGCTTCTTCCGTCTTCTCGACCCGTTCCATATCTTGAGATTGCCCCTTCTTAGTCCCCTTGGAGAATAGCTTAAATCCTGCCGGCAAGGCTGCAGTGGGTCGAAAGTTTTCGGCCGTTGAAGGCCTCTTGTTTGTATCTAGAGATGGTCGGGGGCCGAGCTTCACTTTTGGTTTACCATATGCGTATGTCGCGTAGCCGTATAAATCAGGGCGCGTAGATTGGGAGGATAGACGTGGAGCACTTTCGGACTGTGTAGGGGATGACGGTCTGTCAGCTCCTGTAAATTCCGGGACGTTGGCTGTTGAGGCAAAGCTGGTTTCTTGCGGGGCGGAGATCTGTTGACTATCGAGTACGGTAGGGCGTTCTATAGGCGGTGAGTGAGCGGGTACCGAGTACACAGATGATGCGCGTTTATCTTCCTCCTTAACCGTCGACTGCCTTTTTCTCTCCCTTTCTTCTTCTTCCTCTTCCTCAGCAATCTCATTCAATCTCCGCCGTCGTAATGAACTCGAGGATGAGGATGCCGATCCGGACGCGGTATGCAGCGAACAAGCTGCAGAAAGCTTACTATCTTTCAGATCTTTGGCTACCGAAATTTCGAAAGTGACATCGTACGGCGCAAACCGCTCACAGATAGCATTGAAATGTACTGCTGCACGAGCTATACATGGCAATTCAAATCGAATTAGCAATTTATCCTGCTTAGTCTTCTATTTCTAGAGATATATTGCAAATGACTAGACAATAGGTGTATAATATGATTAGCTGAATAGCTCACCTTGGACAAGTCTCGAGCAATCCTCAGGTTGGTATTTTAATAAGACACTCCTCCGCCTATACTTAAGGAAGCCGTACAATGGCGAGGCCTCTTCGTATTTTGCGATTGCACCACGAACATCAACGATGCCACCACTCCCACGGTCAAGAAGCTCGATTTCGTCGCGATTGGCGTATTTGAGAAGGAACCTGTGTTAGTTGGACCAGACCCAGGTCAGCGGCGCAAGCTAAAAGACAAACAAACAATTCGGGATGGGGAGAGAGAAAAATAAAAAAAGACAACATTGCGGTAAGAATAGCGACGTAGATCACGCCTCATTTACCACATGAGGAATACTTTGGCTCAAGAGAAAGAAAAAAGAAAAAGAAAAGTTTCATACCATCCGCCAGGTTCAGTGGTAGCGACTTCGTGGGCTTCTATAACCTTAGCATCGTCTAGCCCATTCAACGACATTCTTCTTAGAAGATGCCGCCCAATGCGACGCGACAGCTAATCTAGTAGGATTCGGAGTGTTACGCTGGAACAAGTGTCGACTTGTATTTTTTATATATGCGATTCGAGATCCTACCGGCCTTACAACCAACTTATCGGCAGGCGAGATACAGGAAGGATCGGATGGTTGTCCGGAACCAGAACCAGGGCCAATTCGAGGGACCGGCAATCTGGTTCGACATTGAGACAACACCATTCGAAGGTGATAAAGTATTTACAGAGATTTCACCATAAAAATGGTGTCAACGACAAGGCGCATAACATGAACCGAATTTCTGGACACAGATGAAGAAGAGTTGAAGCGGCCGAAACGAAAATAGGCGGGATAGCGGTATGGGGTTCGACCAGGGGGGCGGGAAATTTCGATAGGGGGTTGAAGGATAGTAATATCGTTCGTAGCTAACTACATACACATGCTATGTAGATAGACCAGGGATCAGGGGGTGGTGCCCGGTGCGGAAGCCCGAGCGCTAGTAAGACATCTACGGCTCAGATAATCTTCTGCAGCTACCTAGGTATGTTTTGTAGGTATGTTTTGTAGTACAGAAGACACTATTGATGACGATGGAAGCGAAAATTGGTGAATATAGGAAAAGGGTGAGTTGATCCGTGGCGAGGAACGATCAAAGGAAACTGGCCGAAGATGCTTTCACCAAAGTTCGTACAAACAAGCGTAAGGTATTTTGTAAGATACCTAGGTTAAGGTAGTTATGTAATATTAATAAAGAATTAAACGAGCGACAATAATAGTAAGGCAGAAGACCTTCAGCTACCTTCTATCTTTCCACCTCTAGCAATGTGTATGTGGTAGAAAGAGAGACAGGATACGGCTGGGAGGTATGTAGAGCCTGGTAAGGAGATTCAATTCAACAGGGTGAAGGTGACAATGTTGTGGTAAGTTTAGACGTGAGCCAATGATAGCTGATCGGTTGAAGAAAGGGGGAACATCGGAAGTGCACTTGGGATTTTTACACTTGTTTTGTGGAGGTACTTACCTAACAGGAGATTACCCTACCCAGACTGTCTGATTGGGTATCTCTTAGGAAAGCGCGCACGAAATATACGTATTAAGTAATCGAGATTTCATACAGGTACATAACGAAGTACATGCAAATACCTACAGGGAAGAAATAGTACTGGCTTCTATTCAATTTCCATTCCAAGGCCCAAGGCCCAAGGTCGAATCCTGATCTTAAACATTGGGCCCCCCCATTGAGAAGCCTTGGAATAAACTCACAATGTGACAATACATTGCTAAGCTGATCTTGGTATTCCGTAGAAGAATAATTTAGAAGGTTCAAATCTCGGCCAGCACTAGCCTGAATCTGTAACAACGGAGAAGCGCTAATCTCGACCACCTTGCATTAGTAGATTGTGCCTGTTGTATGTACATACATACCTACATGTACCTAATGTACGTATGTACGTGCATATGTACATAACATCAGGTTTAGAGCGATGAGCAGCTTCGAGCCCCGCACCTTTTCCCACGCATAGACCTTGCGCAATCTTCAAGGTTCAGAGTTCCAGCATTGAGACATCTACGAAATCAGCCAATCAGCTTGCGCAATGCAAATCAATATAGTTTACACAGTATGTTGGCGTTAATACGGTGCAGTTATCCTCTTTCAGGGGCACAACGTGGAGGGCCGTCTCTCGCTTTTATTGATCCCCTATTTAATAATATTCTTCTCGACTTTTCGGAAAAGACGCCAAGATTTTGTTCGGTCATCTCCTTTTCATTGCTGGTGAAAAAGATCTTCAGTAAATTATCTTGAATACGCGGTAATATATGAAGATACCCGGTAGAGAAAGAGATACTATCGTATATTAGTATTCGAGCCCAGGTTCAGTTCTATACATTAGATATATTACCTAATATACCGCGTTCTAAATTCATAAGACATATTATAGGGTAACATCGTCTCGACGGATGAGATAACTTGCATATCATATTCGGATGGCCGAAAACTTTCGTGTGCCCACATCTTGTTAACCAGAAACCTACCTGGAGGAACAATAAACCGGACTTGTCAAGACGTCGTGTCCCATGTTAAATGAGAGGACTGGCTAGTTAAGCAGGTATAATTTACTTGAACGAGTAACTATATGTACCAAAACTCCGGCTTATAATCGCACTCGTAATACTGTGCTTCTGTTTGAAGTACCAAGTATGACGGTGTAGCTATATTATACGTATATGTAGAATTAATACCAACACCAACTGTCAGCATTGTCCCCCCAAATCAATATAGCAGACTGACCTGCATCCATTATCCCATAATCCTGACCATACATGAGACGTCAGAACTTTAAGTCGTTTCCAGCCGAAAGACCGGCTTGAAGACACCGAGAGAGTTTTCTCGTACCTAGCAAGACCTTATTTACTAACGCCTACAACTTGCCTATCTTTAGGAATTCATATTTCTATCCCGTAGTCTTCTCAGAAAATCGGATTCTCTATCCTACGGAGAATCTTCCTATTAAGAACGAATGTCTAGCCTAGTCCTGATTTGCGCTAGTAGTAGAGAAAGAATTCTAGAACAGCTTTTTTTCTAGACCTCTTATATCCAGTCGAGTGCTAACACATACTTGCAATAGACTTTAGGGCCGACAACCCACTCGGGACAGGCAAACCAAACATTCGCTCGTCTGAGACGGAAAAGGGATGTTCGCTAAAGACGCTAAGGAAGGAAGGTCGAAACTGAGATATGGGTTTGGTATTGATAGAAGAATGGCAAAAAGCTTGAATTTAACACCGAGGATAGACGATTGATCCGAATTGCTTTTAAGGTTCTGACCCTCTAGTCTGGTCTTCTCGTGGGTGAGGATATAAGCTTTCATACTGCCAAAATGTTCATTCATTGCTGTGACCACTACCTGTAACGTACACCTTTTCATAAGTCCATGCTAAGCTAAATCATCATCGCCGGTAGGCTTTACAGCCCACTTGCTATCTTCGTCTTCCGAAATAGTCGGGTCTTCGTTTACTCCATAAAGATGTCTCCCTAATACAAGTATGAAATGGCCAACGGAACCAACCATCTTCGTGGGCTATCAGCTTGACTATGATATTTTCGTGGTCATGTACTGACCAAGGTTCACCTGAAATACGTACATCATGCCAAAAACGTTAGACATGTCCCCTACTGCCTTATGAATGACGAAAACCTTGGTGTATCGCGAGAGTCGAGGTTGGCAGCAATTTTCGGGAGCGGGATGTAAAACAGGTCTGTAATTGTTGGTGAAAAGATCCCGAGAACAGTACACTAATCCTATTATAAAAAGAACCGGAATTGGGATTTCGACAGCGATCCCGTCGTATTCGGAGATGTCGATTCCGGAGTCACGAGGCCGCCTGGGTTCGGGATTGCGTCTGCAGTGACCTCAGGCGCGTCGCTGTCTTCTATCGACGAAGGCTCCTCCTCAACCGGCCCTTCAATGATGGTCGGCTTGAAAGCATCTCCGTCGTCGATGGGTATAAGATCATGTCCTCGGCCACTATTACTAGCTGATACGCCAACGGCTGGTGAATCACCTTCAGCAATCTTCTGCTTAGTAGAGATCACAATCTTATCGGCTTCGCTTATCTTGCCGCCCGCACCAGAGATATCTCCTTCCACACCGATGGGATTCTCCTTATTGTTTTGATTCTCTAGCAGGGCAGCCTTATCGAATCGAACGATCATGCATGACAAGTTGTCTGTACTGAAGCGAGCTAAGGCATGGTCAACAAGCTTCTTAGCCGCAGCCGCCGGGTCTCGTTCGTCGCGAACGAGATTAACAGCATCTTGGTCTTCACAAACATCCCAGAGCTAGGCACTTATTAGCAACGGTCTGGAGTAAAGGAAAAATGCATATCTAATGGACTTACACCGTCGCAAGCAATGATGATAAACTCGTCTATTTCGGGCTGGATGACGGTTTCGGTGGTGTATGGATGACCTGTTACGAGGTCTTTCATGTACGTATCTCCAAGAGCTCGAGTGACAGCCAATACACCATTCACACGGTTATTGAGGATCAAGCCTCCGGCATTCGAGATCCGCTTTCCTTCGTTCTCGTCGCTACCCTTGTGGTCATATGAAAGACGTAATGCTTTACCAGCTCTACATAGAATGATCCTAGCATCACCCACATTTGCCGTGTATAGAACGCGCTGCCGAACCGCAGTACCCTTCAGCCTTGCATGAGCTGATTCGACGATAGCATTGTTACCACCATCGTTCTCAAGCTTCGCATCCCGGGGTTTTAACGTATCCGGCGCCTTTGAAGCAGCAGCAGCCGCCGGAGCGATGGCTTGGGAACCGGTCGCAGAGTTTGAGCTAGGAACCCGATCCTCCCAACGCAAGACAGCAATTGCTGCGGTACAGCCACTGTTCTTAAGAGGAAGCTTCTCGAGCTGTGCATCAACATTGGTGAAGGTCTGATCAAGAAGTTCGGGAATGGGCACGTTGGGATTTCGTCGTATAGTGTCTTCGAGAATAAGATGCAGCTTCTTCCCACACCAGTCTGCAGCGAAGGTACCAGCATGTCCATCAAATATTGCGAAGTAGCCGTTGTCAGTTTCTACTATATCCTGCGCGCTCATCTCAGGCTGGCTAGAATCCTCTGATGTAGACCTTTGGGACTTTTGGCTCTTGTTACCCAAATCTGGGGCGATAAGGGGTGCGGGAGTATGCAGGAAATTGTAGAGGAACGCATGCGTGTCTTCCATTGTACGACGGCATTTTTTGTTCCTGTCTTCCCAGACACCGACGCGGAAGGTAGATCGTGGACCGGGAAGGGATTCGCCAGCAGAGTTATTGTGCTGGCCTTGAGGTACCGCAAGAGATTGATCTTGCTTGCCTAGTTTCTGTAGAGGAGTCTGAGAGCTAGCGTCACTATTTGTCCTGCCAGCCTGGCCGAAATTCAAGCTATTCTTGGCGCTGGCTATAAGACTGCTAGCTTTGCTCCCGACGCCAGAACTCCTGCGCTTCTTCTCCGAATTACCCGTATCGGGATTATGTCGCCCGGGCGGGCTACCATTTCCACTGCGCTTCTCGCCGCTAGTCGCTTGATCAGGAGATTTTGACGGGGTCGCACCCGAAGCAGACTCGTGCTTTCGGTCCGGAGACGGGGATTTCTTCTCCGACTTCGTAGAGTCGGCTACAACAGTATCGGATTTAGACGCAGCAGAACTAGAGCCGCCGCCAAACATTCTATTAAGCAGACCTCCCTGAGAGGAGAGACTGCGTCGCTTGTTCCCTGCCAGATTTTCGGGAGTTGAAGCTGTCGATTGTGGGAGGGGGATATGAGGTCAATATGTAGGATGCGCCTAAGTTGTTAAGCGGTGCGGAGAAATGCGCTGATCTTTTGGTCTTTGATACGGCGATAGGAGGTGCGGTAGGCAGGAAAGAAAGATTGCACAAAGGCTTGTGTAGATTGGCGTCAAAGAATTGGGCGCACAAGATACTTGAGAATCTGTATAGAGTTGTCGTCATATATGAGGCGTTTGGCTAAAGTCTTGTGACGGTGGGACGCTAAGAGAGACTAGGTTAGATAACTGTAGTCATAATATGTAGTACTGTATCGTATAGTATCGTATAGGAACCCTGTTGTTCGGGGATATAGAGGCTTTAGCCGTAAGGGAGCGCCTAGCACCGTAAGGTAGGCGATTATACCAAATACATATAAGAGAGAATGACGGGATGGAGGAATCGAGAAGAAGACAATGCCGAGGACAGTGGGGAGTGATCGGGCTGTGCAATAGTAAACAGGCGCAAAACAAGATAGGTAGGCCAGGTCAGGTAGGGCGATAAGTAGGGCAATGTAAGGTTAGATTAGGTAGAGACAAGTAGAGACAAGTAGAGACGGGCAGACAGGGATTGAGACTCGAATCAAGTCAAGTCAAGTCAAGTCACTATTTGAGAGGATAAAGAAAGGAGAGTTGCGACTAACCAAGCAATTAAATCTACATATGTAGGTATGTATGTTAGGTACTCATTGGCTCCAGCCTAGAGGAAGAGGGTATCTGAGACGTGTAGAGTTTATGTGGTGTGGTATGGTACAAGTACAAGAGTTGTCGCGAAGTCCAACAGCGATAAATGATAAATCGTGGGGTGTGATGTAACGGATGGTAGAATTGAGAACAAACGAGGGGAGGAATCTAGGTTAGTGAGCAGGTCCACCCCTACCTGCCTTGGCTGCTGGCTGGCTGCTGCTTGCTTAAAGGAAGGTGATACCCTACATAGAACGGAGAATGCCAATTGGTCTGTGCACAGAAAGCGGTACCACAGGCGCCGGCGCTTCGGAGCTACAATAGCATCCGGGACGCAATCGTAATCACCTTAAGGGGAATGATAACCAATGGGGAAATCCTATTAAGAATCCGATTGGGAGACTTCACGATCACTACATGTGCCCACCTGACTTTCGGTACATATCTACAATGTAAGTAGGTATGCACGTCTCTACATATATGTATCTTAGTATTTCTACAGTACATCTCCAACCCAACCCAAGGCGGCCTACTAGTGATTGTCGATATCATCTATAGGACAATGTGTAAAAAGGAGGTTAGAATACAGATTCGGTCTCCTAAATCTATAATCTATGTAGCGAATGCGAACCAAATAAACGCGGAGATGATATCATTTATCCACTAGTTACGGCGTAAAGCTGCATGGTCTAAAAAAGCCACGTCTAAATCGCCCCTTGTTCTACCTCAATGGCAACTTATGTAGGTAGGTAGCACTACTATAATAACAAGCTATTTCAATGGGGTTCATATTATGACCTAGGCTAGAAGTATATAGAAACGTTGTTTATATCAAGCCTTCCATGATATTACCAAAATTGAGAAATATTTACCACTTCCAGTAACCGAGCGTGTTACTAAAGAACTTACACTATCAATACTATTAATAAGTTTAGATGGAGACTCTGCATATAGATTGGTAATATTGTTACTGGCATATTCGATATGTCTACCTCCTAAGGTTAGGTTAATAGCTTCGTACGTACCTATATTAGGTCTCACAGTGACATAATAATAGCATATAAGCAATGGCTTGTCTACCTTCAATTTTCCCTCACTCATTTTCACCCTCGGAATGAGATTCAAAGCTTAACGGTAATTACGATAAATATAATACCAAAAAACCCCCAAAATTACGTTGCCCAATATGACAGAGACATTTGGCCCAGCTTTCAAAGACCAGGAACGACCGCTTCTAAGCTTCGGATTGCCCTTCATCGAATCGCTCCTTAAGCATGCAGACAATACATTTCATGCAACTAAAATTTATGTTATCTGCTCTAGATCTCTCGCAGGAAATACGACATACCTCGACGAGCTTAAAAGAAGACTAGGCAACTAAATTGCTGGTGTCAGGATTGGCATGAAGCCGCATTCTCTCTGGTCTGAGATACTTGAAGTTGTAGCCGACACAAGAAAAGCCAATGCAGACCTAATCGTCACGCTAGGTGCGGGAAGTCTAACAGACGCGGCCAAAATAGTCTCATTCGTATGCTTACATCCCGTAACTGGTGATAAAGGGGCTACGATACTAACAAACATGTACTAGGCACTAGCAAACGATGTCTCAACTCACGCTGAGTTAGACTCTCTCTGTCCAACAAGCCCCAAAAAGCGTGATGATATCAAGCCATCAAAAGTGCCAGTTGTTTGCATCCCCACGTCACTCTCGGGTGGCGAGTATTCGTCCTTTGCAGGTGCAACCAACGACGAGACAGGACAAAAACACTCCTTTTCGGGAGCACTACAGGGCCCTTCCCTGGTCATCCTTGACCCAGAACTTAGTACGACAACGCCCGATAAAGTCTGGCTAAGCACCGGTATCAAGGCCGTAGACCATTGTATAGAAACCCTCTGTTCCCTAAAGAGCGACGATGCAGCAGATCAAGATGCTAAGGACGGGTTATCTAAGCTTATACCGGGTTTAATCAAGAGCAAGCAGAATCCTAAAGACCTCGAGGCACGATTGGGGTGTCAACTCGGTGCTAGAGATGCTATGGGTGCGTGCAGTAGGGGAGTGCCTTTAGGGGCAAGCCGTAAGTGAAATCTCAGACTTTCCTCAACTAGGCTCTACCAGTCTGCTCTAAGCAGCTATAAATTCTCAAGGCTAATACCTGTCATTAAATTAACTCCAAAGCTTTTGAAGATAAAGATTGCTAACTCTAATTACTGCAGACGGCATCGGTCATCAATTAGGTCCAGCGGGCGTGAGTCATGGCGAGACGAGTTGTATTCTTAACCCAGCCGTGTGCAAATATAACTACAAAAAGGGCGCAAATGTCGAACGCCAAAACGCCATTATCCAGCTCCTCTGGGAAGACTCTAAAGCCAGAGAGATTTTTTCTCAGAAAGGACTGGAAAAGGGGACGGCCGACCTTGGTGATCTGATGGATGCTATCATCCGCGCTCTTGAGTTGCCGAGGACGCTTAGTGAGTTTGGTATTGGGGAGGATAAACTTAGCGGTATCGCCGAGCACAGTTTAAAGGATCAGTGGGTGCAGACCAACCCAGCTCCCCTGAATAAGGAGAGCGTGTTAGAGATACTGAGGATGGTACTCGAATGAGCTGTGTTCGTAATATATGTTATCCCGTATGAGATAAAACGATGTCCATAAAAACAGATCCCAAGCTTCCACGCCTTACGCTCATAGCCGCACATATTAACATCTCAACAAGTCCAGTCTTTGGTAAATCCTTCGCTGTCGTACGTAAAACCTTACACTTAATCAATATTTATTTCCTCAGACTGTCAAGGCGAGCCTGGAGATCGTCATCCCCGGGATCTCCACCGCCGCCGCTGGGGCCACCGATAGCTTGGGCAATCCGACCCTCGGGAACTTTCTCAGATTGAAGGCCTGTCGGGGTTTCTCCGAACTATTCGGTGTTAGACAGTGAGGCTTGCGACATACGGCGAGTAGTCTACTTACGGCTTGGTTTAGGTCGACACCAATTTCCTCTAGGACTTGCTCCACAACTTCGTCACCCTCCTCTTCTATGCCAACGTCCATTGCATCGTCAATCGCATCATCCATCATCTCCTGCCTCTCGTCCATTATAGCAGTCTCTCGTTCGAATTCAATGGCGATACGCTGTAATGCGGGCAAGTTCATCGACCTGTTCATACTACCGAGGGCTACCGTGGCTCCTTTCATTGCTTGCATCATTTGCTCGTTGGTTCGATGAGTCTAAAATGCGTGCTCGTCAGCGTGGTGCTGCTAATAGGTTCGCGATTAGGAGCGACTGACCTGTAGCCGTAATGATATTTTCTGTAGCTGACTCCTCATCCCGTAGAACTTCTCGACATATCTGCAGAAGGGCGATCGGGTATTAGTGGGATCTCCCACGTAACCGTCCAAGGTCCTAGGGCTTCTTACCTTCTCGTACGTACTAGATCCTTCGCTTGGATCTTAGCTGCTCCCATTTGCCCCTTTTGCGCACTCTGTTTGATCTGTCCGACGAGGGTCTTCTCTTGCTTTTCTAGTTTAACTCGCACTTGATCCAGTTCTCGGATTGCTTTATCGATCATGCGCTGGTTCTTGCGTAGACGCTCGGCAGGCGTCATGCGCTTGCCGAAGGCCCATTCTAGGATCTAGCCGTAGATAGTCAGCTTTCTATTCCCATATAACCATTTGCGAGCTATTGTGTTCGCCGGCTTACGTTCATCGCTGCGGAAGTCGAAGTATCTCACGCAAGGCAGCAAGGCAGCTAGGAACCGTGCTCAAACAGAGAAGGTATCGGATTGCCGGTGAATAGGTAGTTGATTTCTAGCAATTTCGACGAATCTAGGTGAAGTACGCGTGTCGTTACGTCGATGGAGTCCCAGTAAGCATAAATCTCGGTTGATTCCTAATAGGTTCCCAATAGGTTCCCAATAGGTTTCCAATAGGTTCCCAATAAGTTCCCAGCGGTCAACGATGTGTAGCCTGGTAAATACGGATCCGTACCAATTAATGAGAAACTTGAGTTGGATCAACTTCACATGCAGTGACGCTGGGGGAGGTACGTACATATATGTACCTAGGTATCTCTTTGTAATGTCCAATCCCGCTGCGTAATAGGCCCCGCTTGGCACCCGCTATTAAACACTATTATACATGTATGAGGTATATATGCATATAAAGGAGCATAACACCCGACCTGCCGACCCGATTTATATGTCTACATAGGTTAAAAGTCTGATGTAATCCAGGGCTATGGGTCGATAGGTGCTGCAACTCACTGTTAAGCGCACATCATCTTAACCAATCAGAGCTTTTTCTCTACATCACCATGCCATAATTTCCCGAGGTCGCCTCTATTCCAGAAAGCAAAAAGCTATCACCGCTCATCTTTTTACCTTTTTACCCAAATAATCGTTCATTTACAACTACCCCGCGAATTACTACGAGACCCAGGGGATCGATATCTTGCCATCGATTTCGAAGTCGGTAATACTTATGAGTTTACGAATTTAACGAAAGCGATGAGTGGCAATCAAAAAGGCAAGGGCAAAGGCCGCCGCGGACGGAACCGGGAGGAAGAATCCGCACCACCTCCATCTTCCTCCGGAGCCCCGGGTTACATGACCGTCGGCAGCGGTTCCTCACAGTATGCTTCACGGCTACAAACACTTATAGACGACGATTCGGGCTATGGCGGTAGCATCGCAGGAGACGATGCCAGTTCGTCTAGGCGACAGGTCGGCTCTTCTCGAGCTGACCCGTCCTTGTCGGGGGATATGCCGCTTCAACGTCGTTCTTCTAGCAGCCCGGACTCTGAACACCGAAAGGAAGCAGCAGCTATTCACCAGATGTGGTACAACCAGCATCGATCATCTTTAAATCGCGCCATCAGCAAAGTTGTCGATCTCCTCAAAACCCTCCAAGAAACAAATATCGCCTGGCCCGCGCATTATCCTTCAGTCCAGAGAGCGGAAAGGGCTTCTCCCGAACGATCTGCGCCACGTCCAGGAATACACCATACCTCTACTATGGGCCCAGAGCCCTCTTCGCACCGCTCGCGCCCATTGCGACGATCGATGACGGCCACAGAAGACTACGAAACTGCAGAATCTAGTAGGGATGCCGAGAATAAAAACGCAGTAGACTTACCAAGATTGGTTTCGCCACAGATTGCCCAGGAGTTTTCGATCCTAAAGTTGGACCTTAAGTTAGGCGGTTTACATCAGACTGAGCTCGTCCATTCTCTTGAGAAAGGATCTATTGCCGCATTGCTGGATGGAAAGATTAGCTCTACCATCAAGCACTTACAGGTGCTCCGTGAAAGAATCGAGGACACATCGAGCAAGGTTTTGGTAACTGGGGACTTGAATGCCGGAAAGTCTACGTTTTGCAATGCCCTACTGCGCCGAAAGGTTCTCCCGGAAGACCAGCAGCCATGCACGAGCATTTTCTGTGAAGTCTTGGATGCGAGGGAGAACGCTGGAGTTGAGGAGGTCCACGCAGTCCATCAAGATTCGATCTACAATCGACACGACGAATCGACCTATGACGTCTTCCCCCTAAACGACTTAGAGAAGATTGTCCTCGACAATGTTACCTACATGCAATGTAAAGTTTATATCAAGGATGTGCGAACGATTGATGAATCATTGCTCAATAACGGTGTTGTCGACATTGCTTTAATTGATGCGCCGGGTCTCAATTCTGACACGACCAAGACGACGGCTGTATTTGCGCGCCAGGAAGAGATAGATGTGGTTGTCTTCGTTGTATCTGCTGCGAACCATTTCACCCAGTCTGCAAAAGAGTTCATTTGGGCTGCTGCGGCAGAGAAGGCATACATCTTCATGGTCGTCAACGGTTATGACCTCATCAGAGACAAGGAGCGGTGCCAGAAGATGATCTTAGATCAGGTATATGGTCTAAGCCCTCGTACATTTAAAGAGTCCACCGAACTCGTACATTTCGTATCCAGCAATGCTATCCCGGTTTCTTCACCTCCCGGCGGTCCAGACGGAGGAGGCAGCGGTAGCTCGAGTGGAGGTGGTGATGATCCTGGTGATGATCCCAAAGGAAAAGGCAAGGAGAAGGAGAAGGTTCGGGACTTTGAGAAACTGGAACAATCTCTAAGGCGGTTCGTCTTAGAAAAGCGAGCACGATCTAAGCTTGCGCCCGCTAAAACTTACCTTCTCAACATCCTCAACGATGTCAACGTGCTTGCTACTGTCAATTCTGAGATGGCCACATCCGAATTGGAGCGAGTGATGAGCGAATTGGAAGTGATTGAACCTCAGCTAGAAGCTTCAAGGAAAGCAAAAGCTGAGGTGAGTGAGGATGTGGACCAAACCATCGAGGAGACTTGTAAAGATATTTATGACCACACCCGGACCACACTCAACTCAGTCATTGCCCACGCTGGTGATGGCAATTCTGGTGTACCTTATCCAGGTCTATTCCACGTTTTCCAGTACGCCGAAGAGTTGAAGGAAGCAATGCTGTCTCAAATCTCGGAGTCAGTCGCGTCCTGTGAGGAGTACGCACGGACGAAGACAGTTGGCGGCGTAAATATGATCAAACAACTCGGTATCATGCATATCGGCAACGAATATCACGATCTCAACTTCCGCGCTGATGTCATGTTCCGAAGGAGACGTGACGTATTGGCAAAACAAGTCGGCGTACCTACCGAGTTATTGGACTTTGTTGACTGGTCTACACTTATGCAACGGCAAGAGAAGATGGCTGGCACTGGAATGGCCTTAACCGTTGCTACTGCAATTGGTGGACGTTTAGTTGGCGGTATGGGATGGATGGACCACACTCTGAGCGTAGTGAAGATCGTCGGAAATGACAACCTTCGAAGGCTAATTGTCCCTGGCTTAGTTCTAGCAGGTATGTATTACCATGGTGTATTGATACGGAATTAAAGCTAACTCTTATTGTCCAGTCGTTTCAGCTACAGTTTACATTGTTCAGCAAATACCGCATTCACTACCTCACCGCCTGTCCGAAAAGATTTCAGCGCAGCTGACAGCAATCGATTACGTCCATGCAAATAGCAATCGCATCTCGAGTTCAGTGCGCAAGGTACTCCGATTCCCTGCAGACAATCTCCGGGTTGCCTTGACGCGCTCCGTCGAACAACTTGGCAAGCGTCAAGAGGAGACCATGAAGGTGCGCGGCGAAAGCGAGGTAGCTCTCAAGTATTTCGGGAACCTGGTACGTGAGAGTGCCCACCAACGCAGCTTAGTCGAGGAGATAGATCTCGATGCACACCCCCTGCCCTCTACCGGCGTAAGCATTGCTTGAAGCAAGTCATATTTATGTACGTACGGCATGGAATGGCGTTGAGGAGGGTACACTTGAATTATCGGCATGACATCTCGTTTGTTTGAGCTCACGCACTTCCTTCTCTAGTAGTCTTGGTGGAGATGATGGCAGGAAAAAAAAAACCTTCACGAGTGACGTAGAATGGCAAATGGTTTTGTGGCGTCCAGAGTCAGTTGTAGGCTGGACGAGTATATGAACTCTACTCCCCCATTCTTTTTCCTCGATGCATATGTACGTACGTACTAGTTTATACTAAATCATAAGGAAAATCAGAGCTTAGCCGAGTTTAGATCTACGTAGAGCATTAAGATAGCAGCAGCATGAATAATAGCATAGACGGTATAATATTACTTACGATAATATTACTTACGATAATATTACTTACGTCGTAATAGGCACGGTAGCATTCTGTTTCTGTAATATGTAACTGTATCCGGGGAAATTATTGACCACGATTAACAGGGATAAACGTGAGCGAATAGTAAATTGCACTAGTTAATACATAGATAACTATCCTAGCATCATCACAGCATTAACTGAGGGTTATATGACGATCACGCAAATGTTTGCTTTTAAAAGCTACCGAGATTGAGGTCCCACACATAAAGGGCAAACAGCTGAGCTAGCTAGTTCTAGACTATTTAACAGCTGGATATCTTTAGGAAGAGTATACTATTGAAAAATTAAAGTCTTTCTAACATGTTACTAACAACATCTTACCAACAACATTCAACATACTACGTAGTATACATAGCCAAGTAAGAATATCATTTATCAACTAATCATATTGATCTATCTGGATATCCCACTTTACATCTCACGTAACAGCGTAAATACGCATGTAAGTTGGTAAGTTGATTATATCTAGGATTAGCTCGACCAACAGTGGGGAAGGGAGAGAGAAACATGGTTCTGACACGTGTAGAACGGTCTCGTTGTTGGCTAATGATTAACGTACCACCCCTTATGCACGTAGTGTATGAGGTACCTACCTACATGTCTTGGTAACTTGGCGGTTACATTGTGTACATAAGTAGTATAAGTAGTATACGTCGTGAGCCGGCGCACGGGGCGTTAGAAACAATCCGGGCCGGGCCGGGTCATGTTGGGAATCGGAATGCGCCATCGCCAATCGGCAGGAGACACTTGTTGTGCCGCACGAACCCTACGAACCCTCAAGGGTCTTTGTTTCATAGCGGTGACGACAATTCTATAATATTTCCAAATACCACATTACGAGGTACGCAACCACAACGCAAGCAGAATATGTACATGCTCGTGCTTCACAATACTACTAGGTTGGGTACATATGTGCATCAAATCTTAATTTCTCCTTATGTCCGGATGCGCGGATTTGCTTGGGGACTATCCCACATCCGGGACGAGCCGCGTGATATCGACCCGAAGTTCAGGAAAGGTGTCACTGCTACTGCAGCAGCAGCAGCTACATACGCGTGGCGTACACATGCAGGCAAGGAATCCTATGCGTCCTATGTGCTAAAATGTGCTAACATCCTGGCGTGGGATGCCAACACTCAGCTGATAGCCATCCGAAGTGGGTTGTTGTACCCACATGCGGAATGTTCCAGCGCTCCGTCAAGGCACGCGAGGAATGCACATAAAGCTTTACCCGTTGTTGTATCCGAGCCATCCGTCACCTTGTTATGGGGTAATGTATTTGTATTAGAGCTAAGGCGGCGCTTCGTAGTCTGCCTATGTATCAGCTACTATGGTATGATGGGTAAGTAAAACCCCGGTCACAAGTCGCGCGCTAAAAAGTGGCTTGTGTTATTGCTTTTTTATTTATTAGTTAGAATTTAAGGTATACTTATAGTGTATATACAGTAACAGACTAGTACTAATTTAGTATGGTAGCTCATCTAACCTTTTTTGGCGGTACCTGACAGTGTCGTTTTACATACTTTTGCCTGATACCATAGTACTACATATGTATGCATGTAACTTATAGCCTATAGCCTATAGTAGACCTCCTGTATAGGGGTATGTACCTACATACCTATCTATGTACATACATATGGAATATCCAACCCGTACAAATGAGATGCGTAGGCACGTTTTGTACCGTATATAATAAAACTTATGCAGGCTTGCTCAGAGTACTATGCTAAGCGAGCCGTCTTTATGCAAGCAGTCTGCCATTCCATACCGTTTCGACTCCAGACTCCATTGTAACACCCCTGTGATGAAATATCGACACCATTTGATAAAGGCCTGCACGTCCCTGCTTACTTCGGCGTTGTCTGACGCCATCTCGACAAGGGCCTTTGCGGCCTCTTCGAATCCCCTCATAGATTCCCGCAGAGCCGCTTCAATCCCGCTGGTGACTGTGTCTAGAGTCTTCTTTTCGGGACTGCAGTTTTTGTACATGACCGGCACGAGGTTGAACAGCGATGCTTGTGTCTGATGGTTGTTAGCACTTATATGGAGTTTGTATGTTTGCTTGTGGGGCTTACTATTTCTTTTTGTACCGAGTATATGTCGTTGAGAATAAGACACATAACAATCGTCTCCTTCCAGAGCTCCTTCATAGGGTCACACTCCATAATAGACTCGGGAAGTCTTATTTTAAGCATGTGACTAAAAGACGTATTGTAAGCAGGGATTCTTGATGATGCTGGTAAGTTTCTCGTTGCCTACTCTGTAAGTGCAATCTGGGGAGCACAGCCGACAGACCCGGATCGAATCTGGAGGTACTTTTCCACAGTAGGGATAGAGCCTCGCATTCGGTGTCCATGTTCCACACCCACGTTGACCATGAAGTTTTCCAACTCGCGGTAGAATCTTTCTCGTTGTATTCTGTCCGTCGAGTTGCGCAGGCCCCGACCAACATCAGCAAATAAAGCCATGTTGGGGTGTAAAGACTCCTCTTCCTTGATGATTATCTCCTGAGCCCCCCCGCTTTCGTCGAGGGCCAGGAGGCGGTGGACTGTGCTAAGGGATTTCTGGTAGTAGGCTCGGGCGAGTTCCTCGTCGTTAGACACGTCTGTGTCTCCGGCGTCGACCTCGTCGTCCCACACGAAAATCCAGACTGAATAGGCGGTGGCTATCTCAAGCTCGGGCCATTCTGCGTCAGGATACCAACTGTGCGGGAAGACTAAATTAGTCGATTGTTTAACAGAAATATAGGCTGGGATATGCTAGCTTACAGGGACATGAGGCGACCAAAGTCAGCCTTCTTCAAGGCTTTCAACTTTTTCTCGTTGGTGATAATGCGTTCGAGCATCGAGTTCACGAGGCCCTCGAGCCTCTCCGCGTGTGGGTTAGCAGCGAGAGGCCATTCTGAGAAGAGTTTCCATAGGTCAGGGAGGCGAAAGGTCTTTCCATCTAGCTGAGTAGCTAAGGTCAAAGCTTCATCGCGAAGTTCCGAGTGGACTTTAGGCTTGATAGTTTGTGGGGGAGGGTTGCGAGGAAATATAGATAACAACTTGTATTGCAATCGCTCCAGGAGGCGTAATAACTGCGTCTTTGTTTGGGACTTCATCTTGCCTATCTTGTTCTTGTCGTTTAGAGAATTTTTTAGAGGATTTCTAGAGGAGAACAGCTGGTGTTTGTTGAACAGACATATCGCTTTCCTCACGGCTCTCCTCTTCTTATAAGTGAGAGCAGATGTCGGCGTTCCGCTGACTCGGGAATATAGTCTAATCTTCGGCTAAGGATGATAGCAGGTTGGTACAACGCCAACTCAAAGCTAGGGAGCAGTTGTTGCCAATATTGGCAAACATGGACGACGAGAACTACCTTTTAGTACAACCTAATGCAGTGTGATACCTAGAAATAGTAGGAGGGTGTGTCACACTCGAAACAGATTGGTCGAACGAAGCTTAGTTGGCTATAGTTGGGCTATAGAAAAGCCGCGTAGAGGGAGGCTTACACGGGAGGTTATCTACGTAATCGGCTTGTAGGTAAGGGTTATGTATGTTGGCCCACGGTACGTCAGGATGCCAATGTCCGCACTCTCGCCGGCCAGGTTCATGAGCTACCAGATGATCGTCATCAAGTCGTATTTGGCAGCTCACAAAGGGAACGCAATGGGGGATGTAAATGTTCAATACTATGTGGCGTTGTAGAGGGAGGTAGTAGAAAGTCCTAAATTGGGTCTAGAATACGACTAATAACTAGAACCAACTGCAAACAGGTAACGGTTCCGGCGGCTCTACTGGCGTAATGTGACAAGAAAACTGATATTGAACTATTTCATCCCCAGTTTAGGATCTATTAAAACGTGGAAAACGACGGGAACATCCACCTTAGTGGCTCATGTGCTGTTATACCCACAAGGTTCCGAATCCGCTGGATTGTGCTTGGAACGGAAACGCGAAATGCGTCGGAAAATACCAAGACGAACAAATCATCTGATGCTAGAACGGCGGATTATACGGTAGCATAGCTAATACGCCAGTGACTAGTATATCCGATCTAGCACATGTGATATGTCATGGATTCATAGACTCATAGACTCATAGGGTATAATAACAACACACGCAAAAACACAAAAACAAGAAAAAAACCCAAAAAGCACAAATATTTGTGAAGTTGAAAAAAGCTTCAATTAGCGGTGAAGATGAGCAATTGTTGGTTTCACACGGTTTGATAATCTGCAAGAGCCATGAAGGTATCTGATTGGTCAGTTACTATAAAGTTGGAAATTTGTTTGGAAGAACAATTTTAGAATCTCGTGATAATATGAGGAATAATATGAGGATCTTGGGTTAAACCCCAAGCTCTGATCCTCAGATACCCGATTCGGCACCATGTTTGCTTCAGTGATCTTGTAAGCCGACCAGCCTCTAGACCTTCTACATATGTAAGCCGGGCCTACCTTAAACAGGAAAAGAACCTGGACCATCCGTGACTAAAGTTAAATAATAATCGGGGCTGGGATTCTAGCAGGGGCTTTGAGGGGCTCCTCCAGTTCCCGTGATCCACCCCAAAATCTCACGTCGTAGGAGGTCTGGAGTTCTGGAGGTTTGCGTGGGGTGTATTGATTCTTTGAGCGTCAATAACTTTTAGTTACATACATACATACCTAACTAACATACGTATGTAATATGTAGTAGCTTAGCTAGTCTGGTAGTGTGAAGGTGTAAAAAGGTGTGGATCAAGGTATGGGACAATATAGTAGGTATGTACATAACTATAGTTACCCACATTTATAGGGAATTTTCGGCCTGTCAAGATATTTCAGCCAACTAGCGAAACTAGTTCCATTATTTTGCTGCTGTTGGTTTATTTTTTTTTTTTCTTATCGTAAGCGCGGTTGGCGGAGTTAGACGTTAAAGGTCTTAAACCCTAACTACTATGTAATAAATAGGAGGTGAGGTTTAGATTAGGTATTAGGTATTAGGTAAATATGATAGAACCCATACCTAGGTTACATATGTATGTACGATGTACGTGAGACATGACAGTTTTGCTGCAGACCAAGCCGCGGCTTAAAGGTGGCGAATAACACTCGGTAACCAACCAGTTGAAGTTCCGATATCACGGAATGCAGCTCTCTTGCACGACCCGTGATATGTACCTATGTATGTAACCTAGGTTATTCACCCTAATACGAAATGTAGACCGAATTACAAATGTGACCTGTCAAGTAAAGGCGAAAGGTGAGAGAGCCAAGACCCTTCTGTGACACAATCGACGAAATAAATCCATGTATCCACCAACATTACATAGTATACGATAGGCTACCTCGCTACTTCTTACATACATACATAACCTACCTACCTAGGTTAGGTAGGTAGGTACCTATGTATGTAGTATGAGGTAACTAGGTCTAAATAAGTTAGGTTGGGTAGCTTCTTAAGTTCGGTGCAGATAGTGCAACCACAATATGGAAGTATAAACGCGGTTAAATAGGTACCTAAGTACATGGGTATGCAACTAGTTCATGCACCTGCCGCGCTACTTTCCCAGAGGTGTGGAAAGGGAAAAAGACCTTAACCTAAACTGATGGAAGGGGCCTTATGCACGGAATCCTTATGTACCTAAGGTACATACGTTAAGGTACATACATAGGTACCTAACCCTAAGGTAACTATGTACATAACTTACATAATGTTATGTACATGATGCAGATAGATTATGAATAACTATAAATTCTTACTTGCAGCAATGAACCTTGGATAAACCTTACAGGAATACATACAATCCCGGACTTGGTGATCTTAACACTTCCCCCTCCTTGGGTACGGGCAACAAAGAGTAACATGCGACGGATGAAACATGACTTGCAGTATTTTCCCTTGAGAGTGGTGGCAAATCTTTAAACGCAAAATGCTAAACGCAAAGCCACGCAAAAGACACATGGTTGCCAAGAGAGTTATGTCGAGAAGCAGGGCTTCTTACCTAGAACATGGGTTTGGAGACAGGGACACAGGACAGGACCTGGATAGGAAACAGGGGTGTGAGAACGTGTCAGTATCATTTTGCAGCTCCGCAGGCCCACGAATCCCAGTTTGTCTACCTATCTACCTGTCCGTGACCCCTTGCCTGCATGCCTATCCCCAAAGCACGCAGTTTATTAGCCCACGGCTCCAACGGCAGCCTTCCGGTAGCTATTGAATGGACTCGGCACGGGTCGTTGTTATATGCCCTAGACCCTATGTAGGCCAATGTCCACGACTAAAAGCCCACCCCGTCTGACATCGCGCAAACTTCACTCACTTAATTTGCTTTTCTTCTATTATTTACGTCAATCCTTTCTTGACGATGTTTAGGATGTTTAGAGGAGGGGGAGATACCGTCGACGAACAATGAATAGGATCAAGGAAGCTCTGGCTAGAATAGCTCGTGCCGCTCGTGGATCGCGCGACCCGGCTTCTTCTTCAAGCTTACGCCTAGACCGCGTAGGCCGATCGAGTAGCTCGACACTCGACTCTCGGGAAAAGGTCCTGGTACGCCCAGATGGCCGAGGTCCTCTTATCCTCTTTGACGGCACCCAACACGGCGACGACGGCGTCGATATCGTTTTCGTCCATGGACTCTACGGCCAACGCAGCGGGACCTGGACAAAAGCCGGTGTCTGCTTTCCTCGCGACTTTCTCGGGCAGGATATCCCGGGTGTTAGAATTATTGTATGGGGATGGGTCGGAGCCTTGGGTACCAGCGGTACATTTTCCGAGCAAGCAGAAAGCCTGCTAGCAGATATTGCTCGTATGCGTACTAGGACCAAACGTCCTATCATCTTTGTAGGCCATGGCATTGGCGGTCTTGTTATCAAAGAGGCCCTGGTCACGGCGGCGATGTCACGGATATACGGCGCACACGTCGAGCTGGGCAACGTGTACCCTAAGACTATTGGGTGCGTCTTCTTAGGTACACCTCACGTAAGGGGTGGAAAGCGTTCCCTAGGTGAATGCATTGCTACAACTGCTCTGTTATCACCGACTCCGCCGACGCCTCAGCTCCTGAAAGCTTTCAAGGAAAGCGATAAAGCCTTCGAGAACCTTCACAGCACATTTCTTATGATTTCGAGAGACATAAGAATTATATGTGCTCGAGAAAAGTTGCCAACGACCATAACAGCCTCGGCTGATCTCGTAAAGGATGCTGATGGAATGGAATTGGGAAGGGGGACGATCCAGATGATAGTCCCAAGGGACTGCGCGACCTACGATGGCTTCAACGTATCAAAGCTCGACGTAATGGTAACCCACCAGGACCTCGCAAGATGTAAGAGCAGAGACGACCCAGGATATGCGCAGATTGTTCAGTATCTCGTCAAAGCAGCAACTGCTCTATCACCCGCCGAAGTCGAGGCGAGAGAACCCCGAAATCAAGGTACGTAATACCCGGCGTTTCTGCCTTTTATACGTAATTCCTTCGTTGCTAACTCTTAGGGTTTAGAAATCCTTAATGCTCTTTACTTCGACACTATGAATGAACGCGAGTCCCGAATAGACCCAGTCTATGGCGATACGTGTGACTGGATCTTGGATCCTAACCAATCTCCCCTCCCTAAATTCCTCGGATCTAGTGATACCGTCCTAGTAAGTGCCTTAATTTCATTGTTGTCTATTTGCTGTTTGTTTAGGATCATATAGTCCTCAGCTGTGGCTATCTGATACCAGGGCTAAGACAACTTGCCAAGTTATTTCTTTTTCCTCTAGTACTTTTTTGCAGCACTGATTAACTCTTGTTGTGTAGTGGATTAGTGGCACAGCTGGATCTGGAAAATCGACGCTGATGAGGCACCTATGGCGATCCGAACAGTTGAAAGAGCAACTCCTCGACGGCGACTGGGGGAACGGGGGTGATTTAAGCATGGCTTGTTTTTTCATGTTCGAAGGTGGTGGTCCGATCCAGAAATCCTACGAAGGCTTTCAACGCAGCATTTTATACCAAATCCTATCAGCAAGACGTGATCTCATTAGAGTCGCCTTTCCTAGCTTTTTCGATGGCCCTTGGCCACCTCCAGTATTATTCACCAGCAACCGCAATCTTAACCAAGCATTCTACTCTATCTTCGCCCAGATGTCTGACAACATACGCCTCTTCATTTTCATGGACGGGCTTGACGAATACCGTATTATAGATCGGAAGGATCAATATGAGCCAAACGAGCTTGACGTCACTTACAAGAACACGGGAGATGAATTTTGGGGCCAGAGCAAATGGGCTATGGATTCTCACGTAGAGATCTCGAAACTCGTCAACAGCATGAGCAACAAGGACAACATTAAATTCATCATCACCTCACGTGAACTAACAGTGTTTGAGGAAGCTTTTGCTGACTTCCCAAGAATCAAACTCCAAGATCACACAGAACGGTCCATTACGCAATATGTGGCAGGCCGACTTGAAGATGAGGCTCCTGGGTTACCAGATACCAACAATCTCTGTATGGAGATAGCCCAGAAAAGTCATGGCGATATACTATGGGCTAGGCTAGCGATTGATATGGTAGTCGGTTGCAGTTTGCGCAGTTTAAGGGGCATGTTGAACTCTTTACCGTCGCACCTCGGAGGGCCTGACGGCCTGTACATGCGTATGCTGCAAAACCTAAGCCACGAACATCAGCATAGCGCATCTAGGATTTTTCATATTGTCCTCAGAGCACAGCAGCCGCTGAGCTTAATTACACTCGCATTTGCTGAAGAAGGCTATCTGCACCCTGGCACGGGCGAGCTGAGGATGGTTTACGATAACCAGCGTCCTTACGACAATGATGCCGTCGAAAGTCTAGCCGATGAAATGCAGAGCCGGCTACAAACCTGTTGTGTCGGCCTTCTAGTTGCCGAGACGGGGGTATCCACTAACTCTAACACCGTAGAAACGGGGAAACGAGTCGTCTTTTCTGATCAGACAGCTAAAGAATGGGTACGGCGCAAGGACATATGGCAGAAACTCCCTGGTGTTAAACCCGTCGATGATATAGAGCTGGACTTCTCACTACTTAGTGGATTTGCGAGGCACATCAAGGTTTTTGGAGTTACGCAATCTCCGGTATTGGCATGGCCAAGCTGGCGAGTCCGGCCTGATGCGTGGCTATTGGTTTCGAACGTGATGCGGTATGCTGAGAGGATTGACAGCAAGATTGATGATCTACAGAAATATTGCGAGCTGTTGGACGAGGTAGATAGTACATGCCAACAGATCTGGGTCGCGTCTCTGAAGAGTCACAAACCTCTCCACGAGGATCCCGATTGGTACGAGAGTCGGCTCCCAAGTCTTCTCAAGAAACACTGGTCCAGTTACGAACCAATGGATATTGGCAAGCCACCTAAGCGGAAAGACTTCCTAACGCTCGCCGTCCAGGCTAGTCTGGTCCGATACGTCGATACAAAACTAAATAAACTAAGTGGCGAAGCGAAAAGGAAGAAGGCCCAGGAACTTCTGCCTTTTGTCGTCAGCCCCAAGGCTGATGGCATCAGCGCTTGTGCCGCTCTCAGTGGAGATTACTCAGAGTTCCACCACGATATGCCAGACTCCCGCTTGCTAGATATTCTGTTCGAAGCAGGAGCATCCGCACGCGATGACGAGAGGCTGTGGACAAAGGCATTGAAAGCAGGGCGGAATTACTTCTCAAGAGGCAGCGTTACGATGACGCACTTGCTGGAGACATCATCGAGCGCGAGGCTTATGGAGAATCGCGAGAGGTGGGTTGCCGCCATCAAGGCGTTACTACAGCACGGCGCGGATCCCAATACCGATATCCAAGTTACAACCGGAGAAGGAGAAAACCAGTCCACGACAACAGTAGCAGCCGTGGACCTAATACGGGATACGCTAGAGGGAGAGCCTGAATATGCCGTCGAGCTTGTCGAGATGGAAGTACTAATGGGTAGGAGAGGGAGCGTTGGCCTTGCGAGATGAGATTGACGATGACATGTGATGAAGTGCTTCTAGCTCGGGAAACTAGGGAGGTGGGGGGGGGGACATAAGGTTGGGATGGTGTGCAGAGGAAGGAAAAGTTTTGGAGGTAACAAGGAGACTCCAGATTGACTAAAGTGGTTCACGAGTCTATATAACGTATCACGACTAACTAACAGTATCCGTTGGCTTGTTCGGCGGAGACTCGATTAACTAGCTGTACTGCTCGCCGCATATATATAACAACATATATAACATTAAAGCAGAACGATAGAGAGTATCACTCGAAATCGGCATATACCAAGACTTGATGGAGGGTCATAAATAGAGTGGCGTGTCGGGAAACCATAGAATTGATATTGTGCGCATTCTTTTGTAGATAGTCAGATATTAATATCATAGTTTTTATTCAGTCTGGATTTCGAAAGCAATGTTTGCCTTGCCCTTGAGAGATTAAATAAACCTTGACATTTAATAAATATAACTATGCGCTTTGACATGGTAGTCTCGGGTCGTAACTTGGATGTTATATGCGAAACAAGCAGAGAAGCCAGTACATATACTTTACCTACACAATTACAAATAGAGATCTCAGCAAATACGTCCAACGGATATCTCTTACGAGGAATATGATATGATAGCGAAGTAGGCATAACAAAATAGATAACTAGCAAAAGCAATCATCAGAGCTCTCTTTGATCCGCATATAACTCCCGCCAAAAAAGGGGGGCAGCTAGCTCAGTACGCATTCTAACCAAGAACCAATCCACGGTTATTACTAGGTTAGGAGCTAGCAAAAACGCAGTGGCCGGCCTAGACTGTGCGCTTTGGGATTTCGTCATATGATTGCTAGAGTGTTTTGGTTTGGAGGTTGGAAAAGTACGAGATCAAAACGACTTACCTCTTCTGAATACTAGGACACGAATAGCTATGCATGTTTAAGGGTACTGACGCTGGTATTTATATACTAAATGACAGGCTGAACCCCCTTTTTTTTACTTTGACTGTAGCCCCGGACCTACCTGTTTTTTCTGGACGTTGCAGCAACTAGGCGTTTCTTGAGATGCTTCGGCATCTTTTCTTTCCGCTTCTCGGCCTTGGCTTCTTTAGCTGCTTGCTTGCGTTGCTGTAATTTATTAGTATGGCATGTCCCTAACTTTAGAACAATATACCAATGCGGATATATATGTTGGAGTAAGGGGGGATGTAATGAAAATGGGATAACGTTTTAATGCATAACATACCTTCTTTTCATCCTTATCTTCAAACCGTTTCCCCCGCGGTGTCCCCTTCTCAAATCTACTCTCGTCGTTGTCATCGTCGTCATCGTCGTCGTCATCACTATCGAGAGCTGCTCCTTCATCCGACTCATCCTCTGAATTCTGGTTTGCCTCTCTCGGCTTCGTCACTACCTGGTCCGCGAGGAGGTTCTTGTAGACGAGCTTGTCTCCCTCACCCTCACCAATCTTCTGTGCGTCCTTCTCGATGTCGTAGACCTGTTCTAGTGTCTGGGGGATATATTGATTTCGGAATACCTCATTGTCGACCTCCAGCTCGGCTGCTGCCGCCTCGTCGTTACCGGGTTGCGACCTCGAAGCGTATAATTCTTCTATCACTTCTGATAGTCTTGGCTCTTCCATCGCGCCCTTGGACTCCGTGATGAAGTCGAAGATGGTACGATCGGATAGCGTGTCGACCCCTTGTCGGCGGAAGAAGTCACCTGTATTCTTGATATCCATTCGAAGAAATTCCAGTGACCGAGGATGATCGTGCTCCACGCTTTGAGACACATCGATGATGTAGAGTTGTTCGTCATTGTATAGAATGTTGTATTCACTCAGATCTGCGTGTACTAGCCGCGTAACCTGGTACATGCGTCGCATGATACCCAAGAGTTGAACGTAGAGCTTTCTCCAGAGTTGATCCGCATCATCGCGGGGGATGTTGGCGTCACGCAATCGCGGGTACGCGTACCCTTTCTTATCTCCGAGGAAGCTCATCAGGAGGACATGGAGCTTGAGCTGTAGGGGTTCAGGGCAAGGAATAGCGGCGGAGTGTATTCTCTGCAAGTTGCGATATTCCTTTTCTGCCCATAGCTGGACCATCTTCCTACTATTGCCCTTGTTTGAGCCGGATTTAAAGCGATGCTCGCCAGTGATGTATCTCTCGCGGTCTTTGAAGCTTAATATAGCTGTCTTGTAGACCTTGACAGCGCGCTGGACGGGCGGTCCGTTGATATCAGGATAGGCGATAGCACCATATACGTTGGCCTCCTTTCCCGTACTAATTGCGCCATATATCTCGTTGACTACGCCGCGATTGATCATCTGGTAAAGAATCATACGGGTTCTCTGATCAAGGACCTGTTCGCTCGTAGCCCTATCAGCCTTATCCTTCTCCCGGTCTTGTCCCTCCTTGACATCGTCTAGTCGTATCTTAGCAGCATGTCTTGAGAGAGCCGTGATCTGATCATCTACGCTAGCGGCGGTGTTAGCGGCAGGTTTCTGCTGATTAGAATGCAGGGGTTGTTGTCGGTTGAAGTTTCGCGTCATGTCTGGTTCCCCATCTGGGCCGAGGCCATCGTCAATATCATCGTAATCGCTAAAGACGGAGTCTAAATCGTCATCGTCGTCCGAAATTTCTAGGGCGGCATCGGCATCGGCTAGATTTCTGGGAACTTCCCGATTCGCTATTTCATCATGAGAATTGGTGCTGGGTAAGTGAGTCGATTGCGATGGTGGTATCGTGGTGGAGTTTTCGGTCTCCATGATAGATATTTGGATAGATGGATATCTGCGACGGCGCTATTCTTTTGTTGGAAGTAATATTGGCTTGATATGTCCTAATATATGTATAAGACTGTATAGTTAAGAGCTACTTGAGAAATTGTGGTTTCGGCTTGTTCTCCACAGGTCTGGTCTGGCGAGGCCTCTACTAATACAATAGTACGGCACTGGGTCAAATTGATGAAGATTGTTGAAAGGTAATAAAGTTGTTTGCAAAAATAACTTTTGATTTTGTTGAACGGCGGCTTACAATTCTGGAGGTGACACAGACTCAAGCAGGGTCAACCCCACTAACCTTGAACGTAACCCCACCAACTTTATCTTATCGATTTCATAGATTTCATAGTTTAGGTAGGTACCTAGGTACCTTTAAGAAAAGGCACTTTCTTTTTGACGTATTTCTACGAACCTTACTTTAGGGCACAGTGTGTAATGGTGTGTCATATTATCCTTGTTATTGTTGTATTATGAAGTATCTAGGAGGAATATCTAATATCTGTAAGATGTGTATACTTATGTGTACACTAAGTGGGTCCAATGACCTTAGGTCATGTGACACAGTGCCACTATGTCACTACCTAGGTCTTCGCGTGACGTATGTAGGAGGTACCTACCTACCTAAGTTTAAGTTGCATTAGCTATTCCGTACATCCAATGTAACGTACCTTGCGCCCTCAGTACCTACATTAAATGTATGTAGGTCCATACCTACCTAACATACATGAGGCAGGTACCACTTACCTTAGGTAGGTACTCAACATGCATCTCAAATTGGAATCAAGGTCAAGCAATTGATAGTAAACCTCCCGTTGTTACCCTGCTATAGTCTATATAGATCAATACTATTACCTATTCATTCGGTTCTTATCAACCCCGCTCCCCAAGGTTACATGAGCATTCAAGCGATCGTCAAGCCCGGCTTGCTTTTCATCAACTTGATAGCAAGATGATTAGTCCATTATCCAATATGGTCCAATATGGCGACGGCCAAGAAGCAGGCCTTCTTGCAAGCTATACTGCAAGGAAAGGCCATACATAAATATAATGATAAGCCTGTCGCCATATGTAGGAGTAATCTGGGTAGAATTTGTATTCCCCCATATGATGTCTCGCTGATATCGATTTCTGTTCCTGCAGATATAATATCAATAATAATTAGCTGGCGTGATGGTGTTTCTTCATCCCTATTATCTGTGGCTCACCACATTGTCCAATGGTTCGTCGATGCTACCCTATGATTTTAGTCCTATCAAATTAAAAGCTAACACTTTTCAAGCTGTCCTTGCTACCTCGAGGATTGTGGGAATACCTACTGTTCCTTTTACTATTTCTAGCAACGGGGCATATCCAATTGCATCCCTTAAAGGAGTGTTGGTGGACTCCAAGTTTGCCCAAAGCCGTGATGAAACCGGAGAGACGTTGATTCCACCAAGTCTACAAGATTTCGCCAAGACATTCGTAGACGACTTACACAGTGTCTTGGGTCTCGATATTGGCGTCTCCGTTGGTGAAAAATCTACATCAGATACTATATTTCTCACGCTGGGTGATCCCAGCAAGTATACCGATGCCAGCGACTCTCCGACTTCTGAAGGGTATACACTCTCAGTCAACTCTTCAGGGGTTGTCATATCTGGCGCGAGTCCCTTGGGTGTGTGGTGGGGTACGCGAACTATCTTGCAGCAAGCAGTTCTCTCAAATGGCTCCTTATCCTATGGGGAAACAGATGATGCGCCTGGGTGGAAGACTCGAGGTATGATACTCGACGCAGCTCGTCATTATTATCCACCAGAGGTATGTATAAGGTATAAGTTCAATTCGATGTGAATTCGAGTGATTGGGCTAACGAAAGGTGCTGGTTAGTTTATAATGGAAATGTGCTCTTACATGAGCTTTTTCAAGCAAAATACATTCCAGCTCCATCTGAGTGATAATCTATATAACAATGTCGACCTATACACTAGAGAGCATTCTTTGGAACTGTACGCTCGGTTCCGCCTATGGTCTGATTCCGAAGCTTTGGCCGGCTTGAGTAAGTATAAGAATGAGTCTTATACGAAAGAACAGTTCGAAGAGATCCAGTCGACTTGTGCTTCCCGAGGAGTCACTATCATCCCGGAGATCGAAGCCCCAGGACACGCACTAGTCATAGTGCAATGGAAGCCGGAATTAGCACTTGAAAGCGACTTATCATTATTAAATATCTCGCATCCGGACACAATACCTACTATGAAAACCATCTGGAGCACTTTCCTCGACTGGTTCCATTCCAAGACCGTCCATATCGGCGCTGACGAATACACCGGCGATCCCAACGAATATAATCGATTCGTTAATGAAATGGCAGATTACATCTACCAAGAATCTGGGAAATCCATCCGCATCTGGGGTACTTTCCCTCCCAAGCCCGAATACAACAACGTCTACAACAATATCTCGGTACAACACTGGGAATTTTTCGAGGACAACCCGTATCACGATTACATTATGAACAACTACTCCGTTCTCAACTCTGACGACACCTATTACATTGTCCTTAAATATTCCGGAAGTTATCCACAGGTCGTAAACGTCGCCCGGACATTCAACGGCAACCCAGAAACAGGCGGGATATGGCAGCCCTACATCTTCGACACGAAAAACGCCGCTAATAACCCAGAGAGGTCCAACCCCCTGGTCCTTGGAGCCGTTGCGCCCTTGTGGAATGACTACGGCGCGAACGCATCCGTCTTCTCCGAAGTTTATTATGCTTGGAAAGACGGGATCCCGGCCCTCGCAGACAAGCAGTGGGGAGGGGATCTCTCCGCGTCGGAATTCGCTGAGTCGTTTTCAGCTTTACATCCCGTCGCACCGGGCCAGAACCTAGACCGGGTGATCCCATCTGTTGGATCGACAATATTCAACTACACCTCTCGATCGGTCCAAAGTAGTCGTTGCTCCACACCCCCATCCGGCACCACCGGCACCACCGTCACCGACCAGTCCGGAAACAAGTACGACGCACGAGCAAACTGTCCCCTCACCGTGGACTCCGCCTTCGCCATAAACTCCTTCTGCTCCCTGGAAACGCCCCTCTCCTCCAAAGGCCGGGACTACACCTTGTCCCTCCGCCTTCGAATCGACCAAGCAGGCAAAGACGCCACTCTGATCTCCGGCCGGGACTCCGCGCTTATGCTAACCCCGAATATAACCCTCTTCGCCTCGGGCAACTACTACCGCTTGAACACCACGGTCCCTCTAAAAGAATGGGTCGACCTCGACATCATAGGGCGGGGCAACCAGACGTTCGCGCGCGTGAGCTCCGACGGCGCAGCGGCGGTTGTAGAAGAAGAGTTCTTAGCCCGGTTGGGCATCAACGGGGCTTCCCTCGTGTGGACGCCTATCGCTATCGAGGCGCCGCTGAAGCGGGTTGGTGGCGAGGCTGCTGGGTGGACGGGGCAGCTGGCGGCAATGAGCTTGACCTCGAAGGCTTGAGTGGTGGGTGTAGCTAGGTTGGATTGATGGATATATAGATGACTAACCTAGCTGATATGGACTGCCATTTAACCTAACCTAGTTGACTCTTACGTACCTTTATATATACCAACTAGTTCGAGATAGATAGGCAAAGCAAAACTTTATATTATCAGAATCGTAGTATTATTCTCTCGTCCCGATAGTGCGGTGATACCTAGGTACCTAATTATACGTCCATGGTAAAACTAGAATAGGTTGTCGTGGGTGTAGTTAGATGCTCTATTGCTCAATCTACGAAATCGGTTGATGTGGGCAATCGGACGGCTCAGGTCAGTCCGGTACTTTGTTATCAAGGATTCTTTTAAGTAATGTCAATTATTTATTTATTTATTTTTGGTCCCTGTTAGGAGACAACTAACCTAGGTTAGCTGGTTATGATTGTGCTAGTTTGTACCATATAAGACGACGTCTCCAGCTTCATTTGGTCTTCCCTATCCGCCCCATTCGCCCCATTGAGCGCATGGCGAATGTGCTAGCATTGGAGTGGAGATTGTCTAATATCCAAATCCAAGTCACGAGGCGAGTGAGCTACCACTACCATAGATCATAGACAAGGCCTGGTTGCGATAGTATAGCCCCTTTCTAATATCCATACACTTATCATTGATCATCCAGCGCGCCCTCAAGAAGCTTCTGCAAGGTCGGCAAGAAAGCCTGCGCCTTTCTGAAGTCTCCTAGCTTGACTCGCATGTAGTCAAATGCCACTAGGACCACCTCATCTAGCTCCGCCCTTTTGCTCTCTTCCGCATCGGCGCGAATCTCCAAGTTTTCCTCCATTATAGGCACCTTCTGATACCTTTGCGAGAAGTGCGTCAGCAGGATCCTCCTCGCGCCCATGCGACGGCCGACATCGATAGCCTCAGACATAGTCGAGTGTTTCTTAGCGATAGCATCGCCTTGAAGCTCGTCATCGAACGTGCTCTCGTGGATGAGCAGGGTGGCCCCCTTTCCGATCTCGACGAAATCGTCGCTCGGCCTGCAATCGCCCGAATACGCGACCTTGAACCCAGACGGGAAAGTAAAGACCGTGGCCAGCGCACCGAAACAGTGCCTCACGTGGCAAGCCGTGATCTTTTCTAACCCGATGGCCCTTGTCTCCATCTCCGAGAATACACGAGAATCTCCTTTGTTAAAAATGACAGTCAAAAGTCGATCGAAACCATAGTTCTCGATGTCCGCGTATTCTCGCAGCCAGTCTATCATGTGCGTGTGGGACGCGACAAGGAGCTTAGCGGAGGGGTTTGACCGGGTCGTCTCGTCGTGCCATGCTTTGATGACGGAAGCGGTGCCTAGGTGATGGTCTGCGTGGAGATGGCTGATCCATATGCCTTTGAGATCTCGCAAGATTTCGGGGAGCTCGTTACCAAAAACCCGCTGTAACTGGCCAATCGTATTCTCGCCGCAGTCGAACAGGTAGTTACCGTATCCCGGGACGCGAAGGAGTGTAGAAGAGACGTTGCGGTACTTAGATGGCAGAGCAGAGCCAGTTCCTAGAGAAATTATTTCTGCATCTCGGTTTGGGATGTCCGATTCCACCTTTTCGATTTTGGCCAGAAATTCAGGATCTGAAACCCTCGTCTTGACTTTTTGAGCCATTTTTAATATTTCATCATCCATATCCATTCGGGCCAACTTTTCGATATTTGGGAATGGAATAATCTTGTCATCTTGATGCACGTACTGAGGTGCAAATTGTACAACCTTCCCAAGCTTGCTACTTTCGTAGAGAGAAGAGACACCCGTCGTCGAGGCGTTCGAAATTGACACGTTATTGTCGTAAATGGGCAAGCGGAACCGGTCAGGGTCAATACATCGTAATTTGAAAGCTTGAGTTGTGACTGAATCAAACGCGAGCCTGTTCGGACAGCTGTCTGGCGAGGACACGATGTGTCTGATTGTCGGCTTCTTTTGCATAAACTCTTGTAGCCGGGGTTCGTTTACGACTCCACGGCCAAGAATCCAGTAGATAACGCGAACACCATCCATAAGATTATCATTTGACCACTCCGTACGGTTCACGAGCGCATCGATATAAGAAGGGTCCGGCAAGTCGACGACAGCAAATCCATTCCCGGGAATATTCGGTTCCAAAACCATATCTGGAGTTACTACAACCCCGTCTGTACCCGTTACACTCTGGCCACTCGTGAGCAGTGTGTAGGATTGCTTAGGTACGCCGTGCTTTGCAGCTACTTGGGGGTTAAACTTTCCTCGTCGCTCATGGGTTTTGAAAATATAGCACAAGGATTGGTTTGAGGGTTTCGTACGCGGCAGTGCGTGTACCATTGCTCCGGGCCATGGTCGACGTATTAATACAGGTATGTTTGGTACCGCCTCTCCACTTCCGGGTAAGGGACCTGTATATACTTGGATGTGACCTTTATCATCCCGGACGAATATTTTCGCGGGTTGCTTCACTTGGTGCAAAGTAGTTTCTACCAGCGCGTCCATCTTCCAGTCTGAGTCAAACATCTGGGTGACTACAGTTTGAACCAGTTTTCTGTCCTCTTCATCGTCCAGGGTGGGTTGCTGCCCATCCACTTCAGATGCCTCGGCGAATTCCTCGTGCGTCCGTTTTCGAGGGCTAGTCGATACGATCGTTGTCGACTGGACAGGCATATACCACACCTTAACGTTGGTATCTTCCCAGTCCGGTTTATATCCTTGCTGTTCGACTGAGCGGGGGTCTTCGCGAACCTCATGAGGGTCCAAGGGCAGTCCTTTCCGGAAAATAAACCTGCGCGCCGTAGCGAGTAGGTGTGTCAAATTTTTGCCTCCGTGAATCCTAAGCCTCGGCATGACAATGTCATGGGCACGGAATTTACGGGCTTCGAGCCCTTTTTTCTTACGCTCTTCGATATTTTGTTTGAGGCTATCTATCTTGCTAGCCAGGGTATCGGCAAGGACGAGGATAGTGCCTAGAAGGCCACCGGCATTTTGCCAGTTAACCACACCTGTTAAGAAAACATCTTCAACCTTCTGTATGCCAATGTTTCGCTGGATGGCAGCGCGCTGTGTTCCCTCGGCAATATTCCCAATTATATAGCGCTTGTTGTCAAAGTGAAGCAACAAGCAGGCACCGTGGGTGTCGGCGGTAGGGGTCGTAATGACCTGGACAAAGTTCAACATACCGGTCCCCCGCAGCGTCGCGCGCTGGTCAGACGGAACAGTCTTAAACAGTAAGAATTGCGCACAATATTGCTGATCTCTAGGAGACGCTCGTAGTAGGGAGAGGTTAGGATATCGGAAAAGTGCAGTTGGGAGAGGTGCTTTTGCGAATGCAGACCTCGGGAGCGGGTCGCGATATTTTCGCGGGTTTATGATATGCGGATTTGAAGTCTCGCTGAAATGGAAAAGCCACCTCGGGGTCCTATAAATAATATTACGATGTCTCATCAGGTTTTGAGCCGGATGAGCCTATCAAGAATGACTCTTACGGCCAATTCGAAACGCATACAAATGCGTATAAGTGAATTACATATCGACATTGATGCATCGATGCATCCTAGCGTTAACTAAGAAATTATTTCTTATCTTATCGCTATGGACCTAGCTAGAGGTATTCTGACGTATTGTAGGTACTTCGTATTGTACATGTACCTAAATTACGTAACTGTTGCTATGTAGCGATTCGATTCTTAGATGGCAGTCATCACTTGTTTTTTATAACCTCTTTTTTTATTAGTGAATTACATAGGTAGGTTAGGTAAGTTAGGTACTTATGCTACGGGTATACCAACAAAACAACCTCCTTTGAAAAACAGGAACTCTCATGGTGCCGGACTTGCAACCACAATTCCTGCCAGGGACGTAGCCTTGATATTGTCGCCTCCCTTACACCAACACGTACCAGCAACCTGCCCGACTACCCCCTTCTCATTCCACTAATAATTCGTCAGCAAATATTTTCAGGTGAGGAGAATGGGAGAATAGGAGAGTGGTTATCGGTATCACGTACAACACAGCCAACATCGCTACGCTTCTGAACCCAGTTCAGCGAGTCGCATAGTGCAAGACACTCCTCGAGCGAGTTCACCACTAGTGATGCCAGGCCTGTTCCCGTCAAGTCGCTGTCGCAGGCTACCTTGTATTGCCGATGGTTTTCCCCCGATATCAGACTTCCGCTTCGGCTGGGACACCCGGAATCTACTAAGACCGTCGGTGTCGGTTCGGCTATAATTGTCGTACCAGTGTTGCTACTCTTTGGGCTGGCGGTGCTCTTAGTGTTGCTGGCACTAGTAGTTGATACGCTGTTCGTAGATGAGGTCGTTAAGGGGGTAGCATGCGGCGATGAAGCAACGCCGTTGCTTATAGCTTCGCCATCCGCAGAAGCACCTAGACGAGTCGTCAGAATCACCACCTCTGCTGCACTCGTCCACCATAGTTTGTCTAACCTGTATTATTAACTGCACTATCATTACTCCTCAAACCTAAGCCCAGCCCCGTGCCTAGGCCGAGCGCCAACGCCACCACCGAAAACAAAGCTACTAGCAACCAGAAGGTCGGTTTCTTCAACCCGGCTATCTCAGCTCCACGGGACGTCTGATTGATCTGCGGTTGCGCCACGTCGTAGTTCTTATACTCGTAGTACTGCGGATGGTAGGTCTCGGGAGCTACCTCGGGCGCCAAAGAATCCGTCACGAGCTGTGGTGCGGTGCTCGACGCGACCTCCATCGTCGAGTGCATCTTGGTTCTAAGAGGTAGATCTACGAGAACTATGAAGATGAACTAATATCTAGAGTTATTTTCATTATATTTGCACTTATATGCATCGTTGTCGCTGCCTACCTTACGAATCTTACGAGATGCCCTGTGCCGGCCCCTGACAGTCGCTGTGATGCTACCTGCATTGCATCGCACGTAACCCCCAAATTTCAGGGGTCGATATTGAGTTTATACATAGTAGATGTGAGAATATATGTGATAACGTCTCGATTATAGACCTGTAAGTAATCACCGCTAATCTGACGCTCAATCGTGCATTGCAGTTTGAGTTTAGTAATGAGCATAAATATAAAGATATACGATGTTGAAGTATCTACGATATACAAGTTGCGTACATGTAGTAAGAATGTCTAATTGTCAGCGAGTTTGACATATGAGGTGATGGTACTCTGCGCTGTGACCTATCCGGGATTTCTTCCTACGCAGCTGACGGCCTCAACCATAACTGGTAAAGCTCAGATATAATTGATCAATTCAGCCTTGTCCTACCCTAGAAGGGACTAATATGCTATTCTGAAAACGGCGAAGAAATGCGACTGGTGTGTAGGTATATATAATTCTATTATTAGCGAATCTCGCACTCTTCGGTAATCTTGCACGTTTCCTTTAATTAAGGAACGCGTAGCATCCGAAGGGCGCGAGATTCGATAGACAGCGCTAATAGGTCTATATAAATGACACCTCAAGATGTTTCCCGTGATATATGGGTGTGGCTTTGAAGGAGCATTCACAATTATACATCTATCATGAAGTACTCGTACATAGTTATATATATGTATGTTAGGTATGTTAGGTATGTTTATTATATTTTTCTGCGGACCGTACTGGCAATGTGGTGTGAAGGAAGGTCTACCTGCAGGTCTATAGAAACAATTCCCCTTGCAGCTAATGTCATAGCATTGATGACACCCAGGGGCTCTTGCCTGTTCGCCTTCGAAGTAGTGGTAATTGACTTCTATTGGGCGGCTATGGAGGACACATCAGTTTATATTATCCACATTCCTCGACCCAATGGCACTGTAACCATGGCCGATTATACCACCTCAAGCCCATAGCGTCTCCAGAACTGATTATTTCGTTCAATTGTACATAGTATTCCAGATACTTAAATCTACCTCATTGGGTTATGTACCGGGCTATTGGATCGCTCACGCTTTGGCTGTGGCGATTCACGAGGCGCGACGAGTGACATGAATGTTTCCTCGATGTCTGAATCATCATAATTGTCACTATGGTCTTTTTCACCTGACGCTTCGGCAGCATTGGACTGCTTCCTATCAACTTCTAATGGTAGCCCGCTACTCGGTAGAGGCTGTGACAAGATGATTTCTTTCGAACGACCAACATTCCTGATCCGACTTTGTTTGGATGGTCGATCACCTAGCTGCGGTTGTTGAACATCCTCCGTAGCAGACGAAGGCACAGGGGTGTCGGTAATAGACGGCTGGGGGGATTCGGGGGATTCAGACTTGTACTCAGCCTTGAACTTTGCAATTATTTGGAGCCAGTCAGACCCATACTCAGCTGCCTTGCTTATTCCTACGCCGTGAACATTTAGAAGCTCACGCTGGTTCGAGGGGCGCTCCTTAGCGAGGGTTTCTAGGAGGGAGTTAGAAGCAACTATAAACGCGGGTCGGCCCTCTATAGCAGCACGAGCCTTCCGGTGCTCTGCTAGATGCCTATATAACTCCTTGAATGGCCCATATTCCTGCTGCTCCTGGTAATCATCTTTCGGGTGACGAGGAGCCCGATTCGCAATTTTAGGCTCCAAAGGCAGATTTGTCTGAGTAATGCTTTTCCTGGGATGCCTAGCAATGTCTTGTGCAATTATCTCTAGCCATTCGTCGCCATATGCCTCAACCTTCCGATCTCGGATGCCCTTCACCTTTAAGAGCTGGATCTTATTAGTCGGGCGGATTTTAGCTAGCTGCTCCAGGACTTTGTTTGAAGCTATCACATAGGCGGGTACATCCTGTGCAGCAGCAACCTTTTTGCGATGCAAGACCAATTGTCCGAAGAGCTTATGCCACGCTTCTGGTACAGATGAATCCATTATGCTGTCATTGCCGTGTTTCACTTTGCTCCCGAAGGGCTGAGAAGTGAAGGTATCGTTAGCGGTCATAATGAAGCTTATGTTGATTTTCCATAGGCTTTGCTACTTTGGTAGCTGGCATAGGCCCAGGTAACAAGAACGTGAGTTGGTTAGTATTAGGACAGAGTCCATTTTGGCGAAAGCTGTTACATTTTGTATATGCATGATATTTGAAAGTTGCTCCTGCTTGATGTAGGTAGTTATCTTATGTTAGGTACCTAAGTATATGCATGTATAAATGCGTATATGAATGCGTATATGCATCTCAGTAAAAGCATATAATGCTACCGCATTATGTCATTATGTACATAACAGGTAGCGCACTCGTCTGCTGACCTCGGGACATTAGTTGATAAACGATAAACACTATTAAAGCGCGGCTGCAATTTAGCCTCGTTGCTTCATCTTGCGAAGTTACATCTATCTGGTATCCCCCCCCCCAATTGATCTATATCTAAACACAGATCGCCACTTGTATTCTTCGGAGTTAGTTTTGGTGAAATATCCACCAATAATCCCCATTATGGCGTCCACGCCAATGGACCTCGACGTTCCCGATAACTCATCGCCTGCCAACGGTACACCATTAACCTCCCTCAACATCACTCGTACTCTAGGCGGCGGTCTACCTAGCACATCAGCTATCTCCGACGCCGTGCACAACTTTAGACCTACAAAGGTACCCTTCTCGAACATACCCGCAGTCTAACAACCTTTTCTTACTCGGGTTACAGTTATTTAGGCGCGACGATATTAAAGATGGACGGCCTCAACCCTTTATTCTCAGTCTCGATTATGACGACCCTGGAGAGCTTCTGATGACATCCGAGAGCGACGAGACCATCCAGATCTACAAGGTCCGAGAGGGTCGCCACGACAAGCAGCTCCTTAGCAAGAAATACGGAGTCAAACACGCCAAATTCACACATAACAGCTCCAGTATAATATACGCGAGTACAAAGCAAAATGGTTAGGATGCTATAGCTTTCGGTGCCTGTCATTAGTTGGAAACTTGCTGATAACGATACTTTATAGATGCTATCCGATACCTAACGACTCACGACAATGCATTTATACGTTATTTCGAAGGCCACCAGGCTGCTGTTACATGCTTGGCGATGCATCCCGGCAACGACGACTTCATCTCCTGCAGCAAGGACAACACTATACGGTTATGGAATGCCGGAACAAAGAATGAGACCGGAATTTTATATCTGAACACACCACATCTCGCAGCTTTCGACCCGAGTGGACAAGTCTTCGCTGTAGGGTCGCCCAGCAGCGGCATGGTCCTGCTCTATGACCATCGAAAATTCGATAAAGCACCATTCGCAGAATTCGACATCGTGGAAGCATGCGCTTCAGTTGACTCTAATCATACCATGCAGGGCTGGACCACACTGGAGTTTGCCAACGACGGACGCTCTATCTTGCTAGGCACGAAGGGAGGAGGTCATTTCCTTTTAGACTCCTTTAATGGCAGTCTGAAAGGATACCTACGGAAAACTGAAGGCGGAAGTAATAGGCTGGCGCCTGGCGAAGAATACATGCTTAATGGGGGCGGCCCGAGTGGTGCTAGCGTGGAGAGTAGCGGCGACTGTTGCTTCACACATGACGGAAGATTCGTCGTCGGCGGTGGGAGGAAGGGAGTTATGGTGTGGGATACACTAGGTAATGCGTCTGATAAGATCTTGGATCCAGTTCACGTACTAGAAGATGAGAGGCCCGCAGCAGTAGTTGCCATCAACCCCCGGTTCAACTTCTTCGCGACGGCAGATCAAGACCTAGTGTTCTGGTTACCGGATCCGCATGCCTAGGAGGCGGCTGGAGACTCATCCGTCAACGTCGATGTCGATGCCTCCATCTATGATTGCGATCATGTGAACTTGAATGAAGACGATTGTCGGCCAACAGCGGATGGACATATGATCCATCATGAAGTAGCATAAGTAATAAACGGAGAGTGAGGATGCGGCTGGCTTAGGTACGGAAGATACCCCCCATTTTGCATTGCGAAAGGCGTCTAAAAGGGCATCGTCTTGGCAACTTCTTGTTATAGATGCTTGTATGAAATATAAAATTTTGACATGTCTCACAACATAAGACGTAATATTTTGTGACGATTAGTATTTCCAAGTGAAACACTTGGCTACCCTAAAGATGCGATGCTTCTAAAATCCCATTATTAAATAACTACCTAGGTACCTTTTACCTCGGTATGCAATTATGAAGTACTTGTATAATTTAAATGAGGCTCGAGCTACCCCGCGAGATTTCATAGAGCTCTAGATCCCTGTCTAGCTGTTTGAGCCCCACACCCACCGCCCACCACCAATAGGTATGTACATAGTATGTACATAGTATGTACCTAAGGCATGTACCAAACTTCATCGTCACTCGATTGGACGAAAGTGCCAAAGTTCAAAGTCCAGCTCCACAATCTACTTCGACGACACGAAATCGTATATCTATAACCACCATGAAGATCTCAGAAGTGCCTTAATCAGCCAATATCCCACATACTATTATACGAACAACCAACGACATTTTATTCCGCAGCAAAGCGGCACTCACTCGCGATGCCATACTTCGCCACGAGCCAGGAATGGCTGCACCAGTCTTCACTCCTCCTTGAAGCGCGGCCAACAACTGTACGTCTGCCTCTATTGCTCTTTACTCCCAAACGTACCGCACCGTTTGTACATAACTACAACAACGCAGCAGCACTCCCCTCACCACCCATCCCACTCCATCTCAAATCCTCAGCACTAGAGTCCTCCTAGCTAGGTAGCTAACTAACCAACCTACTAACCAACCAACTAACTCTTATACCCAGACACGCATCACAACCAAATACCACATCAGCAAGCCCAAGCCCCGCCGCGCCAAAAAAGCGCCGACCTCCTCCTCCTCCCCCCCCACAACCGACACCGCTCCCGCCGCGCCCCGCGGCTCCCTCACCCTCAAGACCTACGACCCGCACTCCGGCGCCTGTCTCAAGTACCGCACGACCAAGGCCGCCGAAGTATCGCGCCTGATCCAGAGCCTGGGCCGCCCGCTGGCCGCGCGCATGGCCGCGCTGCCCCTGCCCGAGGCCGCCGACGAGGTCATGGCCGATGCGCCGCTTGCGGCGGGGACCCCGGCGGACGAGAAGAGGGCGGAGGATGTGGGGGGGCCTGCGCTGCCGGAAGGGAGTACAGGTGGTGGAAAGGCGCCGGGACAGGCACAGGGACAAGCGGGAGGAGGTGGTGGTGGTGGGAAGGGGAAGAAGAAGCGTGGGAAGAAGTGAGGAAATGGATGATGAATAAATGCAGAGGGAGGGAGGGAAGAGAAGGATTGGAAAGTCTACGTTGGGTTGTATCCGATCGAAAAGAGATACTACATAGAGAGACGGACAGTCCCATGCATTACATCATAGCATTGCTATAAGGTTACTTATAGTTGGAATTATATTCAAAGCTTGATTAAAGCTTTGATTACGAGACAGGCTGTATGGGAAAGCCTAGTGCTTGAACGGACACATACCAATGAACCTACAAATACGAACACAGCAGTAGAGCAACATTACCCTACAATTCAATTATCACTCAACACCGAATCACATGATACCAATATAGTATGTCTTCATCATTTGCATCAATTGAGCTATCACTACGTCCGCGTCTCGTGCATCAAGTCATTTGCCCCATCCGTCCGACCATCCATTCGGAGCTTATTGTTTGTTTCATTCCTCCGTGGGCCATCTCTTCGTAAAGAGGCCAGCAACGCCGTAACGCCCAGTGATTATGACCCTATCGTGACAGATAAAAAGGGAAAAATAGGGTTGAAGATCCAAGGGGGACCACCCGGTCGATGGATCCAACCGTAATTGTACCGCCGAGACAATTGCTCGCCGGTCTATAGTTTTGTATTAAGACCCTCTAAGCTCTAACAAGTTGGAATGGCGTTGAAGGAAGTAGCGTGAATATAGTATTACATGAGGGCGGATCTAATCGAGAATGAGAGAAGGGGGTATCGAAAAAAGGACGTAAGAGAAAGAGGCGCGAGATCATCAAGCTGATGAGAAGCTTAAAAGTCATCGTCGAAGGTGAAATCGCCTCCGTTCTCGTTCTCTGCAGGGGTAGCTGCGTCGTCGTTCTTCTTAGTGCTGGCCATGACACCTGCCTTCTGGTAGTCACCAACACGCTTCTCGAAGAAGTTAGTCTTGCCACCCAGGGAAATATTCTCCATGAAGTCGAATGGGTTGGAAGAGCGGTAGATCTTCTCGTTGCCGAGAGCGACTAGTAGGCGGTCGGCGACGAACTCGATGTACTGCTTCATCAGGTTGGAGTTCATGCCGAGTAAGGCGCAAGGTAAGGCCTCTGTCAAGAACTCCTGCTCTATGGTGACAGCGTCTCTAATGATCTTCTCGATGACGTCCTTGCCGGGCCGGTTCTTGAGGTGTGTGAAGAGAAGACAGGCGAAATCGGTATGTAGACCCTCGTCACGCGAGATGAGCTCGTTGGAGAAAGTGAGACCAGGCATGAGGCCACGCTTCTTTAGCCAGAAGATAGAAGCGAAAGCACCGCTGAAGAAAATACCCTCAACAGCAGCAAAAGCAATCAAACGCTGAGCAAAGGTAGAGTTCTTGTCAGCGATCCATTGCAGAGCCCAATCCGCCTTCTTGCGAATGCAGGGGACTAGACAAAGGTTAGTCATGTGGTAGTTTAGATGCGGGATAAAGTGAACTTACTAGTGTCAATGGCGTTGAAGAGATGAGTCTTCTGGGCGGGCTCCTTGATGTAGGTATCAATGAGCAGAGAGTAAGTCTCAGAGTGAATGTTCTCCATCATGATCTGGAAACCGTAGAAGCATCGTGCTTCAGGGATCTGAACCTCGCCGCTGAATCGCTCAACCAGGTTCTCGTTGACAATGCCGTCTGACGCAGCGAAGAAGGCAAGGATGTGAGAGACAAAGAACTTCTCGTCATCGTTGAGTCTGTTGTTCCAGTCGTGAAGATCCTTGGACAGGTCGATCTCTTCGGCAGTCCAGAAGGACGCCTCGTGCTTCTTGTACATCTGCCAGATCTGTGGGGTAAATTAGTATATGACACGTAAAAAAACACTTTACGCGTCTAAGACGCGTTACTCACCTCATGGTACTTGATGGGGAACAGGACGAACCGCTGAGGGTTCTCTTGTAGGATGGGCTCATCAGCCTCCTCAGGCCTAATGGTAGGCGCAACAGCAACCTTCTCTTCTTGCCTCTTTTCAATTTGTTGGTGTGAATCAATCTCTTTGGCCAGGGCATCGATGTTGGAGTCGAAAGGGGCGTTCTCCTTGCCGGCGGAGAAGTCCAGCTTCTTGATGGGAGAGTCCATGTTCAATGACTCCATGGCAGAGGCAGCCTATATAGCATGATGAGTTAGCAACAATTTTTTCCAATGGCATGAAAATAACTAGGAGGGTAACGTTATGTACCTTCTTGGAGGGGGTGATGTTAGAGGCCATTGTGAAGATGTGAGGTTGAAAGTAGGAATTGCAATTGTAAATTGGACAAGGGGAATAGACAATTGACTTGCAATGATCACCGAGTAAGAATGATAATCACGCGTTAAGTGGAAGTAATCGTTGTTGTTGGGATGCAAGGACAAGAAGCGTGTTTAGTTAGAATAAGTCGGATCTAAGATCTTTTAAAAGCTGTCTTGCGCCGAGTCACGTGTTAAATTAACTGGGATCGACGCGATAAAAAAAACGCGTCTTAAACCCCGCCACTTTTTTTCACGCGTTATCCAGGGGTTGCAGCTTCCACTATGAGGAAAGTACCCACGCCGCACTAAAAAATATATAGGTTAGGTACCTAGGTACACTTACCATACAAGGTACAGTGCAAGGTACTAAAACAAATAAGAGCTGTTGATGCAATTGGCCTATATGTAATTGTCCCTGCAGCTAACCCAGCTGTTCCCTTTTCAAAGGTTCTTCTTAGAAATGTAGCTCGGTCCTCTCGGCACTGGCTTCATGTGTCACAAACCAGGGATATTTACACCAACTAGGATTATCAGATCACAGTCATCAGATAAACAAGCAACCGAAAGGGGTATGGGTGAGATCCCTAGTTTCTACATAGGTTAGCTGATTCAAGATCAGCTAATGATTACTTGTCACTGCGAATCATCATCGACTTTGGACTGTTTGACTCCGGACCTAATATCGGTCTTGTGGGTTACTGTCCTCGGATTACGAGGCATACCAGATATACGATAGGCTATGTGTTGAGTCGTGCCATTGAGTCGTGCTCCAGAGTAACAGAACTCGTTGTTTCAAATAGTGTAATCCAATCCATTGTCTCATAAAAGTCTAGTACTAATAGCTGCCATCTCATTAAATATGAACCCCCCTCCATTATGACATAATGTTTATATGGTATCTTAGTCTCATCTATTCGTCTGCTTAATTTGCCGTTGCACCTAGACCTGCTATGCTCATCCTACATTATGCATCATATGCATTGTCGTGTCCCAATTTCGAAATAATCAAGAATAGTCAAAAGCATAAAAGCCAAATCGAACAATAATAGTAAACGGTCTCGTACGGAGAAACCAAACTCGTAGTATCGTGACGCGTATGAAGAAGCCCCTCCAAAGTAATTAACGCGATCTGATCTTCTTAATTGAACCCCACAGCTCGTAATTGTTAGCGGGTCCCTAGTTCCGTCTACCAGCCTCGATATCAGCTGGACGAGATCTCTTGCTACCTAACCCAAAGAAACTTCTGCTCGAGCCTCCTCGTCGATCGTCATGAACCCTGACTCGAGCGGGTTGTGACGGTTGGGCCAATTCGGTTGCGACACCGGTTTCCTGGGGAACATGGTCTGTTCGTAATTGGTCTCTAGACCTTTCACCTTGACGCGTAGCTCGAGACGACGCGTGCTCAGGTGACTCCGAATTAAATCGATCAAACTCGGCCGCATCGCTGGGGTCCAAATCTGGCACCGGCAATTTACTAGCGCGAAGATTCTTCTTGCCTTTCTTTCGTAGATAATCTTCTAATGCCACTGCGTTACGTGTGTTGGCAAGAATGACGGCATCGGCAATATCTCCGACAAACGGGACCAACCCGGCGATAAGATCTATCAACACCAGCACATACATCCAGGCCCATATCTGAACCGGAAGCCCTCCTTCAACCTGCTTGGCTGTACGGACTACCATCATCGCGAGAAGGGCATCGACGACATCTCCAGCACTATTAGATATATTTATTAGCACGTGAATATATCCATGAACGAGCCGAGTTACTCACAAAGGGACGATACCGATAACACTGCCCCAACCAAACTTCAACCCCATGAAGCTCCCAAAGCTCATATCTAGTCGGTATGCTCTTCTCTTCACCTTGGTCAAGATCTTCGCATCGTGCTCCGAAAGGCCAGGCGGTAAGGCTTTGCGGACCTTCTTAAACTTCCCTGTTGGTGTGCCATCAAGCCTTGTCGCTGGAACTTGTTCGAAGTATGGGTCCTTTGATTTATATCATGTTAGTATCGTTTGCTTTGCAATTGACCTAATGCCGAGTTTATGCTATTAGGTCAATAGCAGTAACAAAAAGAAATCATGCCGCTTACTGCCGCTCCGAATTGGTTCCCTGCTGTCTCCTTAAGGATCTTTTTCGATACAAATTTCGCGATAACGCCCGCCATCTTGTTCTTAGGATCGAAGTAGAATTGATTGTCTAATGGTAGATGTATTGGTGGAGAGCTGTTAAATATTGTCGAAGAAGTCGATTAAATAAGGAAGACGCGGTTGTCGTGTCGTTCGATAAGTATAAAATAGTTGGTAAATACCTACCTATTAGATCATATACCGCTGTTGCTTGTTGACTTCAAGCGACTTGTTAGTTGCGCATTCGCAGCCAAGACACTTTTCAAAATAGTAAAGTCTCCCTCAGAGCAGTGGGAACAAAGGGAAGATTGAAAGACCTTTATTTATTGAAACTTGTAATGACAACTAACGAGACAATAGCGGTCTATCTAGGTACATACGTAACCCTGAATGTGGTTGTGACGTTTTTCAAGTTTTCCCTTTCCCTAACTTAGGTGATTGGTGCTGTTATGCGCCAATACGAGAGGCAGCCAGCCAAGTCATCCAAGTTAGAGAAATGATGATGTCAAACGGCAAATTAAACGCATTAACCCATTTAAGGTTAATCGATCTACCGTGCTTTATGCGTAACATGTATCTATGTAGAGAATGGACCCCTATCTTCCATGCTAGCGGCAGTTATGGAACTTAATGTGGCTTGTGGCGCAGCCACTCAGCCACAAAACCCTCCAATTCACATCCGTAGGTCTCGTGATCATCGTCATCCTGTAAACAAACCACACAATGTGTGTATAAGTGCCTCGAGGCCTCCCTCTGCGATGACATTCTCGCCACTAGAAAGAGTCGGAATAAACGGTAGGTGTAAGGGTATTTCCTTAGTCTCTAATAATGAGCGTTAGAAGAAACAATCGAAAAGGTCGGCTCTATTTCAAAAGGTAATGTGTGGTCCTCTTTAATCTCTGGTCTATCATTAGCTATTATGGGAAGACTATCCCTTTCCATATATTTATTTGACTTATAAATAACCTGCTCGGTCGCCCTAGTCACAGCCCTAGGGCAATATAGTCAGTTACTATAGACATATGATCCGCTTCAACCTCTGAAAAGATTTGGGTTGAGATTCCACGCCCACCCCGTTTTATACCATGCTTGCTTTCCTCGACTTCCGTACTACCAGTCTAGATGTTATGAGGATTATTGTGCTTCCAATAACAATTGTTGATCCCGCCCAAATCTGCGCCCATATGTATTTCCCTCCGCTTGCATCAATGATGGCGCCCATAGTAGGAGGTCCGGACAGAGTAGCAAAGCCGCAAAGGCCAAACGCCATGCCGATCCACGTCCCCATCTTCCCCACGTCTTCAACAAAGCTGCTAGCTGCACTCGAAAATATTCCCTGAGCAGCTCCGTTCACAAACCCCATGACGACAGAATAAGCATACATGTCTGCCCGCTTATGGACACCTATCCAACCAAACGCCATGATCCCCAAGGCAAGGCAATTCAGGCCATAAATATCAACAGGGCCGACGTAACGATCGGCGATGTAGCCGAACAAGGGGCGCGCGGGCATGGCAACTGCATTGTTAATGAGCACGAAATTAATGGACTCTAGGTCGCTTAGTCCAATACTCTCGCGAGCAAACGAGTTAATCTGGTGGAATATGGTTAGCATCCAAGCCACATGTTGTTATCAAACCGAAATGGTTAGGGACTCACGTATATTAACATTGTGAATAGAGAGAAATATATGAGGAACGCGCCCACGGTGAACAAGGTATATGGGATGTTCTTGAAGGCACTCAGGTCGAGAAGCGGCGCAGGGACTCTCCGCAGTTTCCGCGGCTTCAAGAGGCTGAATCCAGCGATAGCCAAAGCAATGCTTATGAATCCGCATATCCTAACTGCCCACGGAAAGCCAACCTTGGGTGTCAAGAATTGGACAAGGGCTGGGTATAGGATAGCGCCACTGCTCGATCCGCATCCGTTGAGGGACACGGCAAGCGAGCGCTTCTTTTTGAAGTATGTAGCGACATTTGCAGTCGCGGGCATGAACATCAACCCAGCACCGATGCCCTGACAGAACCCTTGCGCAAGCAGAATCTGCCAGTACGTGTTCGCTAAACTGGTCATGAACATGCCAAATATGCACATTACAGCTCCAATAGCATACAAGTGCCGCGGGTATCCTGCGTCTGACAGTCGTCCGGATATCATCCCGACGAGGAAACATAAGAATATTTGTATCGAGCCTATCCAAGACACTTGCGAGGCCGGTAGATTCAACGTCTGCTTATAATAGAGCTGGAAAACTGAGAAACCCGTGCCGTAACCCCAGGACATCATATTGGCGATGTGGGCCGGTATAATTTGAGACCACGCAAGCCACCCTCCATCTAGCGGCTCGTCAAGAGGTATAGTATCCGAAGGAACGTCCATTTTTGTGGCATCTTCTCTTACGAGGACTGTAGAGCTATTCTTCGCTTCGGGCTGGGAGCTCGAGCTTCCCTCTGAGGAGGATGTTATCATCATGTTTATTGATGAGGTATGATCAAACGCATCGGTATTTTTACTGGCAAGATTTAGGAATGCCCATTATTATTAACAAGATTTCGGTTTAGGGACAGGTCGGATTATATGTAGGTAGCTATATATGTTCATAGCCAAAACTTTACGGCGCGTTCAGACAATATAAGCTCCCAAAGCGACATACGCCCCTAAACTCAAATTATCACAGTATTCGAGACGCTCCGACATCGCTTTTTACACTATACTGTTGTTCATGCAGTCTACATTATGAAATATTACAACTCCACCACGAGGGCGTCCTTAGAGGGATATAACGTATAGGTTTGAGTATGTATACGGCCGATCGTATAGGCGAACCAAGACTGCCGACGTCTTGCGGTCAACTATTTTCGGGGACTGGAACGGGAACGGTGCTCCGATGTCCCCCCTTAGGCATCGATGGCCGGGCTCCATCCTATCAGGAGGCAGGCATTTCTTGATAATCAAGGTCGCAATAGACTAATTGCATCACTTAGAATAGATATATCAGATATCAACGAACTCAAATCCGATAGCGCTACGAATTATTCATAGCACAAGGTCTACGATATAAGAGTTATGAAGTCGTGCTGTAGCTGTAGCGTTGTCTCGGGCCGACGCAATGCTACGATCCCAGTCGATCGTTGAAAATGTTGATTATTCGTCTGGGTTAATTTTCCAATTTTTCCATACTTTGGTTCTTCGAGATTGATTCTCGGTGGGAGTATTGTACCAAAGCTGTCTACTGTGACGTTATCGTCGATTCAACCGGTGTCGCTAGAGCCTGATATCCTAAATAGGAACCTGGACTTCAGATGCTCCCCAGCGTTTGCTTCTTTGCTTCTTTTGCGTCCTACATTCGGAGGTTATCTTGTAATAGGAATTCGATAGCAACATTGTCGCATTTGTGATAGGCCAGTCCCTCAGACCGCTTCTCCCTTTTGAGAAAGATAAATCCAAGAGCCCCGCTTTAGTCATCAAGCTTTGAAAGACCGGCCGAGCAGAAGTAAGCTAGGGAAACCCAAAACTGCCGACTAAGCTGTCAACCTACAAGTAAGCTAATAATAGCACAAAATTCCAACGAGTCGCGTGGTCTAATGGTTATGATTTCTCGTTCACATTGATGTGTTCAAAGTTCCGAGAAGGTTCCGTGTTCGATCCACGGCGTGACTATATTTTTGCGTCGGTTTGTTATAGTAATGAATATACTTTTCTTTTTTGTCTTGACGTTCCCTCATCTCGATTTATTTTCTTTTTGTACACCGTGCCAAAGTTCAGCTACGTGGATTTAGAAACTCATTACATTTTAAAACTTCTAATTGCCTAACCTAGGTAGCTAGCTAATTCCGACATATACAAAATAAATAATACATAGTCAATGGATTGGAATCAGATGTTTTCAATACCCCTTTTCGGTTAACAGCAGCAAAAAGGGGGCGATGGATTAAAAGTGAGACTTGATGCAAGAGGCCGTTGTCAGCGGTAAGTGATAATTGTCCGACAATGCGATGGGCGTTCGTTCTTAACACAGGTATGTGTGGTCGGTATGTGCCCTCGAGAAAGGGGTGGCGCAGCCAGTGTCTTCGAAAATGCCAACGCCCGCTGTCTGTATGCTAGCCGTCGAATACGAAATGGGCGCTGACAGAATGGCGTCTATATAATCTCCGTGTCGAGAGGCTTTATAGTGCATGCTACTTCGTATCCCAGTCACGCCATTCCGTGGGTATAGTTTCGGCTCGCGACAGGGGATGGGCGCGTACAGTATGCCTATGTAGGTATGTATATCGTCTATGTGGTATGGCAATGTGAACGAGCGGACGAGTTAGAATATACGTCATAGTATTGGATTTTGATAGATAATTACCGAGTTCAGAGGTTACAGAACAGAAGGATATATGACAAGGGAAATAGTGATAGGTCATAACTTCGCGGAATATCCGTATCCATGGCTTCGGTGCGTTCGGAGACGGAGCACCAAAATATATCTGGGGCATTGCATTTTGATTCCTATGTAGGTAGTAGGTAGTAGGTAGTAGGTAAAGTATGATGATGTAGGGCTGCTGCACTGGACGACCTGACATCTTGGCTGGCATACCGCGATCGTTCCACATATCTAGTAGTGCACCACATATCCGGCCTGTGATCTCTCGAACCCTGCAGTGTTCGAGCGACCTACCTAGCTAGCTACCTAACCACCCAACCTACTTAGTTACTGACTACCTCTACCTACCTACCTATCTACCTATCTACCTATCTACATAAATCGGTGGCTTCGTTCGCATTCGCCTATGCCTGCCTCGGCAAATCCAAGACAATACGAGCGAATGGCTGGCGACGTAATGAGCTTACTCGTTGGTTTGGAAGGCTTCCCCCCTGCCTGCATGTAGCCGGCGACAGCTGGGCTTGGCAGCTAATAGACTATAGGTGTTTGGTGCATTGATTATCGGGTTAATATTTGTTTTTTTTGGTGGGTGAGAGAGAGAGGGTAATATATATTATGGCTGCGTAGGGCAGATCAGACCGCCTGACTCTCATGCGAACTCGAGGACGCGTCATATGTGATTTGCCGATGTACGATGGCTTCGTACGCGGTAAGAGGCTCGTTTTGAGGATGGGGTATTATTTCTTTGGTATTCTGTACGTGTATGGCTATACTTCTTCCAGTCTTGGGAACATTTATTGTCATTTACGTCTTATCTGCTCCTCCCTGTCACAATAAACCGGCCACCATCTACGAACTGTGCGCTCGCACTATAGTTCGCAGTTATACTATGAGGAATAGGGGGAAAGGGGGGGGGGGAGGAAGATTCAGTGGAACTTGTGCGAAAGCTGACGAGTCCGTCCTATGGAGAGCAATTTCTTGATCCTATTACAGTATTCGTGAGATAGAAGATCTTGTGGTGAAACATCGCGATTCATCTTGCTTGTCACAACTACCAAGTTACTTCTATCACACAAATGACTTCATGCTGCCCACAGACCACTATACTCTTGCTCCGTGCTTACAACGTCAAAATAGGTTATCAATGATAGGGTAGAAAGGTGAGCAAATCAGGTTATCCAATCCCTTCGGTCCCGACCTAAGAGGTCCGTATCACCGCCATTACCTGTTAGGCTATCATATGCGATCTTGTAGGTTCTCCCTCGTCTGCGTATTGGGTCACGTGTTGATTCTGATGTTGTGCACTTGGTGTTCTCCCAACCACGTTCCCCTATCCATATTCAGAAGGGATAATTTAGTTCACTGTGGAAAATAGGTACTTATACTTCGAGAAACTAGGTCTTTTCATCTGTTGTTGAGAACTAACAGCATTAGGCACTGTTAGTTTAGTCTTTAGGTTTTAGTATAAATTACGTTCAGGAGAGAGATATAAATTTGAAAATTCGCTATATCGTCTAGAGCATGATATCAAGAGAGCGTTATATTAGAAGATGACCGTAAGGAAATAGCGTACGTGTATGATGTTATTCTCAATAGTGGCGATACATTTTCAATATCACACTGGGGATGATAACCCCCAGCTGCTGACTTCATATAACACACGCATCTTCATGCAACGCTAGTTACAACTGATACCACGACGCCCGCTATGATAAAAAAGGCACGAAAACCGCCGCTACTGCCGTGTGACCACATCATATCCTTCGTAAACCATCAGTAAGCAAGCTTCCGTTTGGGCAACAATATATCAGGCATCCAATAGAGACTCGTCTCTCTCCCAATGCTCCCAAGTAGGCTTATCATAGCCATTCGGTCGTGTCGGCCTCACGTAGCCGATCTGAATTCCACTCACTGCTAGTGGCTCTTTCGGCCAGGCTACAATGCCGCCGAACCCTTCGCTATACGCGCTCTGCATGAGATGGCTAGCAAAGAGCGTCGGATGCAGCGACTTGACACTGGCTAGGGCTCGCCGGCTAATCTCGTCAACAGAATCATTGTGACGTAGCTCAAAAAAGTTAGGACCGTGCTCGCGGCGTAGCTGGTTCTGGACCTCAGTCGGGTACGTGCCGAGAGATAGAAGGAATATGTCGTACTGCGATAGACTAGTTCGACAAATCCAGCTACCACCTTGCGTAGCCCTACGATAGATTCCCGAGAGCGCCGCAACAGTACCGACGCACCCTGTGCCATAGTCGGACATGGGGAAAGGTGGGATGACCGGCTCGTTGAGTCCCATGAACCTACCTTGCTCCCATGCCACGCCTGTGACGCAGTCGGCGATTTGCTGCCAACCCGGACGGCCCGCCCATTCGGCGCCAATTTCGATACCGCCAAAGCAGTCCTCTGCCACATAGACGATACCCCTGCCGCGTTGAGCCGCTTTCGCTGCAAGATCCTCGGGACGATAACCGAGCCTCGCGATAACGCCCGGTCGGTACCCATCGATGATCACATCGGCTGTCTCGAGGAGAGACTCGAAAACCTCGACATCCTCTGCGTTTTTGAGATGTAATGATGTCGTGTGTTTCCCGATATTGACATCCAATTGGAAGAATGGGACATCTGGTAACTGCGACGATGTAACCTTCAAGACAGAGGCACCATGCGCTGCTAGGGATCGACCAATGGTTGGTCCTGCAATTACCCGACACAGTTCGATAACACGAAGTCCCTGCAGACACTGACCTGGCCCGTAAATGGATTGCTCCGTAAATGGGACAGGTGGCGTGTCAATGCTCAAGGGCTTTACGGTAAATAATGGAAGAGATGCCATCGATTGGCCATGGTCGCTCTCCTGGAACTTTTCATTGGTGAGGACGGGGGCACCTGCCTGACGGTATTCTCGATTCAGCTTTTCTAATTCAGCTCCGGAAAACTGCCTGACTGCCCCCTCGATAGTGCTAATACAATCACGGTAATCTGTTAGACCGGGGGAAAAAGCAGGAAGACCAATCATCTTTAGGGATTTGGTGGCTTCCAATGATCCGTGGATGTGATAGTACTCGCCCCGGTTCCTTGTTTCGTATAGGCCTGCTGATAGGCGCCGATATAGATTTGACTGAGCTTGGTTTAGATCGGTGTCTTAACATTGTAGTTAGCTAGATAGCTTCTGAAGTTTACCTAATGGAGATCATGTGAGACGAACTCGGAATTCGTTCCTTGACTTTGGGGTTGCATTTATCCAAGCCGTCGATATTGGTGAGATATGTAGACATTAAAAAGGATGTCACACGTTCTAGGGTGACGCCAATCGATCTCTCACGTTTCTCCCCCCGGATATCTGCAATCGCAGCAGCGGCGCATCCTTCCAATGCTTTAAGTGCTGCTACTGCTTCTTGTTCACGCAAGGGGCACGGAAAACACGGCGTATCCCCGGTACGAGAATATCTCAAGAACTTGACATTCTCGGAGTATCGTAGGAACCCTCTTGGAAGCTCTGTCTTGACGGATTTCAAGAGATGATTGAAGGCATCCTTTGCGCCTTCACTTACCGAATGGATTCCGGGCTTCTCCCGGGTAGCGGATAGCGCCGTCTTTGGTTGTCCAACGGTCATGATAGTGATGGCCGGGTAAGGAATGAGACAAGAATGTGCCTGTACTGAGGATGGAGAGGAAAACTCACAAGAGAGCACGCCACATTGCTATTTAAGTAGGAAATTCTAGCGTATACAAATCACAATAACAATACTTATATTACAACATACTGTGCTTCATCAGATCTGGGTCCACTTACCAAAACATGCCACCGGTAAGATCGTGACTCGGATTTATATAAGCAAGGGAACCTTTCAGCCTGGGGATAGGATAGCTAACAAAACCCGACCCATCAGGCTCATGACAACGACTCACCTGGCCAGAGTGTACATATCGGCGCTGACATGTAGAAGAAGAAGTCTAGAAACGTGTCACGGACACTATGACACGGTGACATATCCAATGCCCTGAAACCAGACATGCCCCAGACTGTCTAATAACGGACTGGGGGTATTCAAGTCTATAGACAGGTTAACTCGGGCAGCACACCCGACGATGCGGGAGTTGTCAATGTAAAACTTTAGAATCCAACCCATTGGGATGAGTACATGGGTAAGTATGACCTCGAGTGAATGTTGGGGTCTGAATGAACCTAGCGGACTGTCAGTTTCCAGATCCAAAAGAGGACAGAAGATCTTGAGTAGGAATATCTAACGTCTCTGCAAGAGCAAACACGCGCCCAGTAAAGGAAACCCCGACTTGTTTTTGAAATGCCGAAAGCGAGAAAACAATACTGCCGGCATTTGAAATTGGCGTTGGTAGATTAAAAAGTTCCATTTGAGTATAAGTCGATTCGTGTCGACCGTGACGTGACGGTAGTATGGGCTACGAGGCATGTGAGGTTGTAGAAGTCTTAGTTGAAAGGAGTTAACTACATGCAGATCGTAAGTACTAAATTGAGCTCCCTTGGAGATGGTTTAGGACCATATAAAGTCATATGCAGCGACGGTAAAATGGCAAACACATATTAGGGAAATTATTGACGAATCAGCCGCAGGACATTTAACGCGAGGGCCAAGTGCATCATCCGAGAAATGCGAGTCATAGGTATAACCTAGTTAGACCTTCTTTAGATTCTAAGATCTAACGGTCTTCGGTGGCACGTTGAATTTAAAAATAACGATGCTGACGGCTTGTCTTAGATGATTCTGTAGGATTTGAACGGCGATGCGTAATTGATGAAGAAGTGATTGAAGAGGTCTTAGGAAGTAACTATTTTAGTCAACATTTTAGTCAACCTTTTAGTAGTCAAACATCAATGGTTGAGCCGCAAAATGGAGCACTACATGTACCTACTAGGTTAGGTACCTTACAGGTAGACCCTTGGCTATACCTACATACCTACCTAGGTACTATGTATAATGTACAATACATCTGATTGGATGGGGTACAAGAAAGTACTTGATATTCTAGGGGTATCACGCGTATCGCTACCCCTGCTCTTTATGTATCCCTTACTTACATGTAATGTAGGTAGTAAGTTAACATGAACCGTGGTCTTTCTACCCCGGACGTTCTAGGTAGTCATTTAGGTGCATTACCCGACAACTTTAACTGCTATGTAAGCAGCCAAGTAGCGACTTCTAGCTCCAATCTTCACTTAACAACAGGTACGCACGGGTTATATTTGCGGAGTACGGAGTATTATGTACCTTCTCCCACGTGGAAACCTATGTAAACTGCTTCTCAAACTGCTTCTCGACTCTCTCCACTATTTCTCTAACTAACTAGTTCTATATTCGAAATTTGGACAACATATGAATTTCTACCTCGATGTCCCTTGTGCCCCCTCGTCAGATCTTGGTAACCTTGTGTCATACAGTTTATGTGACTTAAATCAATATGGGATACCAGATCCAATAGATAATTGATGGAGCTACCGAGCCATCTTATACCTGCCACTGCTATGGTTACTACGGAGTTGACCAGTCATTTTTAATATCTTGTTCAGTCTTCGGATATCATAACAAAAACAAAAAGGGGGAAAAACCTGGCTCTAGCCTTGATGATCTTCGCAGGGGGTTCATCGATTTTAGGTAGTTTCTACCAAGAAAAAAGTCCGCACTCCTAATATCGTTCAAGCTCCCACTACCTACGTCAAGAAAGTCCACGTCGAAAGAAGAAATAAATAAGCCGCTATCTCCCGTATCTAAGGCGGCGTTAGAACGCCACTTAACTGCTAACGGAGTCTCACTTGATTGATCTACAGCCCAGCTGCCCAATCATGGTGCCATTCCTTCCCAGCCCTGCCACGATTTTCCCATTGCAATCATGGCTAGAACAAGTCAAAGGCGGCCGACGCCGCCCCTATTGTCCGGCTCAGGAGGAAGAAGCCAAGCCGGCCAGTTGGAGTGCATGGCTTTACGTTGGCTCCTCTCGAGGAAAAACTTAGCAAGCCGGCCCTTGCGTTCTCTTCATTAAACCTTTCGTGATAGCTCTTTTCATGTCAATCTCCCGCTTCCGACACGTTCCGTCGGTCTCCAAGGTCCTTTACCTTACTTGCGTCTATTCTCAGTTATCTTCTGTTGTGGCAGACCACTATAGCTCTCCAGTGAGCTGCTAGGTACGATCTGTATACGTATACTCAGCTGTGCTCTTCTCCACTTAGCCTACCATTCACACGACTCGAGCAACCTTGGCGGATGTCCTTAGTTGTCTACAACCTATGCAGGTCGACCTCCATACTCTGCCGGATATTCGAGTACTCAATTGTTCATATCATCCCACGATTCTGGACCTGAGCCCCGTTCGCTTTCTGATAAGGCTGAATCTAGGAATTTGTCCGTACCCGAGACCAACGTTCTTGTGTCCGTAAGACCGGCGCCGCCCCCCCGAAGTCATCATTCGCTTTTATTATCTCCATCGTCCGACTTGTATTTTGTCGCCTTGTGGCAAAGCGTCGGATGGCGGATGTGACCTAGATCCTTTGTGGCTCAAACCATCATGACACGACCTAAGGTTGACCCTGACAAGAGGCAACGTACTGCCCAAGCATGCGACTCTTGTAAGCGCAGGAAACAAAAGGTCAGTTGTTTCAATTAATTTCCCAATCTCACCCTCACCGTTGCATCTCTCTCCTCATCAATATCTCTTTATACAACACCTACACGTGAGATCATCAGGCTTCCAAAGGCGAACACACGGACCAGTAAGATGATGTATTATATCGGCAAAAGTTGTCTTGTAGTTTCTTCTACATGGATAGCGTACAGCATGAGCGACGACGACGTGTGCTATGTCACTGTCTTCGGATGGCTTCCTAGGTCTCACAATGGCTGGTGTAATTGTGTAGCCGTGTGTGGATGGGATACCTTGGGACTATCGTACGATTCTGATGGGTATTAAGGCTTGTGGTCGTTATGCTTGCTAATGTGGACATTGTCGTAGTGCAACGGATTAAAACCGTGCAGTACATGTGATAAACGGAGCCTAGAGTGCCTGTACACGCCGACAAGCCAGGAAACCGGTTCGCAAGAGCCCCTTGGATCACCGTCCAAACGTCGACATATCGACCAGTCACCGAGGACGTTGAAGTTGGAATCTGGTCAGACAATCGCGACGCATACTCCGTTTTTAGCGTCGTGGGATCAGTCTACTAACAGGTTGATGAGCCTAACAGAGATAGAACCGCTTGAATCAAGCGAAAAGAAACTCATGGGGACGACACGCCACTCGCTCGCCAACAACGACCGCGAGTTCGATACTCGTTCGCGGATCAGCAATGCTAGTGGAGCTGCAGACGAATTAAGTTCCATGTTTATACCAAGGATGCTTCAGGATAAGACAAAAAAGCTACGTAAGTGAAGCTATACAAACGAGCCCTTTCTACCTACTTATTCTCTCCCCAACAAGCCCCATCGTGTTTTTTGAACCTTATACGTAATGTAATATCTTGCTGAGAATGCTGAAAAAATGGTGTGGATATTCTGACTAGCTTTCGTACTCGGACTTCGAGACCCGCCCCTTCTTTTACAAAACTGAGATCTTGAACGTACTAATATGCTGCATAGAATACGTCGGGGAGTCGGGGAGTCTTTCATACTTGATGTTGATTCGCTTAATCGTTTTAAACGGGTTCGGGCCGTCTGGCTTCACTGAGGATCCGCTTAGGCACCATATAATGGAGAATGACGTCCAGCTCCCGCCAGATACGAGGCTAACTGGGGTTCTCCCGGATAGAAAGACAGCTGACATATTAGTCGAGTCGTTTTTTGTAAATGTATGTATACCAACCCTATGACTGCTCGGTTTAACTTAGCACATTGCAGACATCGGGGCTTGTGGAAGTTTTCCATAAGACAGACTTCCTCCAGCTGGTGGAAGAATGCTATAGCAACCCTCTAAATGCTAGCTCCCCAGACTTATGCATACTGAACCTGGTTTTCGCTGTTGGTCTGGTTATTGCTCGTCCATTGCATGGGACCGATGAGGCAGCCGTGATTCAAAGCCTTCACTCCGAACCCGTTAATCGTGCTGAATTGTTCTTTCGAAATGGCAAGAAAAACGGTCCAGATTCGGGATTTGAGGATGCAGATTTCTGGTCAATACAGGCCCTCATTCTCATGTCTCTCTATAAGCTATCAATCTCTGGAAGGAATGCGTCACACGCCTACCACGGTAAGCAGCCTTTCCTTTTTCTTGTTTTTCGGCATGTGTCCGAATACGTTACTTTTGCCCCTATTTTGTCATCTGAGTCTAATTGTGGTAAGCAGGAATGGCAGTGCGGTCTGCGCAGGCGTTGGGAGTACATAGAGAAGAAGAAAGCATGGCAATCGTCTTCACTCCTCACATCATTCACCTTCGGAGAAACGTGTGGAAGACTCTATTCGTCCTCGATCGTATCATTGCAGCGAGTCTCGGACGCCCTATGCTTATATCGATAGAGGACTGTCCCGAATATATGCTTTACCATTCGATAGGCGCTACAACTGACAAGCGCATGATAAACGAGGTAACAGACTCGGCGGCGCTGGATGTTGCCGTAAGAAGTTGTCATTTAATCGGGTCGACGCTTAGGAAAGTCTACGCCGAGAGAAAGGTATCGACTCTTGTTGCACAGGAAATCGCAGATCGCCTCGAAAGTTGGGAGCGAGAACTACATCAAGATTTTCATTGCCAACAGCTCTTGGATGGTTCAGTTGACTCGGCGCAAGCCATTGCCTCCCTTCATATCAACCTCCTCCACTGCCACTCAGTGCTACTACTCACGAGACCTTTTTTTTTATATCTTCTCAAGATGTGTGATGACTTTTCTAGGGGTTCTAAGAAGCCGCCTCACGTCAGTTCAAGATTAGAAAAGTTTTCTCAGGCCTGCGTCGAGGCCTCGCAGCGTACGATAATCCTAGCACGAGCCGCGTTCGATGCCGAACACTTGCCCCAGTGCAATCCTTTCGTAATGTCAGCCCACCCCTTTTTACTTGCAATAGAAAATCAGGAAGAGAGCAGAAAACTAATAGGAATATACTTTCTCACAGATATTTTGTTTTCTCGGCCGCTCTTATCCTCTTAAGTAATGAGTTTGCCTCATTGTACCACAATCCCGATGCGGACAATGCGATTCGCAGTACCTTCATTATTCTCCAATATTGTAAGGAGAGAGATCCCATAGCCGGGAGATTCTTGGAAATCGTCGAGCTCTTTCACAATGCAAACATAAATCGGCCCGAGACAGCCAAGAAGATAGATTTACCTGGCCGCAAGATACCAACCGTGTTACATGCCTTCCAGGGTGAACCAATGCCACCCTTATTCCGCCATGCCAAAACCGAACGACAGGAGTTCTACATGGGTGATGTGGCGCCGACAAAAGAGCGTCAAATAGTCGGCATACCAGCAGCGGCTTCGGAACAGAATATACGTCCCATGATGGCACCAATGCTCCAGCAACCTAGTCCAGAAGGGAGTGTGTCGTTGAACAGCGGTATCGCAGCCGCGAGCATGGCACCGGGAATGGAAGCCCTCGGTAGCGGCGACCCGGAATTCGACCTTGATAGCTTATGGCAAGGCTGGCGGCGTCCTCCTTCTACTGGCGGTATGGATATCCCACCGCCCTTATATCATATAGAGCCATTTGGGTCTTATGGACTTCATCAGCCGCCGATGCCTCATGAGGACAATCTCAACCACCACGTGCAGCCATTCCCGCCTTCAAATTTTCGTTGAAGACTGCCCGTCACTATATAACGAACATAAATCGCAATGCAGAGAAGTGTAGCAAGGAACAAGGTATACCTCATAGGACACACATACGTACATAGGGGGCCGTCCGTTGGTCTACCAGGGCCTCGCATTCCGGTTGTACTGGCGTTGGAATCTAGACGGATAATTTGCGTGCAATATGTACTAGGTTAGTGGGTTTGGTTAAAGGGTTTAGGAGTTGCGTGAGCAATACTGGGTTTGCTACCATACGTCCAAGTACTTCTATTGGTAATATCGAGTAGGTCTCCTTTGTTGGGCTCTCGAGCGATGAATATAACAGGCCCTCGGATGATGGCATAGCTAATGGGAATTTTACACGTATTTTTCTAATATATTATATAATTTATTTATGGCATGTTGATAGCTGGAAGTCTATATGTGGATATTGTCGGCGATAGTAATTGTATCGTTTCTTGCGGCGTGTTAGTTCTACATATCTTGATGCCCGGCGTAGGATTGCTTTTTTCTTATACCCCTAACTCTACAAGTTATACTTGTTGTTAATTAAATCAGACTTATACTGAATATAATCCAAGTATACCCGAGTGCCTGTATTTACATGATCTTCGCTGCATAGGTCATCTAGAACTAGATACTGTTGCTGCTATTTAGACCTAGGACTGTATTATATATGTGTACGACACTCTGAGGTAAAGGGGGTAGGTTAGTCTTAATCAACTACATTCGCACCCAGGAATAATAACAGAGCTAGAGTGCTCCCCTAGTTAAGTTAACGATACCAGAGGTAAACCATCCAAATTGATCGTCAAGATGGGCATATATTCTCCACAGACCCGCACTAAGCACATACAGCATATACAGCATATACATATCTTGCATTGGACTGGGTTAATTGTTCATAATCCTAACATGTCGAGGACCTCGTACGGAGTAATGATGTATGTAGTGACAAGACCAATACTTGGAGTCTTAGATGGACATGCTCGTCATGAATTCCAAAGAAACAGCCGCTAATATCTGTATAGACCCTGCTCGACATCAACGTCGTGCCGACGGCGTTGTCGATCGTTTCTTCGTGCATGTGTTGGGCAGCGCTTCATTCGTCAGCATCGGCCACTCCGTCTCGACTAGCGATCTCGTCCCAAGAAAACAAAACCGCCCACCAATGTCCCGGGTGCATCCTAATCCTCATCATCCTCATCACAACACACGTACATACATTAGGTACATAGGTTAGTGCAGTATGGTGTGGTGTAGTGCCGCACTTGTCGCCGTTCGAGCGAAAAGGGCAAGGGTCATCGTCATCGATCCGGGTTTTCGAGACGTGAGGTTAGCAATTCTCGCATATGAATGTGACGTGTTATTGTCGACCTATCTTTTTCAGATCGGGCTGAGCCGGCACCTCTCATACCATATGCCTGCCTGCCTGCCTGCCTGCCTCCTCATACAGACAACCACCACCGTTCAATACGAATGAATATACCAACCAGCACCAGCACGGCGGGCCAACAACGACGAACAATTGATGCCTAACTACCGGGGCTGCCGGTACATCACCTAGGACTTCCTACCTATCGAGATTCGAACTTGCGGTGTAGAAAAAGCCAAGCTCGGGGAATATTCGTGGGGTAATAATATCGAAAGGAGGGCAAGAAGTGAGGAGAAAAATTGATGGGAGTAATTTTTTTTCTCCCTCTCTCTTTCTCTCCCACAACTACTACGTATGACAGCCTGTCGATGGAAGGATTGTTACCATATGGTCGTCCCGGTTCCGTTGCCTGCTTCTCCTCCTGCCGGTAGACAAAAGGGCAAGTTTTAACGGTGAGGCGTAGAGCATCATCAATACAACCACAGCTCGGTCTCGAGCGGTAGGAATGAGAGGTTTGAATTGGGGCCTCACGAATCCTACATGCCTTGCCTAGACACCGAAGCCCTGCCCCGCTCTTGTACATATTAGAGATGGAAGAGAGATGGATGTATTTGTCCGCAGTGGTTGCGAAATATGAGGATTCTATTTTTTGTTTTTTTTTTGTTTACTTTTAGCATACCGAGGCTCAGCACGACAAGTTGCAATTCAAACTATATAGATTACCTAGGTAGATATGTAGATAGGGGCAACATTATCTAATCGGACCGGCGCGGGCCAACCAGAGGCTATAGCCAAGGTCATCGTGATAGAGAATAGAAGCTAGTGAAAGTCGAGACGGCAAATTTAGACGCAAGAAGAGCACTGTGGTTGCTCCCGTAACGGATCGGCGGTTCTAGGCCGCATGTTTCGGGTCCCTTATGCCTCCATCTCCAACCTCTAATTCGCCCCAGAAAAATCCTCCGGTATTTGTTGATCGGCCGGCGCTCTTGGTACTAGGTTTATCGTTGCCTTTTCTGGCCGGGCCACATGAAATACGGCTATGTAGGGAGATGGGGCCCCGTAATGGATCCTAGATGGAGGCGTTTCAGTCGTATGTATTGTATGTATTGTATGTACGTATTGATGTAGGCAGGTAGGTAAGCAAGTAGGTAACCCTACACACATCGATTATCATACCTACCTACCTACCTTGCATACATACATACCTAACGGTGAGACCGGACTGCATCCCCCGCTGTAAAGAGGACCGAGGAGGCTACATAGGCAGAGGCAGAGAGAGAAAAGCGTAGACATACATACATACATACATACATACATACATACGGAATGAAAGATGATGACTCACAGAGGGGAACGACAAGACGACGAAAATCACTACCTAGCCTATCTGACAGGAACACGCCGGCCGCAGTGCCACCTACGTACCTACCGACATACCAACAAGAGCCCATCCGCCTACAGCCCATCTGCTGCAAAGCGGCGAAGGCCGTGCCATGTGGCCTACGTACCCGGGCCCCGAACCCTGATCTGCAAATAAATATATCCTACATACATACACACATACATGATGCAGCAGCAAGACTAAGCCATTGGGCGCCAGCTACGATGCTAATTGGGACGAGGGGCGGATAGTTCCATCAAGGTGGGAATACGGTATAGGTGACTTGACTTGACTTGACTGATAGGCAACTAACAACGGAGAAGAAGAAATGAGCATAGGGACGGACAAAAACAGAAACAGAAACAGGAACAGGAACAGAAACGGGAATAAAGAAAGATAGCCAAGGTTCGTTCGAATAGAGTTTAGCCAAGCAGCGAACGAGCAGTAGTGTATGCATATATGGGATGACGCGGATGTGATGTACGTGCTTTGCTTCTCGGCAGCGATACCGAGCGAGGCGGCGCCGACGTATAGCGAGTAAGAAGGCCTTTACGAACCCATCTAGAGACGCGGATTGGGTTGGCAGACGCGCTAATAAAGAACCAGCTTGCACTACAACTACAACTACAACTACAACTACGCTAGTCCAGGGCGTTCCCCCCCCCGTTCTGATCCTCAGCACACGCCTATCACGATCCAGAGGCAAACTCGGTGGCTGGGGAACCGTCCATCGTGACTGGAGAGATGCGGTCCAAGGCATGTAAGCAGACATATTATTAAGTGCTACGACTCTACCGTCCTTGGTCCTTGGCTAATAGACGAGTTATCGAGATCTGGGACTTGATGTAAGCTAGCAAGGGTCTCGGTCCAGTCGTCATCTGCTGTTAGATGTTAGGGATATTAGCTAGTCTGATAGGGTTACACGCAATGGTCTGTTTACTTCCCATACTCCGGATGGCTTTCCATGTTACATAGTACAATACCTAGTACCTAGTCTCACGTCTCACGTCTCACGTCTCATTCGGATGCGCCGCTGCGTCTATTCACCTTTTCTGACTCGACCAACGTCCGCCTTGTGTCACAGACTCACAGTACGACTATATTTCACTGCTAGGCATGGCTTCTGCTACGATTCTTTGGTTGGATCTTGTTGATCTGAGTATTAACCTCTAGTTTAGCCGCCTGCTTTCATCCCCTTTCTCCCCCCCCCCCCTCCCAAAGCAGGCAACGGTGCAATTCTATACCGTTTCTTTCCACAGCTCGTCAAGTTCGCTAATATCCGTCTTTATCTCCCCAAATTTTTGGACTCCGTGGAACAGTACCCCCTCCCATAATGTAAATGTAGAACCCTAAGGTCCGTGAAAATATTAGCCTTTCCCCCGATGTCTACTCCTCATCATATGCCAACTTGTGTAGATGAGATTAGCTGGGTATTTAGAGTATCCAAGATGGATTGAATACGGGCAAAATTTCTGCAGTCTGGTAATTCGCAATTTGGTATCGTGTAGTAGACGCCCAGGAGAAAGGAACCCAATTTAACCCCCAAATAAGACACCATTACTCCCTCGTTTCCTTAATGACAAACTCCAAAAATTCAATGATAAGAGATATGAGAACCATGAACACCCCAATACCCAATACCCAATTCCCAGCACGATGATGGAGATGAACCTGTGTACGTCGCAAATAGACAGGACAAAAGAAAGGTAGAAACGGAGGGGGAGGCATATTTGGTGCACAGCTCGGTACTGGGGACCCGTAAACCTGTGGCTGGTAAAAGCAAACTGCACTTTGTTCCTGACACCTAAACCATGTGTAAGCGACAACATTATGAAGCTCTTTTTTTTCTTCCCTTCCCGCCCGAAATGTCGGTTGCCCGAACTATGCGAAAATCTCTAATGACCGTTTTTGTCCAATGCTTAAATGATATGCAGGACCCTGGGGGTTTTACCTCGCTTTTCGTGCGAGGAGTTGATATTAAAAACTAAGTATAGAATAAAAATATTTGCTTCATAAAACGAAAGTAGGGTAGTGACCGATGACTGAAATTATAAAATTCGTGTTTTAACGCTGGCTTGGATCATGCGGCGCACTGGATCGTGTCGCCCAACCGGTTTCGTATGGCTCCCGCTTGTATGGCGGGAAGCTTTGCACCGGAGTACCTGAAGTAGGCGGTCCGCTGCTTGGAGTTCCAGCCGGTTGATCCAATCGCAGAGGAGGTAGTCGCGAGGTTCGAGCCATAGATGAAGGAGTTCCCGGCTGCGATAGAGGAGTATGCACAGGTTGGGACATTGATGGCAAATTGGTCTGAGCCATGCCATAGGATGGGCTATAACCCTCGAGTTGAGGATCCGTCCGGCGTCGTCGTGCCGCCCTTTCACCCGTTACGGGATCAGCACCTCCATAAGAAGGCATCGGTAGTGTAGGCTGGTTAGAGGCGAGCGGACTCCTCTCTGCGAAAGAGCCACCACTCCTTGTCGAGATGGGACTAGGAGGCCCTTGGTAGGCAAGCTCGCTAATTCCAGGAGTTCGATAGACGATGTCGCGAAGTCGATCCCGGTCGCTGCGGTACCTGTCCCGCTCATTCTCTGCTTCCTGCTGCCGCTTTAGAAGCTCGCGGTTTTGACTTTCCAGCTCCTGTATTCTCATTCCTTGTTGTATTTCCTTGTCCTTCTTCCTGGCTCGGAACCTTGCAGAGGCACCCGCGTTTCTCTGTCGTTTCTCGTCGGCTTGTTTTGACCCATTGTACATGTCTAGGGGGACAATCAAGGGTTCTCCACCTACATTCATTGCCGCATGCCCATCCATGCTCATCATGCCCCGAACGCCTGGCGAACCCACCTGACCCGCGCTTCCAAGTATGCTTGACCATCTTGAATCTCCCATCGGAAGAGAAGGTGGCGGAAAACGTGCACTAGGTGGAACACCCGTCGAGTACGGCGGGGTCTGTCCATACATATGAGGTCTCATATGGTTACCGGCACTTCCTTGTGGCTGCTGTGATTCGTGCCCGGGAGGATTAAACTGACTCGCGATTGGTTGAGAGAGGGACCGAGGCGGCGGTGTTGTTAACGGAGCCAAAGTGGTCGGAGGACCAACTCCAGATGGGTGGACTCTTCCGTACTGAGGACCTAGAGGTTGGGGACCATTGATCCGCGGTGATTGAGCGTGTTGTCCTACAGGAGATTCAGTTGGATAGCCCCGGTTTGACGCGGAGGGGGGAGCAGGATAGTAATGAGATTGGGGAGTATTCAGCGCTTGAGGTGGTGGTATATGACCCGCGGCACTACCTCGGGGAGACCTTGGGGTCAATATTCGTCGAGTTGCCCCCAAGATTTCTCGATGGGAGTGTATCGATGCAGGTGAACCGCGGTCAGCTGGCGGGGGTCCCTGTAAAGGTAGACCTCCAGCCGCTTGGTTTTGCTGCTGGCTCGTCATCCCATAATTCTGATACATGAAGGGCCGCGAGGCGGTTGGACTGGACTCAAACGTAGAGCCTTGTATATTTGGACTCGGATGCAGACGTGCTCCGGATGGTCCAGATGCCGCGGAAGAGGTAGTCCCAGTCGGTGATGGATGTGTTTCCGTTGGATTTAAGATATTCCGCACACCAAAGCCCCTCTGGGGTAACGACTGTGCTAGATCTCCATTAGTTCGGGAAATGCTACCGCTCTCCAATGACCCGTTGCTGACTGGCTGGTTACTAAGTCTCCGAGGATCCGACTGTTGTGAATTTGGCGATGTGCTCGTGCCTGCCGGAGGAGATTTGGATATCCGAGGTGAAGCAGATCGTGACGCAGGGTCCCTCTGCGACATCGGATCCAGGTCCCTTCCGAACGGGTGGCCCAGAGGAGCCAGACATTGACCGCCTCTATCAGACGCGAATTGATACCGCTTGATTTCCGATCTTGCCTCGTTACTATCTAGTCTCGCCCCGCCAGATTCGCCGTCCGCTTGCTCAAGGCTGCTCAGACGATTCGTGTGAGATCCTAGGTTCCCGTTTCCAAGCGGACGGGTAGAGGGCGGTTGGGAGGGTTGGCGAACGTTAATATTTTGGACCGCCACGGCGACAGATTGGTGAGCAGACTCTTGGTGTAGAAATTGTAGAAGGTGATGACGGCTCAGATTGTGCTGTGCCCGTCACTAGAGTCGTTGCGCAGACGAATATAATGACTATATATAAGTTGCCCCCCAGTATCCAAGGCGTATATGTTGTGATAGATATTCGAGGCAGCTCCCAGCTTCCGACGAATATTCGATTAACTCTCAAGCTAGGTATATATGCGGTAGCTTCAAGATACTCCTCTTAGTCCGAGCCAAAGGTTGTCCTCGCAAGATGAAGGTAATAAAACCCGGGTCCGGTTCAGAAGTCGTTACTTAAGGTAGAAGCAAATGGATAGTGGTGAGGATTCTGGGAAGAAATATTTCCAGATATGTGGCGGCTGGAATTAGTGGATGTATATCAGCTGTTGCCCAACGGGAAGTGAGGAACAAAAAAAAAGCGATGGTAGCCAATGATGATGAGACGTAGCAGAGCGGAATCATTGGCAACCTGGCAAAAGCCCTGCAGCAGTGAATGGTCAAGACGTCGACCAACGCTAGAGCAGCACTGGGGCCTGAATGGGCAGACAAACAGCTACGGTCGTGGTCGTAAGGAGATGATGGTATGCTTCGGATGGGTTACGTACAAGTAGGAGAATGGCATAAAAGAATATCGTATCTAACCAAAAAGAATAGGCGGGACTCGACTTTGTAGCGTTCCCACCGCGCTTGCGTCAATTCACCGACAACTAAGCTATTGTTATGGGATGCAGTAAGCTCAGCACTTGCCCACTGGCAAAGTACTCGGACAGGTTAGTATGACTTCTCGGTCTCGGGCAGGAGGAAGAGAATGATAGCAGCTATAAGCACTCTGAATAGTTTAAGGGCAGGTTGTACTAGTTACCACAAGTAAAGCTGCGTCTAGTATTCGAGTTTTCTCTTCTTCTTTTCAGTCTCTTGGCCTGGAACCCAAGCTCCATGCCTGCTCTTATCATCAGACAAGTCAAACTAGACAGGGCAGAATAGAAGGAGTGGAGCAACATGGGATGGGGATGGTTTGGAACAAGCGGCCGGGGTGCAGGAGGTTCAGGGGGGGCCATGTTCAGTATCGTTGGTGCTGACCCATACTTTGGGGGCAGTATGAACCAGGAACATCCCGTCCTATGTTCCTTTTTTAACAATTTCAGTAAGTTGTGGGAATGATGAGGATCTTGAGACTAGGGCGTCTGTTAAGGAATCGCTTAAGGCTCTTAGAATGTTCGAAAGCTTAACGAGCTGAGAGCTAAGCAGCCAGCCCTACACTGATGTCTGACACATGCAGCTTGGAGGACATGCGAAACATGAGGTGTCAACCGGGAATTGTTCAAGAAGCTGACAGAACAGCCCCATGGTCTTGTCCACTGGAAACTACGAGTACGCTAGATATACGTTCATCTGACTCGGACCATCCAACCTTAGATCGTCTTGTATAAACTTGAGGCTCTTTACCGGCAGCATATTTCGGCGGCGGTCGCACTCTTCGGTGAGCCCTCAAAAATATTTAATAAATTAGAGTGCGGGCGACCAGGCCATCACGCAAGGCGCTGGAATTAGCTCAGCATGCCGGTGCTACTTTTCTTCGTGCTATTAGAGACTGACACAGCAGCGGATGAGGGTCATCGTCGCCCGCGAGCAGTAGTATTACTAGATTTGCTGCATGTCCCGTCAGTCCTGTAAGCCAGCGCAAAGCATACTAGAAGGGACAGGACTAGGGTTTCTCTCCCTCTGATAGGTCACGGGTCATCACGGCTCGTCACGAAGAGTATGGGTTCACAAATGGAGATCTCCGGTGGAGTTGTTGTGGTTGCTTAAGGGTTTAGAGGGCTGGAGGGTCGACTAGGTGGGCGGGTAAAGACTCCGCTTGTTCCAAACCCTTCCCCTAAGAATATCTTTGGCTGGAAATGATCGACATGGCAAGCCGTGGCAGCCAAGAAAACGTCAGTTGGCCCCTCGGGTCCAAAATCAATAATAAGCGGTCACTCGAGCAAGCTCCAGCAACTGCCACTGCCACTACTACTTTTCTGCAGCAAGCATGGATTTATGAATTGTACGTGTTGCAATACCGACGCCCATACCGGTGCCAACTGGTCAAGCATTGCTGGAACGAAAATACCCCGTCTACATACGTAGCAATACTGCGTAGTAGTAGGTAGATAGGATACTGGTAAGTATGCTGGCTGTATGCCGTATGCTGTATGCTGTATGCTGTATGCTGTATGCTGTATGCTGTATGCTGTATGCTGTATGCTGTATGCTGTATGCTGTATGCTGTATGCTGGGACAATGGGACAATGGGACAACTGAGATCAACTAGGAAGATTGGCGGTCAGTACCGCAGCTTGCTGTCCTGTGGTGACGAAGCGGAGGGCTTCACTCCTTTAGCTCCAGAGGTGAGCTAGGCCGGGTTAGGCTTAACGGAACCGGCTGGCAAAGAGAAAGTGACGATGCATGTAGTCAAGGATAGTTAAGATGTAGCTAATTGGGACATGCAAGCCCAGTTTAGGCCACAAGTAGGTCCTAGGTAGGTTCCAGGGTATGACTACATCCATGGCGAGATGTACGCATGTTTATGTACGTATATATGTGTATGTATGTGTATATGTATGTGTATATGTATGTCAGAATATTAAAAATGGGTAGAAGAGAACAATAGCGGCATACATGTACTACCCGACTACGTACAAGTGAATTACTAAATTGCTAGCGCGAATCCGCTAGCGATGCCTTGATGGGTTTGATGGGTTTTTGATAGTGTGGTTTTTTTTTCTGGCCGGCCCACGCCCGCGGAATGCGGGAAGGACCCTCCTTAACCGTCCAGCCTTCCTAACTTACATATATCCAGCAAGTTTGGATAGCCTTCCAATGGCCAAGATAGCACGCACCTACCGTAGCTTGGGAGTATGCATGTATGTAAGCCGAACCTTACCGTAGAACGGGAATAGGGCGAAATATATGTATAATGCATATCATGTATTAATGTAAGTATATTAGTACCTATATAACTAACTAGGTACCTATATGTAACTATGAGGTACCTACATTATATATATATATATGTATATATAGAGGTATACATTAAATATTGAAGGCTATATGTAGGTACCTACCTAAATAAGAGGTACCTAATCCAGGTAGTTACGTTAAAATGTATTATATACTTCGTATAAGCTCTCCTCCACATACGGAACTCCCGTACTCGTTACCCATATGTACTACAACACTTAGAACCGATACCGAGTACATAAAGGCCATTAAACTTCGTGGGTCTGACATTATTGGACTTTTTTCTTTTTGTTGCATCCTTCCGACTCTCCGCCGCTGACCTACATGTAGTTTCCTCCCACCTCTAACCTCTTAGACCTACACATCTACATACATATCAATCTACATATTGTACGGTACGTCCAGTAGGAGGTACAGTGGTAGATCAAACGATCAAGCGATCAGGTACCAACGTGCGGTCCCGTTGGATTCCAGCCCAACCGCCAGAGCCATGTCTCAAGTAATAATGACCGAAGCCACCAGTATGCCGGCCATGTCAGCATGACCAACAGGCCGCAGGAGGATCGCCGACGCACACGGACAACCTTACCAGCTGCTCTGTATATACGTAGCTTCTGCTAGTCGACCATTTGCGGGGCATTATGCCTTAGAGCCTACATATGTATTTGCATATTGACCTGGAGAGCATAGACATCGTACACATGTCCCTGGCTGAGAAGTAAAGAATTTAAACATCCACAAGACAACACAACAGCTCATATATTTCAACCGTCACATCGACCGTCCGACACGAGAACACCGGCTTTTTCTCATCGATTTAACCCCCATCGCCGTCCACGGTACGGCCCATTGCTTCATCTCGTTTTCTTTCTGGGCGGTAAGCCGGACGGCAAGGGACTATGATATTGTCACACTCGACTTGGTAATCATGCCAGGGGGTCTCCCTTGGCATCTTGATGGCTGTCTGAATCTGCAAAAGCATCACTAAGTTAAGGAAAAGGAACTTGACGAGAGCATACCCGCGTTCTAACAGGGTAAAAGTCGACAAGCGCCGCCCACTAGTGTACGTGTTGCGTATTCCGGGACTCGGGCTCGCGGGCCACGGCATTTTGCTTCTGCATATGTGCCATGTATGTGCTAGTCCATCTATGATGTATGGGGACCTGCAAGTTCTGCAATCAGCATGGCATGGTTCATGTTCCCGCTGTGTGATGAGGCCACCATCTGGTCCCGGTTGTCATGCGTATGTATATACATACATGCATACAACATACCAAATAGGCCCTGCCTATCTGCGGCCCTATCTGCGGCCAAAGGAACGCACCACACGCGTCGCATACCACATTGACTGAAAACATCTTTTCGCGCGAAATTACAGCATTTTGTTTGGCAGCCCGTAAGCGCAAGGATCCTCTGTCGACACTCTCAACCCAGCAGCCTGGATAGGAAGCCACGCCCTAAACCCTCTCGGGCCTAGTCGCAAGGGGTGGGCTGAGTGGCTTAGGTATGTCTTGTCCGAACCGAATAGTTACTAACGAAACAAGAGGTGGTTTAATTTTTGAACCCTCGTGGCAACTAACAACGTGGGTGTCCGGCTTTCGTCAGTCTACAACATAATAAATTAATAAAAAGGAAAAAATAAAAAAGGAAAAAAAGGAAAACCAAAATACTTGGCAGAAACAGATCTGCAGATAACTATCGCGATTTCGTACCATCACATATAACTTATTGATAGCTGATATTCTTACTAACTAGGTACCTACTCAGTCCATCAAATAGGTTGTGTTGCATTCTCCCATCTCGAGACAAGTCAACTGTTGATCAATCACATCGTAGTAACAGGTCCTATCGATGATAATCTGCAAGGTAGTCAATTCCCTAGGGCATAAAGGAAATACCCTAACACAATGAAAGAAATAGCGTCGCAACACCATATTTCGGATGGCATCGTCCCTGGTTCTAATTTACTTTTTAATGTCTCTTCCCCTGGTTTTCTCGCACAGTCGGAGAATACGATGCAGGAACAGGGACCAAGGCATCGTGGAATGAAGTAATCTGCATATTCCGCCACCGGGTCAGTTGAGATTATCTCACCTTATTAAATTGGCCTCTGCAAAGAATGCTTTGTTACCTGTCACTTTTCTCAACTCTCAACGATAGGTATTTCACT